GGGCTAAATCGTATAAAAAGAGGCTTTACTGTTAGTTTAATTACTTATATTTGCACTGGTCATTCTTTTTGATAAAGTGGGGAGCTAAACCCCCCCGCCCCAGCCCTGCTCCGCGGTGCCTGTTTTATCATTACATACCCAACAGGTTGTTCATTACACGCAAACAAAGCAGTATGCTGATTGGCTATTGTCTAACCAATAGGCCAAACACTAGCTAGTTGGATTTTTTGATTGAAGGTCGAATTTTCTGTAAAGTCATATAAAGGCCTATAAAGGGAACACTATGAGGGGACAAAAAAATTCTTATAGCAAAAGCAAACATTTTAGATAAGCTTCTTGAAATTACCTCATGGTATTGTTGGCTTCCTCGACGGTAAATGCTCTGTCTATGGTGGTCAGTCTGTCCTCCAACATATTGTCCCACCTCTGTTGTTTGTGTTCTATGAATTGTTTAAGAATTTAGAGAGCAAATCAAGCTTATGACCTGTATATATACAATCGCAACAGAATTTATGATACTTCTTCGCCAACATACAGGCCCTCGACATTCATTATGCGATCTCTAATACATTCAAATCTAACTTAACAACTTTACTTCTAAAATTTGTAAATCATTCCAAACGAGATTTAAAAGATGGCAACAAAGTATGAAGATATGCCCCCCCTCCGCTTTTTTAGACCCCTCCCCTACTTACCTCAACGCTCTGCGGTGCCTGTAAAAAGACGATGACCTTAATTGTATTGCAAATCATTTGTACCATTGTGTATCATAACTGCAAAAGATTATAGGTGTCTAAGAATTCCAAAAAGCCTTATAATAAAAAGCACCACTTTGGCAAAGACATATAATTGTCAACGATAAAGAATACGTTAGATAAATTCCATTCACTCGACATCGTTGGTAAGGTCCTTTGATTTACATCTGCATCAATCCTTATATTCCATCTGCTGCTTGCAATGTGGTATAGTTGATCCTTCATTCGCTGTTTTAGACATTTTTCACAAGCAGTGCTCAATCAAGACTGCCTTCAGGTAATGGCAAGAGCTTCTTGGACATAGAATGGACAAATCAACATGGATGCGGTGGAAACGAAGACACAGACCCACATAAACTTAACTGCAACATGGTCATCCAGTATCTTTGTCAGCAGGATAACTCGTTACCGGCTGGACACAGGCTCAAACTACGCAATGGGCGCACGACAGCTACTCCTAACTTCAGAGGGGGACGAGCCAACGAGAGAATGGCCACAACACTCAATAGAATGAACGGAGACTTGGACCCTAATAGAGTGCTCCATGAACAATGGGCCTGGTACGACAAATGTAGCCGAAGAGACAGAAACTACGGTGAGAAGCTCGTTGTTTTTGATGATATACACGGAGTAGAACGGTCCTGTTCTCTAGGCCAAATAGCGTGTACAGCTCTGTCTATATAATACGGAATCGAGCACTTTATGACATAACGGTAAAGAATAGTTTTCGAAATACTGCTTATGCCATTGCCATCCCGCTGCATTTTGTGACTTTGCAAGAAACGTTGTTAAAATGTTTGAGCGATGTTGTCATAAAATCATTTTCTAAAATTCGCTTATTTGGGCCATATTACCTTGAAATAGTCAGACACCGCGGAGCGTTGAGAAAAGTAGGGGGTCTAAAAAAGAGGGGGGGGGGCTAAAACCGTATAAAAAGAGGCTTTTCTGGTAGTTTGATACTTTATACTTTATACTGGTAGCCCCCCAGCCCCCCCCCCTACACCTCGGTGCCTGGAAATAGTGTGCAAAATCATTAAACAAGTTAGTTTTTTGGCTGAGATGTGATCATCTAGGCATTAGTATTTTTCCCATCAAATATTTTCTGTTTCCCATTAAATGTATGAATCAGAGCAACTCAATGACAATTTTTTGGCAAAATTCAGTCGCTAGATCTCAGACAATTTACAAAAAGATTTGAACCGATTTTGAAATTTGTCGTTCTATTAGATTATGTGATCAATTGTCAAAAATCGTAAAAAGAGATTTTTCACAATATCGTAACTTTTTCACGATGTAGAACTTATCAGAAGATGGACAAGGCCCTGACATTTTATGCTCATCTTACAAATTTAAACGTTTATCATTTCTGTTTATCACATTTATTGTTGTCTTTATCAACGAAGGATTGTTCACCGCTGACCAGAATGTTCGTAAAGGATCAGCAAGATTTACAAGGCAGAATCGAAATGGAAACAGGAGAGGGTATGAATGCCCAGAGGAGCGAGATTATTACCCATATTGGCACCCCACAGAGTGGAAGGACATTGCTGTTCTTGCAGAGAATTCATCAAGATGCTCCTTCTACCAGAGTGAAAGTTTCAACGTCAGGCCTCGACGTGAGTTTTATAAAGTTTGATATCTAAATAATTAATTTCTAAATAAGTGCAATTTTCTCAAAACTAGCATGCAAGATGTTGTAAGTATGACGATCTACCTTGAACAATCGATTCATATTTACGATTGCAGATGAGTGCATTGAGAAAGACTCTACTGGCCAGTACATGTTGTCTTCTAAATACAACAACCAGAAGGAATGCGAAAGCAAAGGTGGCGAATGGCTGGATTTTTACAACTTTCTTGAACGTGCTCCACAACACACAACCGAGGCAGCTTGCCAAGCAGCCTCCAGGAATGGGGTTAAATACATCTGGGGCCGTACACTGTTCTTTCCACAGAAGAAGGAATGTCTTGTCGCTCTCCCTCCACCAGACTGCAAGGAGGCAATGTGGTCACGTGTTAATCATCTTGGTAATGGAAGAGGAGGCCAGCCATTGAGTTACCGCTGGACCATACCCCATTTTCCTTCAGGGGATAAGCAGAGATGTGTGTTACGTATAAGGTTGGTGAATTTTTATCAAATTCTATTTGGAACTATTCGTAATTTGTTTTTTTGTAAAGAATGAATAATAGTATCATGTGATTTACCGAGCGAAAAGATAATTTTTCTTACGATTGGTTCGCAGGTACAACATTTCAACGGATGATTACGACCCTATCAAGACTGATTCGAGATTTAACCGAGACCCGTAAGTGATTCCAATGATCTTAATCGATATGGAACAGTTTATATTAAAGACTGGAGTTCTAGAGGTCGAGAGAATGGGGTTGGCTTGTAATTTAGCTGGCAGAAGGGATTTACCTTTGAGCCTATCTCTTGGCATGACAAATCTTTGTAAAGTGGTACCCAGGTGCCACAAACTGACAAAGGGTGGATACGTGGGAGTGATTGCATGTCAGAAATAAATATGCAAAAATGGCCAAGGAATGCACTAAGATTGTACCTCTTCACGGCACCATTGCTTTGAATGAGCAAATAAAATGTCTTTGGCAATTACCTACCCTGGGTACCAGACTCACTATATATTTTATATATAGTGAGTCTGGTACCCAGGGTAGCATTTACCAAAACTCTGCTTACCATCTAAAACAGTCCCTCGTGGTTATTAAGCCAGACTGAGAGAGTTTCCAAGTGGGTGGGAAACTTGATGAAATAGCTTTTTCAGCCCCCTATATAAACTAAAGAGTAATAGCTGCCTGTTCAACTGCTCAAGTCTTGATGTAAATTCTAAATTCACAATTGTCTTCTATTTCAGAAGCAAAGGTGTTTTCTCCCCAGTCGAGAACAACCCTACAGTTAACGTTGGTGGGAGCAACTCCCCACTTCGCCTTGCCATTAATACTGCTCAATATGGCCGCACGTTCCAGGATCGCACCCATATATTCATGTTGGAAAAACGTCCGTCGTCAAGCCTTGATTCAAAAACAATATATAATATGGGTGTCCGTGGAAAACGAGGCAACATTGTGCAGACATTTCCAGCAGTAGAGTATGATTTCTTCCCAACGAATCTGACATTGAAAAGAGGAGAACTGGTACATATCCAGTGGACTGGGTCAAATTCACACAATAACGGGGCGCCTGGAGGAGATGGACAGACTGGTGATGCCGGCGAAGGAACTGGAGGTATGCAGTCATGTATAGTTGAGGGCAGGGCGTGAAAGGGGACAGTCCTTAATTTTGATTCTCTATTTCGCAGTTCAAAGGTTACATAGTTTCCGTATAAATAGCATTATTCGAGAGAGGTGTCTAGGTAGCATTATTCTTGCCACGATTATTGAACTAGCTGGCAAATTGCAGTCTTTTCGAAAAAATACACTCCCCACCCCCAAGAGGCAATGTTGGCATACCAATTTCTACTCATTTCAGTTGCTTAAGGGTTTTAATAACATTATTGGGCTACTACTGCAATTTTTATTAATTTTTTCTTCAGTCCGCTAACCTTATGGCCAGGATTGTAGGCCTAAACCAATCAATGTTCAAGTAGCTTGATCACAACCAATCAAATTACAGAACAGCTAGATTCATGTCATCATTTTATCAGCAGTTTTGACAATCGCAGGACCTTTAAAAAAGCAGAGAATCTTTTCTCGATCATCAATTGTAATCATTTATTACAAACTTAAACTCAAGATAAACAGTACTCTACTAGAATAAATAATGGCCTTCCTTAAACATCACCTCAACACATGTTGCTTAAAAATATTTGAAAAAAGAAAATGAATATCTTTTGAAAAGTCTCTTTTGAGTTTCATAGGAAAACAAACTCCCTTCTTTCATGGTTGATTATAGATATGATAAACGAAGGATGTAATCCACTGTTCTGTAAGCATATCAAATTGACAGGGTGTTTTCTTTCATTTTGATGCTGTAAAATGCTTACTTTCAAATTGCCACGGAAAACTTTGTTGTTGCATTCTTTTGAGTCGTTCGAAAATGTCTGTGATCAACTAAAAAGTCATTCTTTTTCTGTTACAAAATTTAAAAATGGCTTTGAAAAAAGCAAACATTTTAGAACATACTTACGCTTTTCATCTGACACTCTTCAGAGTATAAAACGTCAGAACATAGATCGACAACTCTGCACTAGGAAATATTCATAAACAGTTATGGATTGAAATAGGTTAATCAGAAACCTACACTGAAGGCACCGCGGAGTGTTGAGAAAAGTGTGGGTCTAGAGAAAGTGGTGGGGGCTAAAACAGAATTAAAAGAGGTTTTTCTGGCGGCTCATTTCTGAAAATTTTTGCATTTTTTCAAAAAGGGAGGGGTCTAGAGCGCCCCCAGCCCAGCTAGAGCGCCCCCAGCCCAGGCTCAGCAGTGCCTGCATTGATAGGAAATTTTGCCTTCAAATGTAATCAGTATTTTTTTCAAAAATTTATCAATGAAATGTGTTCTGTTTGTGCAGCAGTAGCTAATGATAAGTTTGTTTTTACAGGAACTGACCGTAGCAACCTTGTCGAAGTCAAGGATCTCAACAACAATTTCCCTCTTCCTTTTGAAAACACGCAAATGTTCAAAAACGCCAAAGTGCATTGGTCAGCTTATGCCGATGCCAACTTCTTGAAAAGACTGAATGACGAGGATATTGCAGTCACTTTTGCAAGTTCCGGGTATTATCGATGCGTAAAGAACGCTGTCTGTGGTAGAGAGTCTGTTGAGGGAAAAACGCAGATGAATAATTTGCTGAACAACGCACCAGCCTCGTTTGGAGGGATGCTTATTGAATTCTCAAAGGGCAAATACCACTACATTTGCACCAGAAACAACAGTTTTACCAACAGAAGCCAAAAAGGGACACTCGAAGTTGAATAGTGTCTCTTGAAGAGTAGGCATGATTGGACAATTTGTTGCCTTTAAATATTTGCACGTTATTTTGCATGGTTCTCAATTTTATGTAGAAACATTCCTTTTTCGGGTGCCTTGAATCCTTCTGTGATGCCTAGAACTTTACTGAGGGTACTGGGCCTTAAACGACAATGAACTAGGCAATTTTAGTGCTAATCGCTACAATCAAAACTGTTTGCATTAATTTTTCTTTTTATCTTTTATATCATCATTTGAAATAATGCACTCAAACAGTAGCCATTAGACTTGTGTTATCTTTCTCTGTATTTCCTAAGTTCCACGGCCATATTTTAAAATGGCGTCAATTTTTAACTTTACCCACCAGTTCCGCGAAAATTCTTAATTCATTCAAAAGGCCATTTGATGTTATAGTTTTAGAAATAAATTTTACTGTTCTATTTAGGAATGAGTCTCAACGTGTCTCGTCAAGCTCAAATGTATCATTAGGACACTGGGAGAGATAGGAGCAGAAAGCTTGACTATATCAAGGGCCAGACCAATCTCTAACTATTGCGCTCAAGAAGGGAGAGGGGGAGGGGGATTTCTAAGTCCCATTTACCGGATGAACTATCCTTTTTTTGCCGACATGTTTGGAAATTTACTGACTAAGCACCAATAGATTGCTAAAAACTCCACGTTCTTGCAATGGGGTGTCACACCCCGACCACCCCCTGTAGTAACGGGCCTGTTAAGGGCAGAGGCTTGGGATGCTCAGCTCATCTCTTTGACTTTTAAAATGTATCTGTTTTCAATAAAATTCATACCAGCATCCCGCTTTTCATCCACTTACTCTTGCTTAGGATCAAGGACAGTTTTCCCCTCTGTAAAATGGAAAAGTACAAAATTAACACGAGGCTACCTTCTTTTGTTCAAGCTTCCCTTGTAGAAACTGCTTCACTAAATACGGTGCATCTTCAAGAGAGCTTTTTTCTGCATCTTTCTTCATAAGAAAGTAGGTGGGGCTATATACAATATTGAGGAAAGGTGTGAAAAATGGAACATTTTTAAATCAACAAGTATGCCACCCATTTCATTGGAATACTGTTTGCACCAATTCCAATATAATTTCGGAATCGTGCCAGATTTTTTGAGCCCATTTTGACTTTGTCTCCGATACCTGTGGTCAATTGGGCTACTTTACTTGGGAACTATTACTTATGAAAAATTGAGGCGGAAAAATTTCAAAGACAAAGAAATATTGCTCTTCCATGCTGGTCGGAATGAAAGATTTTTCAGAACCCCGTATTTGCATACATCTGAATGATGTTTTCTAACAAATCTATATAAATTATTTCACGGCCTTCAACTATAAAAAGCATAAGCCGGATCTGTCCAATGCTTATTTTTTCATAAGATAACTTTCCTGTAGAGCCGTACAGGTACTAGGCTATCTAAAATCGACTTCAGCTAGAGGATCTATCTTCTTTTATTAACATGAAAAGAAAACAATAGCCTTCCGTCCTGAAAATAAAAAAGTAAAATAGTATTTTTGGCTAGACGTTGCCACAATTTAAACAGTGGTACATTTAAGTATTTTGTGCAACTTTAAATGAAATGACTGTTTCTGGTAGGATTTTGATCACTTGTAATTTTCTTAAAAGCACAAGTTGAGATTTTAATGGCAAGAAGTTATCGATGGCAAAGAAATTACTTGTATGTAGCCATTTTAATTTATACATACAAGTTCTGCACCAAAGGTGGTCATAGCCCCCACGCTTTTCAGGATTAAGTTTTTCTAAGGTATGTATATGTAGTTTACCTTATATGGTACTAAATATGCGGCATCACGCGGTATGTGATGTCATGGTACCAAACTCAAGGAAGTGGAGGTAAAACGAGGCTATGTCACTTCCTTGACTGTCATTCCGTTGCTTTGCTGGCCAAAGTAATCTGGAATTTTTGAGGGAACCATTACTCTCTTCGACATCATGAAACTGTTAGCCGTTTGCCTCTCGCTTCTCTTTATTGAATTTACCTACGGTGATGTATACCTACACTATCCTCGAGGATCGAACAACAGACTGAACGAGCGGTCAGCACAGAGGACCAATGGAAATAGGGCTTTCGACTCCCAGGTCAGTGATCTGAATGGGGGCTCCCGTTTATAGAGAAATTTATTTGTTATCTGTCAATTATTTAGATCTATTTGACCTTGATTATCTACACGTTTGCTGCATAACTAGTGCGATTCAAGAAGTCAACCTTGATTTACTTTTTCTTGTGCACCTAATCGAAATTTTTATATTTAGGCCACATAGTTGTTGGTCAAAAATTTGACACAATCCTAGAAACACACCATACGTTTCCATATAACCCTAACCTAACCCTGACCATAGCCCATTTAAAAACCTATCGAAAGGTTTATAACTGAAGTTCAGTTCAGTTATATTTTAAATTGATTCCACTGCATAATTGTAACAAGTACACACCCCTTCAAAAGCTATAAACCTCTGAAACTTTTCACCCAAAATAGATCCACGATACAAATTGGTTGTTACGGTAAATTCATTAACTTATCCCAAGACATTATTTAAATTTATGTTTCCTAAAAGAGGGGCATTTATTAGACGGATGTATTAACCATGTGCTGCTCAAAAGGTCTTACAAAGTTGTTATTCAGTGGTCTTAGAAGTAATTTGATGTTATGTAGTTGTAAAAAAAAGTGTCTAAATAAAGACAATATTATAAACACCAGAGCTTCAAATAATGTTTGAAAATAAGAACATCAAGCGTCAACAAAAATTGTTGGGTTCTTTTGTTTTGTTGAGTAAAAGAGTGTGATTTGTTGTAAAGGAAATTCTAAAACCAGATGAGGTGCACAATTGTTATCTGATTTGAAATAGAAGTGAATAGAAATTCAGTGTATTTATGGACACAATAAAGAAGTTTACATTGTTGTTTATAATTGATTTAGTTTGATGATATGATTAATTGTATGATAATTAAGTTTTCAAATTCTCATTTAGAATAACAATAGAGGTGGATACAATGTTGGAGATAAAACAGACAAGCCATTTAGTAATGAGGATGGCCAGTTTAATGAGGTAAGTAGTGATATAGCAATATGGTATTATTTTTCAAAGTTTAAATAAATTTTTTTGACTAAAGTTTTGTTACATTGCCTATGTGAAGTTTCTAGTACATTAGCAACAAAAAACTTCATCAGATAAATTTTCCGCAGATAAACTTCGTCGAAAAAATTTCGGGCAGTTTTTCAGAATTTCGTCCGGACAAAATTTTGTCAATGATTTTTAACAAAAAGATAGCGCAACATACTACCAAACTCATAAGAGGCAAAACCAAACAGGTTGCTTTAAATTCAATCTCATAGGTACCTAACTTGTGGAGACTTGGGGGCTTGAGCATCTGTTTGGAAATGGTCTAAACCCCCCAGGCAGCTTTTTCACACAGAACAGCATGTAAGAAAACCAAATTAAAGCAAATTAAAGTTTATGCAAAGGTAGGATCAAAAGAGATGCTTTTAGATTTCAAAAAGTCTCTACTCTGTATCTATATGGCATGAAAGTTCATAGACAGAATCTAATTAAAAGTGTCAGTGTGAATATGCAGGCACGATGCCACTTTTTCAAAAATTAAACAATTTTGACTGTCTTTTTTAGCTATTTTTGGAAAAAGAGTAAAAAAAGAACAAACTGAATTTACTAATTCATTTGGGTATATTTCTATTTTTTGTCTATCATTTGCATCAATTCAGTAGATAATTTTCTGTATCATTGCATTGTCTGCATTTTGAATGTGTAAACATGGCCTACTGAAATTACTAGAGACAAAGTAGATGCACATTTCTGTTCAGGAAGTAAAATCAATGCAACAGCTTCTTGTTATTCACATCGATGTGCACTCTGAACCAAAGTCACTCTTTCTTTCTTTCCCCGACGTCTGTCACTAGAGTTCTAGCATAAGAATTGTCGAATTGTCTATTCTGAGTGGTTTAGTAATTTGTTAAATTTTGGCCTGGGAGATGCATTTTTAGCCATTCTAGAAGGCTGAATCTCAAAAAAATTTCGCTATGACCAATTTTGGTCTCATTTTGAATTTAGTCGAAGAAAATTTCGTCAAAATATTTGTCCGAAATTTTGTCACAACAAAATTATTTGTAGTTAATGTATCTTATTTTCTTCTTTCTTACTTTATATATGATCCATTTTTGTTTCGTTAATCTTGAAATGAACTTCTTTGCTAGGAGTGAATTCAAGTGTCTAAACTATTTCCATTATATGTAAATTTGTATATATTTGTGTTCCTGAATTATTTAGTTTTTGCAATAGTTGGCCAAATTTGAATCAAATTTTTCTGTGGTGGGTCTCAAGAACATAAACTTCAAATTTTGGAGAGAATACTTAATATTTTTATAATTTTTTATATTTGTAGTGGCAAACAATAAAACAAATTTGTGTTCCAGGTGTTTTTCATGAGCAGTTCTCAATCAAAGACCAGCAAAAGCCAAGGAAGAAGTTTGTTGAGCATAGAGTGGACAAACCAGCATGGTTGTGGAGGGAATGAAGACACTGATCCCCACAAGGTTAATTGTAACCTTGTTATCCAGTATCTATGCCAGCCTGATAAGAGTTACCCAAATGGACACAAGATGAAGTTAAGAAATGGTCGTACCACAGGGACACCTACATTTCAAGGTGGACCAAAGAATGAAATAGTTGCTCAGACTATTGCAAGGAGAGATGGAAATCTAAACATACAGCATGTTTTGCAAGAGCGCTGGGAGTGGTATGAAAAATGCAATGTAAGAAAAAGAAATAAAGGTATGTACCTTGTTTATTTTTAAAGAAGAAATATTGTTATTGGTGTGATATAGAGGCATATAGTGGAAAAAATGATGAAATTGTTCATAGATGTATTTCTTCTTTCTACTTGTTGGCAAAATGTTTCTTTTTACCTAATTATGTGCCTTTTGTATGTCACCATGCTGTCACTTAAAAAAGAAATTGAAGGAATGTTGAACAGACAGATGGACAAGTTTTTTATCATATAAGATGATGTTGCTATTTCAATTTAGACAGTTCCAAATTAATATATTTTTTGATTTAGACAGTACTACAATTATTATTTTTATGAACCCACTGTTGAAATACCTGATGAACTCCTGCTATTAAAGCTCTTGATTAACTCTTACTCAGAACTGTATTTCTATGGTACATTGAAAAAATTCAAGATCATAGGACTTGCTCAACATTTTTAACTGACCACAAAGAGCTGAAGGGTCCCTAGTGCTTCTGATCTGAAAAATAATGATAGGTCAAGTGAACATTTCATCATAATCTATCAATTTCTAAGTTGCATCAGGTATGTAGCACTTAAAGCAAAGCTTGTAATACTTGTTGAAATCCTCTGAGTGAAGCTCATTACCATGAACTGTTATGCTACAGTACTTCAATTTGACACAGTGAATCATATTTTTGTTTTAGTAAGGGTATAGCTAAAAAGATAGCAACATGTACTTGAAATATGAAGTAAGATCCTGAAGTATGACAACAATTGCAAAAATGAATTTTGAAATACAGCAATTGTGTTAAAAATGTGCCTTTATGGGCTAGAATAGAACCAAGAGGTTTTTATTCAATAGTAGAATAGCCTTTGTCATTGTCATTGTCTAATCTTTGTCATAAAATTTTTCTTGATAAAGACTTACTCATCTTAAAAGTTCACTGGATCTTTATTATGTAAACTATGGCAGCACATAACACCCACATAGTCAACATTTCATGGCGGTCACCTGACCATCAGCAAGTCATGTGGAGGAGATGTAACATCAAGAGCAAAGCATGATGTAATGCCACTTGACAATGTGTGGGATTCACATTCACAACGAAATTGTCAGAATGATATTTCTAAGGCTCTTTAATGCTATTTCACTTATTTCTATTTCTTTACAGTTGTGTCAGTTCTCTGAATTTATCAGTGATTTGTGTTTAAAATGTGCTTTCTGCTCCAAAATCTAAGATTCAGTCAGATAGCTGAAAAAGCTGCAACGTTTAGCCCTCTTTTTCCTGTTGTTAGCATTTCCAAAATGCGCAGATGTTCTCTCAGAGGCTATCATGATATTTTTTTATGTCATCAAGTAGATGCTGCGAAAATTCATTATTTTGCCAGCGAAAAGCAGAATGGTTGACTGGAAATAGAGCTTTATGCAAAAAACCTTTATTTATCAAATCGAGACAAAGATTCAAAGCAGTATGCTCATGAAAGGGATGTTTGTTGCTTTAACTGTTTTTCTTAGTAGAAGCTGTGCTTCAAACTCTTTCGTGGAAATGGCATTATCAACATTTGTTGAAAGAGGTAGTTACGCTCCTGCCAACATTCCTCCTAAAAATGAATATTGAGATAACATTGTCACATTTTCATTTCTGTTTTCCAGGTCTTTTTACTGCTGATCAAAATCTGCGAGGAGACACAGCTAAGTATACCAGGCAGAACCCTAATGGAAACAGGAGAGGCTATGAATGCCCAGAAGAACGAGATTACTTCCCATATTGGCACCCCACAGAATGGAAGGACATTGCCGTTCTCGCTGAGAATGCATCAAGATGCTCTTTCTATCAGAGAGAAAGTTTCAACGTCAAATCTAAACGTATGCATATATCTATGTCGCATTCTTGACTCACTGAATCTATCATTGCAGATACTGTCAATTTAAGGTTCTTCAAGGTATAATGTGTTCGATATATCGAAACTAATAATTATCAATATTTAGCTTAAAGATGACTTGCTATGGATGAAAACATGAATAATTGTTGTATCACACAGTTCATTGCTTATGAAATAATACTGAACACCAGAATAATATGTAACGAAAAGCACTATTAAAGGGGCCATATATTATTTTATTGAAACTTTTTTATATGTATATCAGCTTATGCGTTTTAAGATCAATAAAACTCATTGAAGAATGCATTATATTGTACCCAAAGTGTTATTGTCCATGCTCGACTGCAAGTCAAGCCCTTTCTTGCATTCATATCTTTTATTCATACATTTATCTTTTTGTTCCAGCTCTCGCTCATATTTTTTATAAATAGTATAGTTGGCGCCGTCTCGAAACAACCAGAACCAATCGCTCATGCTTATTTTTCTTTTTCAATTGACATGATGGCGATAACATGTTTTATCTATGACCATGACAACAAACCAAAACTCAGATTTTGGGATAGTTGGAGGGTCATGGAGGGTCTGATAGAAGATGGTACTTGATACTTGATGATGATGATGACCATAAATCCACGAATAAGCTTGCTTGTTACTTATTGATTAAGGCAGCTTTCAGATAGGGGCTAATTCGAGGGGGCTTATACAAGGTAGAGGGAAATGGGAAGATTTACAATAACTGTTTAAAAGTTCGTATATATTTTGAAAAATTTTTAAATCAGAAGCTAGATTTAGATCAGCATGCGAATGACTGAAATAAGAGTAGTTAAATATTTTTAAAACATTTATAGAATTTATATTAGAATTTATTACTTTAGGCCTCGGTCTTCATTGTATCTAACCATGCTATTATTGCTTTCTAGATGAATGTATGAGTAAAGACAGTGCCGGAAAATATAAAATTGCCACCGAGTATAATAACAAGAAAGACTGCGAAGATAACAGTGGACAGTGGATGGAATTTCATAATTTCCTAGAAAAGGCTACGCAGTACAAAACAAAGCCGTCCTGTCTCGCAGCTTCTAGTAATAGTGTTAGGTTAATTTGGGGTCGAGCTCTGTATAGTACTCAAGAAGAATGTCTTGTTGCATTGGATAAACCAGAGTGCAAGGAAGCAATGTGGTCACGTGACAATCACCTTGGTAACGGTATGGGTGGACAGCCTCTGAGGTACACTTGGAAACTGCCTTATTTTCCTTCTGGAGATACCCAGAGATGCGTTTTACGACTTAGGTAGGTTTAATGCTAGTTTTTGTTCGGTCGTGTATACTATAATTCGTGATTTTAAATGCGTTTGTTTTCTTCCATTTAGCAAAGGCATAATTATTCATAAGCACAGGCTAATTATGCATGTTATTTCGTATAATTGTTTCCAATAATGGAACATATCAATGTGAATTGCTAGAGCTGACATTTAAACAAATACCGAAATATGCCTTAGTCAATTGCAGGATTAAATGACACCTGAAAATACTATAAAGAAAGCAATCATCTAGGGTTAAAACGTGTGTTTACCAAGAATGAACCTTGATTTCTTCAAACATTATTTGTTTCTTGTAGGTATAATATTTCCACTGATGATTACGATCCAGTCAAGACGGATTCAAAATCAAATTTGAACAGGTTTGTTTCATAACAATTGTTTCAAGTGGTCGCTGATTCGTAAAATCTTATCGAGTTCGTAATGTCTGGCTGAATAGCAAAGAAAGCTTCCCCCAGATGAAACTTATGCGGTAGAGTATAATGCCAGTGTCATTGATGACATCGATATCTATTGACATCATTGATATCTAGAAGTAATTTAAATGTCTTCACATCAGAATCTTTGATCATGTTATTCTTATTCGCGGTTATAAATCCATACTGAGAAGTTCGATTTTTACACGCCAAAGGTTTTAGGCCAGTAATTCTACTGACCGGTTTAACCGCCAGCTTGCCTCACGGGACGATACGTAGTGTAGTACTGTATATTTGTCCGACTGGACGGAGATGTGCCATTTTATCAGGATATTGTTTTCAAGTACCTCCAATTGTTACCCACATGAAAAAAATTTTGCAGACCACGCCCTTAAAAATACGGGAAAACGCCTCCTATTGCAAATAAACTATGCCGTTTGTTAGTGCCATTAGTCAGGGCCAAGAGAGAGTTCTTTGGCGCTTGGATATAAGCGAAGAGGAGCTCCCCTGCGAGTGAAGCGAGTAGAAAAGTTATGCGACTACTTCCTATAGAGTAGCTTAGAGTATTTAAACTGTCAACTGCTTATTCATTTCTTGATTTTGATATTTGTATTTTGTCTGCAGATTTTCACTTTTAGAGAACAACCTTCTAGGGATCGGGTTGGGGGGGGGCGGGTTCGAAGAGTGACAAATGAGCAGTTTGCCTCTTATTGACTCTGCGACAAAACTGTTGTGTTTTAAGGGTAACGGCTATGCTCGAAACGTCGTTATTCATTTAAAAAGGTTTTTTTCCTGGTACAATTTACTTACATTGATCGTTATTATAGCATTATATTGTACCGCACGCAATCTAGTATATTTATTAAATTTTATTTGATGCCTGCTACAGAAATTTTCCAGCTCAAAGGGAGGGTTATAGCAACCTAATTTTTCATGGTTTTCAATTGAACAAGGTTTGAGTATAATCTGAAGGTGTATCTCGAAAGATAAATGTCTACAACATACAAACTACGGGTTCAACATGAACGCGCTTAAACATTCAGTTCATAGAAAGCTTTAGACATGTTTTCCAGTAGGGTTATAAATTTTAACTTTTGTAGGCTTCTTTCTATAACCATAAAGAAGCTAACAAAACTGGCTTTAAATTCGAATGTTTTAAGTCTGATCTGCAATAAAATAGGTTAAGGGTATCGGGTAACATCTCCCAGTTTTTTGTGCAGCTATGATGCAATCTTCCCATTGTTTAAGTAAGATCACGCCACCACTGTATCTACGATCTCTTTCAGGTTGACCGGTGTGTTGTCTCCTGTTGAAAACAACCCACAAGTTGATGTTGGCGTCAGCAATACGCCACTCCGCCTCGCAATGAACACGGCGCAGTATGGTCGCACTTTCCAAGATAGAACACATCTGTTTCTTCTTAAAAAGCGTCCTTCCTCAAGTCTCGATTCAAAGACAATACATAACTTGGGAGTTCGTGGAAAACGAGGCAACATCGTACAGGTCTACCCAGCTGTCGAGTACGACTTCTTCCCAACAAATCTAACGATAAAAGAAGGGGAGTTGGTGCATGTCCAGTGGACTGGGTCTAATACACACAATAATGGGGCCCCCGGGGGCGATGGACAGACTGGTGATGCCGGTGAAGGAACTGGAGGTAATAACTTAGCAATGCCAATTCTGCAATGCCAATTTTTAAATAATTTTCCTCAATATTTTCCTTAGTTTTTAAAGCCAAATATTTGGATTCGATTCGATAACTTTTTCTGCTTGTAACACTATACATTTTGGTCACAAATATCCTCCAAAAAAGCAGCAAATCAATGTATGGTGAAACTATGGAGAAGAGTTTGTCCCTTAAGTTTTAGCCGATTTGAATGCATTAGTTTTTTTCTATTTATTTCAAATAAACCTTAACAAGGCAAAGTGCTCTTACGACTGCAAAATGATTCAATCCACCCTTCCTCCCACAACTCATCCTTTTTCCCATGATGTTATGAATTTATGAATGCTCTACCCTCTTTCTGCTTCCCAGACTCTAATATCCTATCTTCATTGAAAACTAAAATAAACAAGCTTCATCTTTCCTCCTTCTCTTCTAAACCCCTCCCTCCTTTCCCTCGTAAGGGCTTCGCTATAGGCTCCCGGCCCTTACCCTAACACATGCCTAACATCACCAACAAAAAGGTGATGTTACGCAGAATTGACTTCTAACCAGCCTTGTCTTTTGAAACAGATTCAGTGACATTCTCTGTAGTGCTACGTTTATGATTGCATTTTCCTTAATTTTTGCAGCTTGCTTCAAGCAGATTCTGTTGCAATGTTCCACCTATTGTATCTTTTTTATTTCTAACTAGGGACTGATAGAAGCAACATTATGGAAGTTAAAAATCTCAATACAAATTACCCGGTCCCGTTTAAAAATGCAAAAATGTTTAAAGGAGCCAAAATTCATTGGTCATCGTTTGGAGACTCGAATTTCGTAAAGAAGCTATCGAATGAGGATGTGGCGGTTACCTTTGGAAGCTCGGGATATTATTTCTGCATGAAGTCCAGCACATGTGGAGCAAATTCAGTAGAAAGCAAAACACCAATGAATAACCTATTGAACAACGCACCAGCCTCGTTTGGAGGTATGCTTGTAGAGTTCACAAAGGGTATGTACCATTACATATGCACTAGGAATAACAACTTCACAAACAGAAGTCAAAAAGGAACCATCGAGGTGAAATAAGTCTTAATCGATAACGATGAAGTATCAATCGTGTATAACCTAACTCTAGATTAATAATTTGTATCATAGACCGACAAAATATGAATGAAAGGGTTTCGAGCTTTAAACTCATCGTCGTTATGATTTTCTACTTCCTTTTGTCATATTTCATTCTCCGTCTTTTCCCAGGTCCCTTAAATTTCTAAGTTAAGGTATTATTTCCCATTGCATTCGTTTTGTACCAGCATCTTCTGAACTATCTTTAAAGGACCATTTTCGCTTCGTATTTTAACCACATGTTTTGTCGGTCTTCATGCAATGCAGATTTTATAACTTTATGATTGCGTATAATTCAACAAGCTGTATATAAATCGAAACTCAATTATTTACCATGGTATGAAATAATTTATTTAATTTGCTCTCTAATGTAATTTTGATACTTGTATTTTATTTTATACTTGTCAGTTTTTATGCCCATGCTAATTATCTTTTGTAACCCACCACATTTCGTATTTTGTAAGTTATATATGTATTTGCTCTAAGCGTTTTTGGCCCCTTATAAAACCACGTCAAAACATGATTTAATGTAAAGAAGAGGTACAAAATTGCATATTGTTCAGAAAATTTCAAGATAGTATGAAAGTCTCTAGAATTGGCAATTCTCATTTTAAAGTCTCTGGTCCATGTTATTATATTTCCTCCTCCTCCAATTTTGCTTTTAGGCAGGTTTTTTTCTAGCTGGGCATGAATGGACCTAGTAGAAACAAATAGTTGAATCGCCTTTTCGTAATGTTTTCCTCGACATTTAATATGTTTTGGGTCATTTATTTTGGCTAGTTACGACATGGTATTGAAATTTCCTGCAATTATGTTTGATGCCTTGACCGTTTTTACAAATCGATTAACGTGATTTTCTGTATTATACTTGGACGTCTTTTCTAAATATGATGATAAAAGATTAAATGCTGCAATCAGGTGCGGTAGATGCAACAATCAATTTCATCCAATATTCCGCACGTGTAATGAGTCTGATCATCCTTATTCCGCCTTTAACTGCAGCTGGTTCTGATATACTCGATAACGTTGTTCATTCCGAAGTTTTGTCTTAAATCGAGAAACAACAAGATTTGTTTGTCTTTTATCTATTTATGATTCTTCCTTAAACATCTAAGAGCACACTCTAAGGATTTATCCAAAGGTGTGGTGCTATCAAAATATCAGGGGGCTCTTGCGAAACATGTTGGTAAAACAGTAATAAAAGTAGAATTTGGCTGCTTTTTGGTATTAACAAAGGGGCTCAAACCCCTAAAGCCCCCTAGCACTTAACCCATGATTTTACCTATCAGTCCTCTGAACTCATCCACTCCGATCAATGCAACGGCTGATTTTTTGTTGTTTGGTTAGGCCTTTTCCTTATGACAAAGGCCATATCACAACGAACTTGGAAGTACGACTTTTCTTTCTTCAGCATTAACTTATAGCAACAGCGATTATAAATGAAGCAATAACAATTATTAGAAGTTGGGAGGAGTAGATGTACGCCTTAGCTTTTTATTTGTTTACGGTCATGAGAAAATGAGCCTTAAGTCATAGATTTAGTTTCTTGAGAAAATTGTTTGCTGTTCAGCTCTCTGGATTTTCTTTCATATGATTTTTGATAAAGTCTTGAAATGTTGCGTTGTATAGTTTTTGCTAAGTTCACACACTCTCTTTCAATATTTAAAATTTTTAAAAGCTTTAATTGCATTGAGAATGTAAAGAAATGACAATAATGAAAAAATAGGCACCACCAATTTTAATATTCACAATAACACAACAAAAGATATGGATTTTGTTCTATCTCTATGATTTAGATGGTGTTTGACGGGCTCCTCCGAGTAATGTCGTCATAAGAAAGCTGGCTCCCATTTTGCTGATTTGTACTAATTGAACGAATTTGGCCTGAATACCGATAAAAATGAGAATTTGCCCATCTTTCGTCATTGCTAGTTTAAATTCTAACTTAAAAATATCGATGTAAGTGCTTAGGCATTAGGATGTAAATGAATTATAACTGCAAAAATGGAAGAAATTATGCTGTATAACCATGCTTTTACGAGCAATTTTTTTATTGCAAGATTCAAATGACATTACTTTGTCAAAAACCAGAAGTGTGTGGGCTCCATGCGGGGGGGGGGGGAGGCGAAGAAATTTTTGCCTGAAATAGACCAAAATTTTCATGGGGTATAGTCAAACTAGCACTAACACAAACCAATGAAATGATATGATTTGAACTTTGAAGACGTTAGCAGACGATTTCTTTAACACTAACTGGTCATTCTGCATGTGCACAAGGAAGTATGACATTGCGGCACAGGAATGCGACAGCCTCGTTTACAGTATGAAACTTTGAATTTTGACGTTGCCACCACTACAGGACGTGGCAAAAAGCGTATCTCTTCATAGTTGAGAATTGCCTGGGGATTTTTGCCTGAATCCCGCACCCCATCTTCAAAAAGATGGGTAAATCTAGCACAAAAACACACCAAGAAAATGACAAATCGAAGGCAGATATTTGCAAGGATGCAGATCCCGCAGCAAAAGATAAGGCTGCTGTAGCACTTGATTTAGGCCACGACGACAGGGCGGCTGCGGTTTTGTACTGGAACAAGAGAGCTCGAATAAAATGGGTTGTAACATTGTTCCTCGGTGCATTTTTGGTTTATGCAGCAAGGACATCAATGTCAATATCTGTAATGGCTATATCAGCAGAACTTGGATGGAATAAACAGGTTTCTGGTATGGTTCTATCATCCTTCTTCGCTGGCTATGTTACTACGAATGTTCTTGGTGGATACCTTGCTGATAAATACAGTGGTGAAAAGGTTATGTTATATTGCTCTGTTTTGTGGATCACAATGACAGCATTAGTTCCTTTATTTGCCAGATATCATGGCTTTCTTTTTATGTCAAGTACTTTTGGCGTGCTTGTAGCCAGGTTCCTGACTGGAGTCGGACAAGGTATGCATTTTCCATCCATGACCACCATAGTTACTCGCAGGAATCCGATAAATGAAAGACCGTTGGTTTGGGGAATATCAATTTCTGGATCTGCTCTAGGCACAATATTTTCTGGTTTTGCAGGATCATTCATTATAGAAAATATTGGATGGCCAAGTTTCTTTTTTGCTGTTGGGGTACTAGGTTATATTTGGTCCTTCTTTTTACGAATGAATGTGCATGCAGTTTCTGAAAAAGATGATATGACTCTCAGCAAAGCAAATAAGCCTTTTGCAAAAAAAGAATCCACTCCCTGGCTACTTTTGTTCTCAAAGTTAGAGACATGGGCACTTCTTGTTGTTTATTTTTGTAATAATCTCTGTTTTTATAATTTGCTATCATGGCTTCCAGTTTACTTTCATGAAACATTCCCACATAGCAAAGGATGGGTCTTTAATGTTGTTCCGTGGATTGCAAGTTTTGCTGTCTCAGTGCTTTCTGGATATGTTGCCAGAAGTCTTATAAACAGCAATTTTTCAGTGACCTTTGTACGTAAGCTATGCACATCAGTAGCTCTATATGGAGGAGGGACGTTTCTCTTACTTCTAGACTTTGCAGAAACATTTGAACAAGCATTATTTCTTATGACAATGATACTTGGTGTCATGGCATTTTCAAATGTAGGCCCGGTACAAAATGCCCAGGATCTTGCTCCAAAATATGCTGGTGCATTGTATGGAGTGATGAACTCATTTGGTGCATTTGCAGGCATTGTAGGAGTTTACCTTAGTGGACACTTACTTGAAGCATTTGGCAAATGGTCAGCTGTATTTCATTTGTCCTCTGGTGCTTGCTTTGTTGGTTGTACTGTTTTTCTAATATTTGGATCAGGAGAACGTATAGTTTAGATTTTTGTTAGACGCAACACAACTAGACAGAGATAAAAACCTAGACAGAGTAACTCAGATTTTGTAAATTCTTTTCTGTTCTTATTTGTGATGCTTTGGCATGCCATTTAATTAAAACATTCATAAAACAAAATATTTCATTAATTCTCTAAAAAATTAGGATTAGTACTTCCTGGAAAGTTTTAGTCATATACTTTTAGTTTATAATGCTTTTGTCAGATAACTTAATTGTAAACACAGCATAAACAAAAATTTTATCCTGTTTACTTTATGGTGTAATTGTGTCATTTATTAATATTTTGCTTGTTTCCAAATACAACAAATATTATATTATTACAGAATCAATATTTCTGATGAACTGGCAAGAATTCATTATTGAATTTTAATTTTTGATGAAAGTTTCATGTTTATGTCCCATCAGTGGTGGCTGGCACAAAATTATCATGGTACTAGTAAAGCAAAAAAATCTCAGGCAGAGCAAACTAGCTAGAGAAAGGGTGGTGCAGGGGCGTGGTTCCTGGAAAATCTTTGTTTTTATAGATAATATGGCCAAATAGTCTTTTAATGGCGGGTCAAAAGTTTTCATACAATACCTCGGTTTGTTTGACATCATGTGATATTGTTGGCTGCAGGGTTTAAGTGGCCTCCAGCATTTTATCACTAAAAAGAGGAATCTAGTACTGCAAACAATTTTTTCATTGTTGGATTGTTAAAAGACAAACGGTTTTACATCACATTGAGTTACAAATGACAATGGGACAGACTTTGGCAGTACTGGGTGAATGAGGTCTAGTACCATGGTGTACATAAAGGGCTCATTCAATGCCAATCTTAATTAAGATATGGTGTATTCTGCCGCTCTTCCCTTTTTTCACCATTAACTCAATTGTCATGGAAAAAAGCAAAATCATACAATACATAAATATTTCAAGCTTTCAAAATAAAATGGTACTGGTACCACTAGTACCGCTGCAAGCCGCCACTGTGTCCCGTATTAGGAAAATAAAATGATAGAAATTCAACTCCAAATGCTTCTGTTTCTAAAAAATTATCAGCATGCAAGAAGTTAAGGCTAGTATCTTAATTATTTGTTTAGGAATCCATTATTTTGAAATAACATAATTTTTTCAAGGCTGTTTATAATAGTAGCAATTGGATTTAGAAATACATTTATCTTATATGGAAAAGTACAAGAGACTAATGTACTTGTTATAATTAAAACTGCTATATGAGAGTTAAAAATGAGCTGGGCTCCTCGCATATGGCAATTAAATGCTTGTTAAAAAAAACATTTGACAAAATATCTTTATTCATTGGAAATGGTAGTCTCAGTTTGTCATGCCTTTTAATTTCTACAATTTTTCTTGTTTTTATTACAAATGTAACACAACATGTACCTGTGTGATGCCTAGTAAATTTATGCATGCAATGCCTAAGTGTGAATGCTCCCAAACACCATGAATAGAGGAACCAGCAACAGGAACAAATGTAACCTGCCGAAATCTTTGACAAAATAATTTAGTTGTTAAGAAGTATCAATGTTAGAAAATTGATGGTATTGAATTTACATGTAGAAATCATTTTTTCTTGCACAATCTTCAGGATTTCACAAATCCATATTTGTATTGTATTGCTACATTTGAATTGGGAATACCCAGCCAAGAGCTATTTCTTATGTTCCATAAAGATCAACAATAGACATCCCCCTTACTATGATTAATTTGCAATAACGAGTGGCTTAGCTAGGATGGGAAGGTTGCACAGAGCAAAGTCGAGCCCAGAAAAAGGGGGTTTGGGTGTTTCCCCAGGGAATTTTTGCATACCACACCCTTCAGACTTTGGAAAATCACCCAATTTTGTAAATGTGTTTGAAATAAGCTATGTCGTTTGTACGTGGCAATGGTTTGTTAAGCTATCACAATGATAGTCATAGGCAGCTTTTTGTGGCTAGCCCTTCAAATTTTACAGCTGGCTATTACCTTCACTATTTCTCTCACGTTTTATATTCTGAATTATGTAAGGCCAGGAAATCCTAAGTATAAAAGCAGTTGAAAATAGATTTCTAAAAATAATAAACATTATTCAGATGCTTCGAACTAAGTCAATTCTCCTAGAAAGAACCTTGAGAAGCATTTCAGTATCTAGTGTTTTTTTAAGAATACCAGACTCTAAGTGACATAGCATAAGACTTTGCAGTCACTTTTGACCCAACCAAAACGACCTATTTGACGCTTTTACTGATCATTTGTTGAAACTGAAATGCATTCTTCATAGTTTGTGAATAGCATAACCCCCTCCACCCCTTTCTTTTGAGCCTTAATTTTTGAATCATTCTTAATCAACATAACGTGTGGATTTGAAGGAATCGAGAAAGAAAGTTCAAATTGCTGCTACTATGTCTTTTTATCATGAGAATATATTAAGGAATGAAACATACTTACCGCATACCGCCAAATTGTCGCTCAAATTTTTTGCACAAAATGCACTGAAATTAGAGCCTGGTAATTAGTCTTAATTTTTTTCTCGAATTTCAACAATTTTGTGTCTCAGTATTGTGTGAATAAAAGTTCTGTATTACATGGAGAATGTCTAAAAAAGGCAGCCCAGGAGCTTCCCTGCAAGCGAATTCAACAGAAAGTGTTTGCGACCACTCCCTCTAGATTGGCTTAAAATCCATTTATGAAATTTGTTACAGTCATTTTCTTGCATTCGTTTAAAACATTTGACTATTGTCTGAAATGTCATCCCCCCCCCCCTTCTAAAGTTACTAATTCTATTGCAGATTTGTTTGCACTTTTCTGAGCATTGGGGAGGGTGCGACCGCTCAATTGCCCCCTTGCTCCCTTTTCCCCCTTGCCCCTTTCCTACGCTACTGGCAGTAGCCTACAAAAATCAAACCATTTACAAGGCTTTTTTATGTAGATGATTATTTCTCAATTCAAAAAGCAATATCTGTTGCTCGATCAATAAATGCATTGATTACATCGTGCCTAATGAATGAGAGAGGCAGTAATAAAGTCAACTTGTAAGGCTGCTGACCAACCTTTTCTCTAAGCAGAAAATTTTTTTGGCAATTGCTTCAAAAAGTAAAGAACGATAGTGGAGGGAAAATGAGCTTTGTGATGCCCGCCAAAGAGCGATGCGAAAAGTAAATAGAGTCGTTACACTCTTTTTTTATAAGAACCAGATAATTTTTGACGAGCCTCGATGTTCTTAACTTTTGAGTAATTCTAGGCTCAAATGTTCTTAAATTGTTCTTATTTTAAGAGTGTTTTTTGCAAATATTTGAAAAATTACATTCTTTATATAATTTCTAAGACGTTTTACTGGGTAAAGTTTAAAAAAATATTGTTTTTATGTTTATAAATTGCATAGTTTTGTTCTTTTGACATAAATTTCAAAATGCAAATTGTTTTTTTTTTAATTTCTCATCTGAAGCTGAGCATGTTCTAGCCTTGTTCTTTTCTTGGGCAAATCGAGCCTCTGTGTTCTTATAAAGTGTGTTCTTATAAAAAAATGAGTGTATGAGAGTAACTGCTTATCGATGTATTGCAGAATCTTATAACTAATTATTGAGCAATAATTTGTGAATCTTTCTTACGAACCACCGAAACAATTATCAAATTTGGTCCCGTAAACTTATCTTTGCCCTTAAACTGATATCTTTGCCGGTGTCATATGCGTTTCGGTAACCTTATGCATTTCGGTCCGAGTACTCAAACGCATGGTAATTTTGGTTATGTAAAATCGTAACCAAGCACTTAAACAATAGGGTACCAAAACGAATGGTGGAATTTAGCATGCAAAACGGACCTGGTACAGAAACCCATAACAATTTTGCTTATACAAAAACGTACCCAATCTTTTAAAAAACAGGGAACTGAATCAAATGGTGGAATTTAGCATGCGACCTGGTCTGGGAACACAAATGTTCTGATTCATAATGTTCAGAATGTAAAGAACAATTGAACTATTTCTAACAAGGGGGTACTAACAAGAAGCGGTGCTGTGATTTCCCTTGTTAAGTTTATGCAAAAAAGTACAACATTAATGGCGACTCCAAAGTTTTCTTGATTGAAAAGTGTGAAATTTTGAACAAAAAGAGCATTGTGTTCTATTTGTTAATTATAATGTGTCAATATCGAACTACGATGAAATCACTTGATTTGAAACACATTGCGATTCACATTGCCCTTGCCGTTGATTTGAAACACATTGCGATTCACAATGTTACACTTTTGCATAGGGTACCAAAACGCATATGACACCGGCAATAAGTCACCGTGAAATTGAATGATAAAATTCTAGGTTTCGAGCTGGAAGTCTCACAGATGATTATATATGACAAGAGACTGAGCAGGAAACAGAACAGGACAGGATTCTTTGCAGGAGTCTGGTAAAAACCAAATGTGGTTAAGAAATGAAACAGTTTTGCAGCGATGTGACAGAGACATCATCAGCTATGCACAGCTGCTGACGGTGCCAAAATGGTTCAAATATATCAATCTTATTTTGTTACATACAGTGTCGTCGGAACGAAATTCATATTGGGGGCTGCCCATTGCACTGCTTTCCATTCAGTACACCATTATCCAGCTTCAGTCCCCCCTCTCCAGCCCCCTCACAAGCCCCCTCTCCATGCTCCCACTACACCCCCCTCGCTCCCAGAGGCCTTTACATATGTAGAGTAAGTAAGAAATGAGGTGCAACTGGTTCTTCTATTTTCTCGCATCACTCTGCAAGTGTGAGCAGATGGCTGTCAGTCAATTTTAGATAGGTTCATAATGAGAAGGAGAAAAGGTTCTTATTTGTTTATTTTTATCCAAAGAAAATTATTCGAGGGTATGTTTACATTTCTGATTTCTTGATAGAATGTACTGTTTAGAAATAAGATTTATAGACAGGCAATTAATATATTTGGAGAGTTGGAAGATGACATGATGAAAAGAAATGTTGATAGCAAGTACAAAGTGAATAACATCACATTGAGCAGTTGAGAAATGCAAACAGATGAAAGAAAGGGACATACTGAAGGCGCAATACATTTTGAGTGAACTCGATTGTTCAAGACTCTTAAGATTTTCTGCTTTCTTCTTTCCAATGTATTAGACTTCCGTATTTTGGCAATTTTTGGATGCTCTAGATACGCCATTTCTAGACATGTTCTAGGCTACCGTTCTTAGAGGCAAGCCCTCTAAAACTTGTATGAATTTATTCTTTTCAAACATTGGCGCCTCTCCAATAATTCTATCCTTCTTCTTGCACTACTTACTGCATTCACTTTGTTTTATTTTGTCTCTAAGTTGCTTTCCCTTCTCTGTAGGAAACTGATTCTAAGGTATTATAGCAGCCCTTCTCGCAAAAGAAGATCAAACTACACTTTAAACGATCAACGGTCCGCTATTATCTAAGAAAACTGCTGCAGTTTTGTTATTTCAACACTCTTTGCCTCGGTGTTGTTGAAATCTTTTACAATTTTATAGTTTTTGAGTAGCTTTTAAGATAATATTTGTTATTGCTCAAAAACGATCTTATTTGTTATTGCTGGAAAAACATCAACAGCAAAATGAACATCTTGACAAAACCGTTCAACTTTCGAAATATTGAATGAAAGTACGGATTGGTAGAAAATGTAGCATCGAATGAAAATTGAACGTCTTATATTGACATTGCTTCATATTTTTGTTTTTTTTCTGCACAAGGGCGGTGTAGAAACTATTTTAGGGGGGTGTCAAGTGTCAGGTTGCCGAGTAGAAGATTTGGGGATATTTTCGAATTCTGTTGCTTCCAGTTTGCTGAAAAATGCACTCGTTGACGCAATTTCTACTACCTTACAACACAACATCAGTGTTATAAAAAGTGGTTCGAGATCAAATCTTTTAGGATTTTTTGACAGCCTTGCAGCCAAAAGTACAGAAGAATCAAAAGTGATTGGATTGTAAAATGATAAATCCATTAGAAAACATATGTTTTGCGAGAATGAATAATTAATGTTTTTGTCTTGGTTTGGCAATGGTGGACTTGTGACAATTTTCTGTCGTGGTACAGTACAAAGCACTCCCAAAGAACTTACAAAAGCTCACCAAAACAAAAGGAATTCTAAAGATTTTTCGTTCAAAAAAAGGATTTCCACGAAAAACGTACGAGCTTTCTATCGAGCGAACTGCCCCAAGTGTATAAAATTTTAAATTTACAATCGACTTTAAAAACCTTTATTTATGTTGGGTGACAGAGCCACATAAATTCAAGCGTAGACGCTCCTCCGCTGCTCCTCTCTTCGCTTCATTTTAGGTGCTCGAGCATATGTGGCTTTGGCACCCAGTGAAGGCTCTATTTTAACTTAAAACACCAAGTGAGAATTCTCCTGGAACACAGCGAATGACCTAGTATTCTATTTTGGTATTCCAAACCAGATAGAGTTCTTTCAATATTGTTATGACGTCAACAAGGCGTGGCAGATGTCCCGTGATCCCACATTGGTGATACATTCACTTGTATTGTCTTGCTGTTTCATTTATAGTAGGAATAAAGAAGCTCTGTTTTTATATGAGCCAATTAGCTCCAAAATTTTGCACTTTGCCAGAGCCGATAACAGTGTTTTTGTTTTGGGTAAATTACAGTACTTGACGATACAAGTTTTCTATAGTCACACACATGCTTGCTTTTCTCAAAGCCATTTTCAGGTTTTTCACAAAAGATTGTTTTCTATATTTCTTTTTACCTTATTTCTATTTTCTATATTTCTTTTTCTATATTTATGCTTTCAATTTTTCTAGTCTACCCAAGAAAAACGTGATATGAAGCTATAATTTCATATGGTGGAGTGACAATTAACTAGGATTGGATTTATTTTACTACATTTCGTTTCTTAAAGGAACGGATAGTCGATTGCTCAAACACTGAAATGACTCTGTTCATTCATTTTTTCTTATTTCATAAAATAAAAACACACACTATGCCAAGTTCTGGTTTCCAGCCTTCAATAGCATTGTCGCTCAAACTTTTAAAATCAGTATCCTTGACAATATTGGCTTCTGTCGTAACATCACAGAAAAGAAGATTTTTATTCATGATCAAAAAGCAACTCGCCACACAAAAGTTAAGGTTGTTTTCACAACATATTGTGAAAGTGAGTGAATGTTGTCCTATTGAATTCTAGATATATTTATGTTGCTATGAATAACGCAATTATTTTTCAAACACAGAAGAACAAAAAATCCATCGGAATTTCCCATAAAAATTATTATGTTTTCTTTACACGGGGAGATTTTTTGAATGTCTGGCTGAACTGGAAGAGTAATTACCACGGGCTTATCACATATTGGTTTGAACCAAAACCCCCTGTCGCAAGCTAATTATCGCCCATAGTTGACGTTGAAAGACACTGAATTTCTTTTCGTGTTTTGTATTCAAATAAACAATGTTTGATATTCTCTTATGGGCAATTTGCTTATTCAAGAGTGTGTATTGTCACTCTATTCTGTGGTATTGTTGAGGATCTTAAAAATGACTGTTGAGATTTCCCATTTCGCCATAAAATAACCACCAAAAGGATTTTTGGCAAGGTATATCCATCTTTATTAATTTCTGGAAAGTCGTGTTTTCTCAAGTTCTTTGGAGTTCTTCGCTGAAAAAGAAGTTACCAATTTGTTCAAAAGAAAGTAGGCCATGAATTCTACTTTAAAATTGGCGGTCCTTCAAGCTCAGCTAATTTCTGGAATCATAACTCTGCTGTGAAACTTATGTCAAGAAGGAGATTATCAGTATTTGGTAGAAAGCAGGAAAATGCGGTCTAAAATCCCCTAACTGAAGTTTCCGCAGTTTTTCGTCAACTCGCGTCGGCTTCAAGTCGTCACTGTTTACAGAAAAAAAATGAAAGTCAAGATAACCGCTTTACTGTATGCACAAATGCCGTGAGTTTCCTACAGCCGCCCTTACAGAATGCCGTGAGTTTCCTACAGCCGCCCTTACAGAAAAGGTGCAAAATTCTCCGCAATAAAAATACTTCACCGACAAAACATTGGTGATCGTCAAGGAAGATTGGTATTAGGCCAACTAAACGTTTACCTATTGAAAAGTCACATGGTCGCGAATAGCCAATGGGTAAAGGGCTTCTTTGTCATGCAAATTGTCGGCGCGTTTGTTGTAATTCCATTTTGAAACCTTTGACATGCCAAGCGTTTTGGACAGTTGACGGTGGAAAATCGCACTTGGAAATCAGTTCGGGAAGCCTGGTGTTATTGCTGTTCAACTGCAATTAGAAAATTTGCGGCTGTTATCAGATAAAACTGTGATACTCGAGTTAATGTATTTACAGACAGTTTTTAGGCCGTAGCCAGGCATTTTCCTGGTGAAATGGGGAAGTATTGTATTTTGAGAATGATTCAATGATGATCGGTTCGATTTGTTGTTTGGAGTAAAACCACAAAAGAGTGCTTATCTCGACAAGTTCGCTTGACGAAAGGACGATTGTAAAGCATGGAGAAAAACAGCCTTTTCGTTCAGTTTCTTTGTATGATAATTCTAAGTCTCGTGCAGTGTTTGGTAGCCGGTGTGGCTCACACGGGGAATGGCAACGGAGACAATTTATTACGTGTAGCAGATTCGTACATTCATGGCTGGAAAGATTTTGCCGTTGATACCAAATTATCACCTATTTTATCAAAGCTAATTGTTGACCCTTCAAGTGGCAATGTCCATATCGATAGATCGTTATACTGCGAACTAAAAGGTTTACACAGAACTATCGCGGTAAGCAGCTTTAAATCTACGAAATTTGGAAAGAAACTGAAATTGATAAGATCGATTCCTTTACTTGATCACAATCTAAACTGTAGTAACGATACAAGGACTTTGGATGTAGCTCATCCAGAACATGAAAATCTAGACTTTCTTTTCCTTCCAAGGAACGTCTTTTTTGATTCGGCAACAGTCGATTTTTTGTCTTCATTCTCCGAGTATGCACGGAAGACTCATGGAAATAGTGTGTTTATGAAGTTTGAAAATTGCAAACAATCCGTACCTTTCTTTGGAGCAACGTTAATTGTGAATTCTCATTTATCGAAAGTGCTCGAAAGGTGCTCTCCTAATTACCCAATGTTGTTGAGAATGCAAGTCATGAGAAATGGTTTTATAGTGGAAGAAAAAGGAATTGTTATTGTTGCCGAAAAACACGCAAACGGCATGTTGAAAACACACAGGCGAGGAAGACGTTCCACGCCTACCTTTCCAAGACCTTATTACAGCCTGAAGATCCCTGAAAACATGCCAGTAGGGACAACCATAATAACACTGAATGTTGAGCCAAGTTCTGTGCCTGGATTGGACATCGCATACTCTATATCTCCATCAAGTATTGGGTTTAGTATAAACTCCAAAACTGGGGCAGTGACAATTAGCAGGTCCCCTGACTACGAGGCAATGCAAACAAAAAAATACTTTAACCTTTTCGTGAGGACCTCGTTTGCTGAAACAAGGCTTGTTATACAGATAGTAGATGTAAATGATAATACTCCCGAGTTTGAGCAAAATCCTTATACCAGGACAGTTTCTGAAGCTACCCCAAGTTCAGCATCCATCTTAGAAGTGAAAGCCATTGACAAGGATAGTGGAAGAAACGGTGATGTAACATACTCGTTGAAAAATCCAGGGGGAATTAACTCTGCTTTTGAGGTAGATTCATATTCTGGGCAAGTATTTCTGAGAAATACACGTTTAGATAGAGAGACCTCTCCCAGATATGAACTAATAATTGTGGCAGAAGATGATGGAACACCTAAAAAATCTTCTGAAACTAAAGTGATTATAACAGTTTCAGACATAAATGATAACAGCCCAGTTTTTGATAAACCAGAGTATACACACACAATCTCAGAAAACACAAACCCAGGAACCATACTTTTAAGGGTCAAAGCAAATGACAAGGATGAAGGAACTAACAGCAAACTTTCATACAGCATTTATAATGACTTCACTAATCCTGTTGTGTCTAAATTTGAAATAGGCCGAGCAACAGGAGATGTAATCTTGAAACAACAATTGGATTATGAGAATGAACTAGAGCGATCTGTTCGTTTTACTGTGGAGGCAAGTGATGCTGGCATACCAGCAAAGAAAGGGACAGCCTTTGTGAATATAATTTTAGAGGATTTCAATGATAATTCCCCCATTTTTCGTCAAGGCTGCACTAAGTATGTTCTTGAGAGTGCAAGTAAAGGAGAGACTGTTTGCACAGTTTCTGCTGCTGATTTAGATGCATCATTACCTAACAATGAGATTGTCTATTCTTTTGGTCAAGCCCCAGATAATCTACCATTTATTGTTGATCCAGCATCTGGGCAAGTTAAGGTTTCGAAGAAACTTGACTTTGATAACCCAAGCACAAGAAAATTTGAATTTACAATAATTGCAACCGATAAAGGAGTTCCTCCAAAGTCAACTTCAATTGTCGCAAAGATAACTCTTAAAAATGTTAATGACAACTTGCCTGTTTTCTCAAAGCAAAGTTACCATGTGAGTGTTCCAGAGACAACAAAACCAGCCACATCAATTCTTGAGCTCTCTGCATCTGATATTGATCAGCCGGATAACAATGAATTTCAGTTCTCCATTATCAAAGGAAATGAGAAAAACTGCTTTTCTATCTCAGATGGAAAGATTTTTGTACAATGCAATCTGAACTTTGATACAGATAAGATTTTCAACTTGACAGTACAGGTAAAAGATTCTGGCCAGTTGGGACAGCAGTTAAGCTCAACAACATTTGCAGTAATTCAAGTTATAGATGCAAACACTCATGTTCCATACTTTTTGCCAATTACAAGTGTCCCATCAGTTCGAGAAGATGCACCAGTAGGAACACTAGTGCTCAATGTATCGGCAAGGGATTTAGATTTTGGAGAAAATGGTCGTATATCATATTCAATTATAAACAGTGATGGGTATTTCAAAATAAATGCTGTAACTGGAGAGATCCGGACATTGAAGAAGCTGAACAGCGAAAACACAGTGAAACATGAGTTGACAATAATGGCAAGGGATCATGGATTACCAGTCAAATCTTCAACAATGCAACTTATAATTGGTGTCACTGATGTGAATGACAATGCTCCTGTCTTCAGAAGAAAGGAATACGTAGTAGATGTGAAGGAAAGTATTGAGATTGGCAGTATGATCCTGAGGGTTCGTGCAACTGATGCCGACACAGGGTCCAACAACAGAGCTGTTGTCTACAAAATCCCTAAAGGATGTAAGTTTATTTTTCAATTTTATGCATATTTCACTTCTTTAACTTGATGGAATGACCTATTCATTTGTGTAGGCCAAACTAACTTATAAAGAATCCCAGTTATGTAGAATGCCATAACTCAAGCCACAGTACCTCTGTGCTTTGCTTGCTACATGCTTATTCTGAGATGTGTTTTTAATATCACAATGGAAATGTGCTTTATCCAAGGGCTTTACATATTTTATTTTTGATCTGTTTATCAACGAATTAGACAGGTTAGGTAAATTGTTATACCACTCAAGTCTGTCATGTATTATGGTTGCTTGAAGCAAGTATTTACCAGGGGGTAAATGTAAAAAGTAAAGGTAAAAATGGGGTGATCTAGGGGAATTTACATTTCAGTTTGACTAATCATCAGACATTGTGTTATTGTTATTTGTGACAATAGGTGTGGGGAATATAAAAGTTGTTGCATTTTGTAACATGCAGTGGTGGGTGATTTGTATTGTTTATTGCTCTGATACGATCAAGTCCCTAGAGATGGGACTGTAGCACATTTGAAATGTATATCTGTTATATACAGTACCAGTTAAAAAGGCCACACTGGGCTTTTCAAGGCTCATGGTAGAAGAGAGTGCTTGCTCAAAAGTCTGGCTTTTCAAAACACAATCTTCTTTATGAGGAAAACATATTTGATATATAAACAGAATACATTTATAAACAGCGAGCTTTATGACCCACAAAACTGTTTAACATTAGCTGGACCAAATGCTCTTAAGCTTGATTATAGTTGAAAAAAACATTATGAAGGGGGTAGAGCTTATTCAAGAAGGGGCTGAGCAGAATTACCTTGGTGTATGACAGTGTCTCCAAAAGGGGATAAAAATAGGATTTTTCCTGTACTTCTTTTAGAGTTGTAGGCCTATCAATTCTTAGAGAGGTTCATCTCAAAGGACAACCATTCTTAGAAATAGCAGCTTTTGAAGCAATGTAAGTTGATGACATTGTAAAGTTGTAAAAGCATTATGCACCATGAAACTAAGTCAAGTGAAGCATTTGGTAGCGAAATCTTCAGTCATTGAAATGAAACCTTAAAAAAGAAAGTTTCAACTGTTATCTATGTGAAAAGTTCCAAAGTTGATGAAGAAATATTTTTCGAATGTTAAACTGATAACTTTGAAAATTTTACACTTTTTTGAGATTTCCAAAATAAGTTGCTAAAATGTTTTTTGTTTGTCACAAACCAAGAAGAACTTTATTCTAGTGTATGGTTTTAACTAAAATTTGGGAATTATTGAGGAGCTATGTCCGCTTATCCCCTCCGTGTCTGATGTTCCTGGAATTTGACTTTCTTGCTGGATAAATCGTGGCAGAAATTGAAGGGATTTCAAGTGTGGAGTAAGCCTGTTATTTGCTTGTTGTTATTTGCTTCGCATCAAGACAATTAAAAAGGGTTTCCAAACATCAATTTCTTTCGGAAAAGCGTTTGTAAATAGTGATGATCTTGACTGAAAGACTTTTCTGACTGCTATTTTCATTAGTTTCTTGTTTGCATAAAAGAGGCTTTCTTTTGGGAAATGGTTTGTTTATAAATGTGTTTGAGTATTACTTGACTAGACTCTTTGTTGAGTGCTTGGCCCCCCGTGGAAATATACCTTCGGGGTGTTTTGTTGTGATAATATATAAATCTCTGTGTATTTGGATTGCGCGTGTAGAGTCCCTTTCATAAATAAGGGTAGCTAACTTGCAAAATACAATTCATTTCCCTTCATTCAAAGCTACTCTAATGTGATTGCATTTAGCTTTTTCCTTTCAACAATCCCATGGTTGTTTGAAGAGCTGCCATATCTGTGTGGATGAATACAGTGGTCTGTGTGTTAGAAACATTCTTTTATATAGGCCTAAATCGGTATAATGGCGGATAAAGAGGGTTGCGGGTTTTTGCATAAAATCAAACTTACTTCTTGTTTTTCAGTTTAATGATATTATTTGCCCAAACGCCTTGTCTAATTTCATGTATCTATGTGTTTTTGTAAGTGTAATGCACTTATTTGTGAATATGGTTTAAATTTTAACAATACATTCGGCCCCTTCAAAGCAGATGAACAGTGGACGGGAGAATTCCTTGCAGGCAAGGCCATAAAATCCAATTCGTTTGTGGTTAGTAGGGAAAATTTGATTTTCCCCATATCTCTCACTGACAATTAGAAAGCCCTACGCCTATTAATGGTTAAAGGTCGTCCGCAGATATGGAAATTCCCAGAAACATGACTCCAGTTGGAAATCTGTGATCACTCGCTTATGAATCATTTTTGAATAGGTAGCACGTCTTGCTTTTGCTTTGAATGCTACTAGCTTGTTTTCAAAACAGGAATTTGCGAAAATAGAGCTGCATAAGTATCAGAATTAGTGGTTTTTTCATCAGAAATTATTTTGTTTTGTATTTATTAAGAGGTTCAAGCGCTGTTGATAATTTACGTTTCTTTGTTTGCTTGCCACCCTTTCGAACCAAACTCTATAGTTGCACCCGGGTGGGCACATATCTAGTTGCGCTGCACCTGATTGGTACCTGGCTAAAGCTATCCACCCACTTCAGTTCTTGTCTGGCAATTATAGAACTTTTAGTCCTCTTTTGCAGCATCATTTTTTGTGAGAAAGCAGTGGTGATTTCACAGTCATTTTGCTCGGTTTTGATTCAACAACGAAATCAATAAAAGGGAAGTCGCTTTAGAAAACTGGGCCTAAACGTTTTATGAGTGTAGAGAAAGACAAATGAAAGTGAACTTCGAGCCTGTAACTAATTAATTTGCACTAGCCCTCTTTTATATTCAAATTCTCTGGGTATAATTTTTTTGAATCTCTGAGTAGCTCTAAAAACTAACTTGAAAATTCTTTTACAAGCTGAAATTTTTTTGAGGAGAATGAAAGGTTAGAAGAGTTTCAATGTCCGTTGTTTGGAGTCCGCGCGGCTTCCCTTTTACCGATGCATTTCACGGCATAATCCAGGATTCGGCTATCCGCTAGACATAAGACGACCAAACGTCAGTCGCCTCTATACAATTATCATACACGATGATCTCGTATTTTGAATCCTGAAAACTGAAGATAACATAATTGAACTTAACAGGCCAAGTCAATAGTTAAACCGATGTAAACATGCCGTATTGTTGAAACAACTTACAAAGCCTCTTCCTGTTGGCCTTAGGCCTAGTTTATGTTCACAGAGACATTCTCAATAGAATTTTCACGACTTCCTCCGTCTTCCTTTGAAAATTTTTTATCATCAATCTCGCAATTCCATATGCCTGCACTCTCCGAAAAGCACAGCCGCGTGTTTCCCTCTAAAACTTTTCAAAGTACAGTAGCTATATTTTTAAAACATTTCTTTGTTTCTTTTATATTGAACCTTACATTTAAAAAACAGATGGACATGTAAACGATAGAGAAACTTATGAAATTCCTAGCTTGAAAATTTATGTCTGCAAACCAGCTCGTAAAACTGACTGAGGTTTGAGCTGGTGTAAGCCATCAATAAACGTGGAATTTCTCCCTCCGCTTTTACAGGTTCGGGTTTGCGCTTAAAACACTGAATTTCTGTTCTGCAAAGAGAATGCTGATTCAGCCAACAATTAAGATTGGGTTATTATACCTTTCTGAATAGGATGCTATCACATTTGTAGATAGGCAACAGGCCATGTTGTTGTCTACCTTACTAATCACTATCCAAGGGGTCTAGGTCTTACAATAGTAATAATAATAATAATAATGCTATATGAATACTACAGTTGCCTAAGTGTCTTCGGGTTGCAGAATTGTTCAAGATGCATTTTGAATTGGTTGCTTTTTTTCGATGTCGTTATTGCAGTACAGGAGACCTTTCTAGCTTTGCTGTAATTCTGAGAATGGCTCATTAACCCATTTCCTAAATGATAATAGGGGTTATAGTGGTAAAAGACTCGCATTGTACAAATCTTAATGGCTGGGGTTCTATAAATTGTCAAAAGACTTCCTCAGATTTCTACAAACTTCATAATTAATTTCTTTCATAATCCTTGTCTTTATTGACGAACGCAGTACTGAGAAGCTGTCATTCAGTAGAGCATTCGAGAGACAGGCTAACACAGCAAGCTTGAAACATTCTTGCTGTAGCCACTTCATTTAAAGAACGTGTTTATCCAACTCTCCACATTGCGCGAATTTCAGCTTTAGCATAAGTGCCCGATGGATGAACTTAATTTCGAAAATGTCGATATATAATGACCTTTTAAAACCGCAGTTACCTGTCAGAATGACCTAGGAATATTCGCAGATCAAATAAGATTAAGGACACTAATTTTGAAACAGGTATCAACCACGTTTCACATTCGCCTCCGCAGTTAATTTTCTCCGCATAGGCTTTTCATTCAACAAGATTGCTAAAGTCTTTCTCGCTTTTTGCAAACGGTTCTCAAATGAAAACGGCACGAAATCATTCCGGATTGGTCTTCCATTTACACTGCAACTTCTTCTAAACCTGTACAAACATAAAAGATTTTCGAAACGAAATGATATGAACAGTAAAATTCGTGCCAGTATAAACACCCAAAAACGAAACAATTTCACTCCCTCACTTGGAATCCGGTTCGATTTTCTTCGATCATTCACAGCCTGTTCTGCTGAAATTGTGAAACGATAAAAATCAAGAAGTCTGTCATTTCATCTAACTTTTTCTCTTCATATTTGAAGGCTTTATTACCAGATTTGTTTTCTTTAACTAGTGATTTTTCCCTTTTATGGCTGTTTGATAGGGGTGCTGTAGAGAAGGAGCTTGTCATAGTAAAATATGGAACATTGCTTACTTTTACAAGGACATAAAATAGCTGCATGGCTGCCCCCCCCCCCTTGAACAACTTTATTAGAGTTTGCATTTGACATGCCACGACTTGTTCTTTTAGAGCTTTGCTTTTTGTTTTTTAAAAAAAATATGTCTCGTCGTTTCAGGGTTGTTCCCACCTGCCAATCTGGGAATCACCCATTTGCTCCCTAATGATTTTTTGGCTATACCAGCCATATGGTATACCTCTCAACAATAATGCTGTGTTTGACATTGGTTGAATTTCTGATGGAAAACTTCAAATTTGTCTTGCAAAGCAGAAACTCGCACATGCTTGTAATGTGTGCTTTCTTTTGCAAGTGGGCATCTGGGTAAAACATTTCTGATATTAAGCTGTTTTAATTATTTATGGAGACTTGTTCATCGTTGTGCATAATTCCATCGATTTCTTGACAAAGATGTCAAGCTGTGAAAGCATTATGCAGTCGTTCTTTCGAATTGGTTAAAAGAATGTGTATAGCTCAAGGTAATAATTGCATCGTCAACTGTATCTAGCGTCTACTTGCGAGAAGATACATCTTTCTTGACCTAAGAGGTTTAGTTCTTTCGTCTTTGTTTTCTCTATCGGTTTATCTTTGTTCTTTGCTAAAAGGATCGAACAATTCTTTTGATACATGAATCTTAACTGATTGCATCAAGCGATGGCCTAAATCAGATTGTTGTTCCAAATTTCGCGTCATTGATTGCGGATTTTAAGAGTTGCAATGTGACAAAGTCTAATCGTGGGCATTACGATAATTGAAAACGCTTTCTTTATCAGCAGATTGGTTATCGCTTGTAGAAGTCGTGTTCTGTCATCGTCTATGTGATGATTACAATCAAATCCAGCCATTTGGTTGCGTGAATGCTTATTTCAGTGACATATTCGGATACTTGGTGGACCACAAATTTTTACGGGTACGGGGATTCAAAGGGCGATTGATTTGTTGAAGCTATGTGTTCTACGGAATTGCTCGCGAAGCATTGTCATTCTTTTCAGTAGGTTGGAGTTTCCACTGTAGCCTAACCATATAGTTTTCCAGCCCATTTTGCGCTATCGCATCTCATTTTCACTCTTTCCAGTGTGTTTTTGGGTTTTGTTCTGTCTGAGATAGAATGTCTAGGCAGGCCTGGCAGATTTGGTCAACACTGGTCAGCATGGATACCGAATCCTCGTTTATTGGATCAAACAGCCTGAATTATTGTTAACGCGTAATTTGACCTCGAAAGATTCACTCAGCATTATTGTTCCAAATCATCATCAAAGGCTGTCTAGAAATATGTAATATTAAGTTTGTAATTCAAGAAGAGTCGTAAGTTAGATTCTGATCATGTTAATCCGCTGGTATTTAACACGGTTTCCATAGAAAACGACCTTCACGTGGCCTGCTTGATTAATTCGCAACTGATAATTAGCAAATCTCATCAGCTATTTGTGGTGTGGATTTAAACAACCATGCTATTTATTAATGCAAATTCATTTGTTATTTTCGTTGGCCACAGAATGCAACGCAAGACCTGGTTTTTCTAACCGAAAGACTGTGCGAGTTATTCAAACATTAGGTGTTATTGACATTTTCCATGCCAAGTCCAGTGATCTTTCTTACAATAAACATTCTTATAAATCTATGGAATCATCTTTTGGCCTTTAGATACGGTCGTGACAGCTTGTGCTAAATGAAACCATTTTGGTCTTTTCGTATTCGAAACCATTTTGGTCTTTATGCATGATGTTGCGCGCCTAGATATCGTTAGTGATTGTGAAGGAGCTTTCAGACTATCCAAGGGCAATTTCAACACTGCATAACTTATAAAACCTATTCCCAACCCTTCTTGCATATGATCTCTACACAATTGTTTATCAAGTAAGGAATTGGTTAAACACAGAATCTATCATGAAAACCTAGTGCAAGCGTTTCTCAGCTTTCGACCTAATAGGAAAACGGCATGAAAATTCCTAAGATTGCTGTGTTCATGTTATTTTATATCTTAATTCCTACGCGCAGTTGTCTAATGAATTTCGTCAGAATAGAATCCTTCCAAAGAAAGACCGCAGCTGTTTGGGATTTAATAAATGAAAGAGAATTATGTTTACCAAAGTCTTAGGTCTCAATCCGGCGGATGAAAACTGGCTAGAATAGGCTGTTTGAGTTTTACTCACAATGATGCGAGTGGATAAGCCGATTCTCAAGTCTTCTCATTCGTCAGATATTCAAAGCCTAAACTCCCATGTTTATTTTCGTTTGAACTTGTTATTACTGTGCATGTCATTCTGTTTTCACGTACGGGCGTGTGCATGACTTTCCTAGCGGTTTCAGTTTCATTCACTCGGACTTTCTACGTGTAATTTTCTGCTTGAATCTGTAATACGTAATCATGAAGGTTAAAAAATTGCCTAAATAATGCAGTTAAGGCGGGTTTCTAAGCAATGCTATCCTCTTTTGTCTGTTTTGTCAACAAGATTTGAACAAGCACCAGAACTCACTACGCACATATAGAAGTGTGAATTTGAACCTTTTAGTCTATAAAAGGGGTTTTTTATGATTTTCTTTTTGAAATCGTCAATATACTGAATTTTTAGGCCCCAAATATTTGAAACATTTGCAAGAAAACGACGATTTTCCTTTAACAAAGCTATCTTTACTTTGACCATTAATTTCGCTGAGAAACATTGCTTGCTATCTCTTGAGACCATATACGTCAATTTGCTACCATAAGTTCAGTTCAATCCTATATGAATCTGGATATACGCCACCGAACATATGTATTCTCTGTTCTTGCAATGCATGACTAGTCACTATTTTTTTATGTTCCCATCACTACAGGGCTGTATAACATTAATCTAATTACTTATCGCAACATGCATTGCTATGTTACGCTAGACATGAGAATATGTTTCCATAGAATTAAACTCTTTGCTTTGCAGATTTTTAGCGATTAATGACGCTTTGGGTAAACACAAAGCGAGGATTGTAGATGTCCATGAATCAATTTGCTTCGTCAAAGTGACGTCATCGATACGATAATCATCACATACCGAGTAGAAACAAGAGAAATCTTGCATTAATCATCAAAGTCAAGCAACGCCTTGTAAAATATTGATCAGGCAAATGATTAATGAAAATGGGCTCCAGCTGCTTATTCATTTATTCATTTCGTTCTGAAACGACTTACATTTTTGACAACGGTTTTTTGTTGGTTATTTCAGTATCCTACTTGTGATGCATTATTACGTCCAATCGAAGGTGGAGTTATGTTTCATTCGAGGATTTGATTGTCTGCATGACACAACAGAAACATTCATGTCATGTGTCGATGTAATGCAATAACCGTGGCATTAAGCATTGAATTGAATCATTTCCGATGACGTTTTGATGACCTCTGCTAATGTTATTACTTATGTGTATCAAATATCCCAAAATGCACTTGTAATACTCCGCCAATAATACTCCACAAGTGAATGCATGTTTTAAGCGGCTAGGAACGCTACAATAAGAAGCAAAATCCTCAAATAGAAATCTCGCTTCAGCCTTCCTTTTGCTATTGGATTTTTCTTTCCAGTCTTTCGTTTCTTTTGTTTAACGTGTATGTGAAGGAAAAACCCATCAGACACATATCAATACTATATTCTAATATCTGAGATGCTTCAATAGGTTACTATGTCCTAACCTAGTTATTTAAAATCAAATTAGATCAGTGTATACAACTAAAGAGGACGAAACATTTTACGTCATCGCAATCTCTTTCAAAATATTTTAGTTTTGTTCACATAATTTAAAAGAGCATTATAGAGTTGGCCTTAATGTGAAATGTCAGTCAAATATATCAAATACTGGGTGAGATTAGGCCAATGAAAGATTTGAAGTTTGCTACAAACAAGTTTTAGTGGATTACCGTTATTTCGACTTGTTATATAAGAACTAGAACCAAGACCAAATTACAGTGATTTGGTTTGGCCAAATATCAGTCAATTTGTATAACATTTAGCTGTTTTTTCATATTTAGTGATATTTCAAAGTGCACTTTTTAGTTATTTGGTGAAAATGAAAAAATTTTTTGACGTTATGATATGGTTATGCATGAATAAAGTGGTGATAGCATGGTATGTTTTTGGTTGTAGTTGACGGGAATGGCACGTTCTACATTCAAACGGACGGATACTATGGCACTCTGCGCACCAAGAAGAGGCTGGACAGGGAAACCGTGGATAGCTACACCCTAAAGGTTCAGGCATTCGACAAGGGAACACCCCCATTGAACTCTTCCACTATTGTAAAAGTAAAAGTTCAAGATGTAATGGACAGCCCCCCTGTCTTCAAGCAAAAGAGATACAATATTACACTGAAGGAAAACTACCAAAGTAATGTCGTTTTTATGCGTGTCACCGCCAAAAGCGCAGATTTCAACACAGACAACGAAATATTCTACCAGATCAGCCGCGGGTCAGGCGGGTCTGACTTTTTCATTGAAGGAAGCAGTGGCAAAATAAGTTTACGACAAGGACATACTCTTGATTACGAGAAGCAGCGGCAATATGTATTCGACGTGATAGCGTATTACGGCCAGACGACATTTACCGATACGACCGTCGTAAACGTAACATTGACTGATCTGAATGATAACAGCCCATCGTTACGCCCTTTCGAAGCCTTCCTGAATTTCTTCGAGGACAAGTTTCCGAAAAATCCTGTATTTAAGATCCCGGCAGAAGACAAAGATGTCAACGACATCTTAAAATACGAAATTGTTGGAGGTGAAGGGAAGGACTTCGTAACATTAGATTCAAAAACTGGTATTTTAACTTTCAACAAAAACACCGAAAATCTGGGAAGCGAGGTCCGGATAAATGTTCGCGTTACGGACGGTGTTTTCGAAGATGTTAGCCACGGCTTTATAACAGCGACAATGATATCTTCAGATATGGTCAACAACACAATCAGAATCGTGTTGAATAATATGACGGAAGATTCTTTTTTAAATTCGAAAAGCATCAACGCCTTTAAAGACGCATTCGCTGCGGCGGTTGGTTGCAGTCGCCGTCTTGTGTTCATCGTCGGCGTCGAGAATTACCTCTTGTTCTTGCACGAAGACCAAACCCCAAAAGTACAGATATCTGTAGCCGCCAGAGCTAGCACGGGGGGCAGCTTCTTGAATCCTAGCCGTATGAAGGATAGTTTGTACCTGAACAAGGGAAGTTTCATGGAAACAATGGGCAAAACGCTCGTTACATTTGACGACGGAGATGAGCTTTGGTGCGGGAAGGAGTCTTGTCCTAATTACAAGCAATGTTCATTGACTGTTAGTTACAAAAAAGAGGCTTCGACAAAACCAAAGACAACGGAGACAGTAATATTCTGGGGGATCAAACCTTTAACAAAACACGGCTGCAATTGCCCTCTTGGTTATAGGTATCTGGTAGAGAATGGTCACAAGGCGGACTGCGCTGCATCATACAGTCTTTGCTTCTCTAATCCCTGTGGTGCAAATGGCGTGTGTATAAGCACAGATGGCGGGTTTGCTTGCAAATGCAAGGCCGGATACACGGGTAAGACGTGCAGAATTAGTCTTAAAAAGAAAAATTGCCCGCGGGACACCTCGGAAATCTGTAAAAACGAAGGCTCGTGCACGGTTGATAGTGCCCTGAATGAGCTGAAGTGTATATGTAAGAAGAAAACGGACGCGCACACGCCGTCGTGTGAACTGACAACAAGGTATTTCCCTGATTGGTCGTATGCTTCCTTCCAAGGTAAGAATAATTTTGTTTGTTTTTTCTTGAAGCTGTTCGAACTGCAGCTATTGGCATTGTGTATGGCATTGCTAGACATTTTCTTGATGCTTGCATAGAATTATTTTCAAAACAACAAGGTAGTGTCCCTAGAATCGCCTTGAAGGATACTTCTGGCCCCACATTTTTCGAGCCAGCAATTGTCATGCCTTGGAGAACCAGAAATGTGTTGTCAGACACTTGTATCAACCTTTGATTATAAATTCGCGAAAATACCGTCCAACAATGTAAGTAATAAGGCTAATGGTCTAGGATGATGCAAGATAGAATGGGATAACAAGTTTTTCGTATTTAGTGTACGTACATGTCTGGGTCATCGATGATTTCTTGTTGACCCCCGGATTCAGGGTAATTTATCACAGCTGCATTGCTTCCTCTTGTTTTTATTGTTTATAAACCAATTAGATTTTTATCTGGACACTGTGGAAAGTAACACGAGGTGTGGGGGAGGAAAGGGGTGAGGAAAGGGGTGAGGAAAGGGGTGGGTTAGTTAAATTGCCTGTTACCATATTCTAGGCTGATTTCAGCGAAATATGCAGTTTAAACAAATTTAGGGAATTTCTGCCTTTATTTCAGTGATTAATAAAAAGGAACTGAACTCAATTGCCTGGCAACTAGCCAGTATAGAAAACGAATCAGTTTTATTTCTTAAAGCAATCATTCGCATATTTTATCCAAGCAAAAGTTCATCTTTTTGGGGTAGGGGTAGTTCCGTTTTTTACTTTACATAATTGAATTTAAGGTTTAGGTATCAAAAGTTTTGGAGATGAAGAAACTTTGTTATTCTTTCTCGATATTTTTAGATTGTTTCTCTTTTTTGACAGTGCCTAGAAGAGGATTAGAATAGAAAAGATATGAAATATTTTTATGTATCACCCCGAAATATACTCATCCATATATCGCGCCATATTTCCGCTAGCATCAAGCAAGAAGTGTCTCTAAACTTTCAGGTAAACAAATTATATTGGTTTAAATGCAGTGATCCACTTTCAGGCATAAAGAATCGTTGGAAACTCCATCTGACTATGGAATTCGTCACAGAGTCAGCAAATGCCGTTTTATTCTACAATGGGCGTTACAGCGAAAAGCGAGATTTCATTGCCATTAGATTATCTGGTGGTCAAGCAGAGCTTGTCCTGTCATTAGGCGTGGAACTAACCTTTGTGAAGTCCTATGTTGATGGCGGAGTGAACACCGGCTCGTGGGTTAAAGTCACTGTTGCCTTAGATAATAAGGTAAGCCTCGACTTCATGCTTTGACCTCTTATCCGTTTGAAGATTACACCTGCTGGTGTAATCTCCAGCAGCCTCCAAGACTCATCACCGAAGTGTTTTTGAGAGAGGTCCTGTTAAAGGCTAGTAGTGAAATGAATTTTGCAGTTTTCATTGAAATCAACGACTTCTTTGCCACCAACCTCGCTCACCTTCAGTGGCATTCTCTTCCAAAATTGCGATATGCTTCCAACGTCAAGTCAGATGTTAAACAATACTAACCATAAAACTCGTTTCTACGAAAAACTCAACCATAAAACAGTGATTCTAATGTATCAAAAGAAAATGTTTGTGACGACTGGTTATATTATGAATTGAGAGCAATATCCTACCATTACTTGCAAGTTTTTCACTGTATTCCTCCCTATTTGAATAGCTACCACCCTCGCTCTCTGACTCCATAAGCATTTGGTTTTACAGTTGTTCTTTTCCTTATGCGAAATTTTAGACCTTGATGATGAGCGATATTTTGTTTTGTAAAGGTCGGCCGAATCGCGGTGGGTGATGCGTGTGATCTTGAGATTGGCAGTCTTGCCAACTCAGATGGCAGCAAGCGGTTCTGCGCAGCAAGCAAACCCGTCAAAGGTACTTTCAGGTAGGCGCTGTTTTTCTTCTCGTCGAATTCTAATTACAATTCAGCAACTGAATCTACCTACATTGGCATAAGTGGCTACTGTAAGCCATAAACCGTTAACACGTGGATTGAGAATTTTATGGCATCGGGCTTAAGGCAAAATAAGGCTGCGTAGAATATGTAGCTACTAAGCAAATGTACAAAAGTAACCACTCGAGAAAGCTTCTAGCGATGAATTATTATTTCATAGTCAGTGGAAAAACCTTTGGTTAGTGTTTCATAAAATATTGAATGAATTTGACCACTCTCCTTGGATCATTCAACATTCAACAAGCCGATGTTCAATGAAGTTTGATTGTAATGAACAACAAATTTGTGTTCTACATGTTTCAAGGGAAGTTGAATGGGTTTGATTACGATGCGTTTGCCTTAGATTCCACCCGAAATTTACTTTTATTTGCAATCGTATTTTTAGATTTCATAGCGTTCTTGAAAGTGCACTTTCCTCCTGTCTATCTATTCTTCGTTAAATAAGTGTTTGCTTATGCCATCCTTTTTTAAATGGTGTTAACGTATTTTAAAATTGTCTTTTTTAATTGTTGATTTTAAATAACCATCTTTTTTTCTCTTTACACAATACCTCTTTTACAAAGATGGTAATTATGCGCTGGATGTGATGTAACTTTTTAACGGGGGCTAGATTTGTCTCCTCTTTGGCTACTGAAACAATAAGAAACCAACCGGTTCTTGCAGGAAACAGAGCCCTTATTTCCAAAGACGTTCTTTTGCATACAGGCACCAGACTAACTTGCAGTTATTTATATAAGCGGCAGTTTTGAAGTGAACTTTTTTGTATAAAATCATAATTAAGCCCTTCGCTACGCAGGTGGGAATTTATCTTGCCGCCATTTTAAAATTATACAGGTTTCAAAAACGAAGTAAAAATTTGATTTCTTGTTTTGATTATTTTGATTATAGCTTTGTTTTCTTGAAGACTAGTTGCCCAGACATCAGTAATTTGTGAATTAAAACCGAGCTGATGGCTCCGTTCTCCTTAGCCTGCATTACAATCTGTGAAACCGGGACCAGAAATTGACTGTTTGCAGAGTTTTTAATCTTGGATTTTGCCCAAGGATTTTTTATGCTTGACGAATAATAGAATGAGAGACTGAATGAAGGTAGCCACAGTAGCTCTTTTTGTCAAGATGGACATTGAGCTAAGAATCTTGCAAGGGACATAATATTGCTTTTATAAGATTGGCCTCAATTGGGTATTTTCAGTAAGGCAGGCTAAAGTTTCACCTTCTCTTTCGTGCGATTCAATCCAGAATTTCTCAGTAAACAAAGGCTTATAATAGAATGCCCTTTTATTTATTTACCCAATCTGCAAAGTATTTTATGATCATTTCTGTACCTTCTGTTCGATGTTATGTAGTTCGTTGCCAATCAGCTGGTTTTCTCAGCAACTTCTAAAATTCTACATTTTTCTTTGATTGGATTGTAGCTTGCTTATTTGCGTTTATCGAAATCCCTTTATGAGTTACTGGATTGTGTTATTATGTTGAAAAGGGCCACGTGATAAGAACGTAACTGACTTACCAATGAAGCATTGATTCGTGAAGGATTTGCCCACAAGCCGGAAACAATCAAATTCGTTTAATTTGCTAAGCATTATTTTTGTTTTATGGAGAAAGATTAGTTCATTTGCCAGGCTTTTTTCAACTAAAGCTGTAATGTTGAGATGGAAATATAGCCATTCAATTATTATAAATTATATTTGAAAAACAGGCGTAAGTCCAATGGTTCTACTAAACCTTCAAAGGAAAGCTATCTTTAGGAAAGGCGGTAAAAACTGATTTCAAGGAGAGAGTATTGACGAATTCGGTTATTTAATGATGCTCGTGCTTTCGCTTATGTGCCGTTTTTTGAACAAGTACTCGTGTTTAAATTCGATGAAAGTACGTGAAGTAAATAGTGAATTTGTAATTTTTTTTCACATGTTGTGTTCGTTAACAAACTGTGTGATCTTTTTTGTTTTGCGTTTGGTATGAGAATCAAGTCATTCTTCGTGAAGCTTTTATTGTTGTGTCATCACACATTCATGCACTTTTAAAAGAGCAGGGTAACATAGTCTAGTTGCTAATATAATTTTCTCTCTGTTATCTCACCAAGTTGCTAATATAATCTTATATCACTTTATTGCTCTCCAGATCCCTCGATTTGACAGCGCCGTTTTTCATTGGTGGATATCCACAAGGAAGCACAATGAAGCTTCCCAACTGGGATTACGTAGGATGCATTCGAAATCTCTATGTTGATCACGTGTTTTTCGACCTCTCGAATCCACTGAAACAAAACGCATCTCAAATTGGGTGTCCTGTGAAAAAGAACTACTGCACCAAGTCAACGTGTGCTAATGGAGGTGTATGTGTAAGCCTAATTGGTGGATTTAGATGCGACTGTAAAGATGGCTTCATTGGGAAGTTTTGTCGAACTGGTGAGTACCACACGAGTCTCAGCAATTACATTATTGTGTTTTATTATGTTTAGGCCTAATAAAATACAAAGTGATTGGCCATTTAATTTCTGGAAAATGTATTCACTCTCAACCCAAGCAAAAGGCAAGGCATCATAGAATTTATCAAAATATTTTTAACGTTTTGATCATGACAGCGTTTATCAAAATATATTTAACGTTTTGATCACAGCGTTTTATATATTTCTTTTTCTGTTTTCTCAAGACGTCAAATCAAGTTCCGGAGCCGTTCGATTTGAAGTCAACTCTCTGATAACATTCAAAGACCTGGTTCATACATTGAAGTCACCCCCAGCCTCCTTTACCGCTGAAATGACAATCAAGACGAGGCAGACAGACTCTGTTCTCATTTATCAACTGATTGACGGTTTGGATGCATACCTCAAGGTACCGCTCAATGCCTCTCATTGTAATTTATACTGTTTGTAAAAAATAACATTTGGCTGACGTGCTAAGTTACCCTTAATACATCCTTCCCAATAATATCTTTAGAAGTTGTTGGCAAAATTGGTTTGCATACATGGCTTGTTATAACTAAATTATCTTTTGAAATAATCGCCGTCACTTTTCGATAAACACGTCTTTGTGTAGCCACGTTAGCTACTTCGATGCTGTACTCTAAAAAAATCTTACTTTTGAAGATGTCCAAATCCAGCAGATTTCCTTACCTATTTCATTTCTTCTCAGATCGTTGGTGGTTCTGTAGCCTTCTTTTACCAGTCAAAACAAATGGCTAATCTTTCGGCAGCGTCAGTTTCTGATGGAAATTGGCACAACATAAAGATGACATTGGACTCCAAGAAGATACAGCTGTCGCAAGATTATGAGCGACATCATGTGACAAAAATTCACCAGGTTCCAATGGATTCGAAGCCAGTGAAGATGGTGTCTGTGGGAGGGGTAAAGCAAGCTGGGAAAGTGTCTCAAGGGTTTCTCGGCTGTCTACAAGGTGGGGGCACTTTGCATAACTTGCCTTTAAGTACTTACCCAAAAATCAACACAAAACACAAAATAGCTAAGAATGAATTATAGCTCCATTCGATATATATTCCTTTTTGTATCATTCCTGCAAGAGGAAGAGTTTTTATATGTATGTAATCCGTTGATTTTGTTGCTCGTGACGTCAGTCAATCAAGTGCACACACAAACTTACATATAAATTTATAATCGATGCCTAATAATTATATCTTGAAAATTAGTTGAAGTTTGGGAAATTTTCTTGTTTAGATTGTATGCAACTGCGAGTGATCTGTACCATTGACTTTCATACTTCATTTATCATGTATGTGTAAGCGGCTGTTTGTTTAAACGACAAAGAATGTTGAGTAGTATCTCTGTTAAAGCTTTTGCGTTATAAATTCATAAATACCTGATTTTGATGCCAAATTATTTTTAATTTGGATCTTATTATTTGTCTTAGGCTCTGCGTTTTTTGCTCTGTAATGTAGATTAGTTTTGAAATCTTTAAAAAATGTTTCCTGGTTGTTAGGATTGATGTTGAGTGGTGTGTACATCAAGACAGTGGGTGTCAACCTTAAGCCGGGTTGCCAATCGACGCTGCAGTGTGGAAGCTGTGGCACTGGTACCTGCTCCAAAGAATGGGATGCAGAAACATGTCATTGCCCTAAAGGATTTACCGGACCGGACTGTGTTGACGTTTGCCGATTAAACCCATGTTTGAATGACGGGCTTTGCAGAAGATCAAGCACTACGGTACATGGCTTTACATGCGAATGCAAGCCATCTTTTACAGGTTGGTAGCTTGCTTGTTTCTATATCTTTTACATGGTATAAGGAAAAACATCCTGACCACATGTAAATAATTTTGTCAACTTCGTTTAGATTGATTGTATGTTTTCGTATATTTATAAATTAGTTAATTCTTGTTAATTCTGCATTATAACAATTTATCAGTTTTTACAGACTTAATTTACCACTTTATTGATTTTCTGTCCCAGGCCCCCGATGCGAGACCAAGATGTCAACTGAATGTGATGATGGATATTTTCGTCTGCCTGGCAAATGGGAATGTGGCCCATGTGAATGTGATATCAGTCGATCTTTTGATCCAAGGTGCAACAAGACCTCAGGCCATTGTTTCTGCAAGGTAAAGACATGTCTTGTCGTTATAACGTCATTGTTCACTTCAAATCATCATTTAATATTTTGGTGTTATTTAATTCAATCTTCCTTAATGGAAATCTCCACGAAATTTAGTTGCCAATTTCTTAACTCTTGTCTTGTATATACAGCTTTTATGTGTTCATGGATGGTTTTTTTTCAATTTATTTATATGTTCCTTTCCTTTTCTGATTGTAAATGGGGAAGTTAGACCTTACCTTGGTAATATCCCGAGGGTAATTCTGTGAGAACTTTATCAATTCTCTGGATTCTGTTTGATGCATTCATTAGTACTAAGATCGTGCACTTGATAACTAGCCAACCTTTACTACAAAAAGAACTAATCTGTTTTGGAAATGTCTCATTTTTCTTCAACAATCAGTTTCTGTTCATGCGTTTTACGTACTTCAACGTTATTTTTTCCCAAGAACTGGATGTAAGGTGATGTAAGAAAATAAAAAACGTGCCTTAGTTTATTCTACATTTTTGAATAATTCATTTTTTTTGTTTTGTAAAGCATTTTGTGTTTTTTCTATTGACCATCATCCGTCCGTTGAAATTTGCAAGAGTAACGTTTGAGTTGAATCAATATCTTTCTCTTTGCAGAGCGGATATTTCTTGAAATCGAACAGTTGTGAGAGATGCAACTGCCTGCAAGAGGGGTCGATTAACAGCGAGTGTGATCGCATGACTGGGCAATGTCGTTGCAAGCCTCGTGTTGTTGGCCTCGATTGTGATCGCTGCATGGGTCCATTCGAAGCTATCACTCGCGACTGTTTAGGTAAATATGACATTCCTACGTAACATCTCAAGTATAGCATCTAAGCACAAAAAGGTTTAGATATTTTACTGGGTCTACATGAATCTCTGATCTGTCGTCCAGCACCAAGCTTTCATTATGATATGATAATTCAGTCATAATCTCTTGACGCAGAGACTCATGCTATTTTTGTTTAAACTGTTTTTGTATCAAGCAGTATTTGAACGTATCTACATAAAAATGAAGAAACCAACACTGTGTAGACAGAAGGAGTTCGTTTTCATCGTTGAACTCCATAGGTAATCTTTTCAATAGCCAAGCAACATTGATCGTGCAACCTTTACAGTCACGTGCTCGCGTTTTTGCTTGGCCTATTATGATCAACATCTTGCTATGCATATTTCATACCCTAAGTATGTTTCGAAATATTAGTGTCATATTTTATGTTTTTCTAATGTATTCTCTTTATTACAGAAATCAACACATCATGCCCAAAATCATACTCCGAGAAAATATGGTGGAGTCAAATTGAACTGGGCCAAACTCGAATTGAAGAATGCCCAGTTGGGACGGTTGGAAATGCCAAACGATATTGTCACCCTAGACGCAGCTGGCAAAGGGCAGACCTCAGTGCTTGTACATCGCTGGAATTTCTTGCCGCTAATAGGACGGTGAGATTACCTACTTCATAGATTCCATCCATGTTGTCATTTGTATGACTTTGAAAATCATTGCTCGGTTTTGCAGCTTGCTTCGTTGTTGAAGCGTAGCATCTCTTAGCCTTGTTTGCCATAACGCTCGTATTTCCGCTGATAAGTATATAATAAAATGGGCTTAATAGTATGTATTTAGCAATCTTTCTCTATACATATTTTTAATTAACTAATTGGCTGCTTCACTCTCAACCCAGCGAACAAATCAAATCGCTATTATATATTTTCAATGCGATGCCTCAGTATGAGGTATCATTTGTAAGGTATTTGTTTCTCCTGTCCTTGCTGCTCTTGGATCATTTTCAATGTATCAAAACAAACAATGTACCTTAAATCATAAAATGACGCTTTTTGCAGTAATTCTTCCCAATATTGAATGCTTTCTAATTTTTTCTCAGCTTTCCCAACTGAATGACAAAACAAAGAACATGACGAAAGAACTGGCGGTGGATTTGGCGCAAAGTTTGGAGTACGCGTTAACGACTGGTAAAGCGCTTTACGAAAGAGACATCCGAATAGGGTATGACGCCATTTCCAAGATAATTGAATACGAAGGAAGGCAAGAAAAGTATGGCCTAACATCGTCATCTGATGGGAAGTTTCTCAAGGTATGTTTAAATGGATGATAATGATAATGTTTTAAGGATGTTCCTGCTTGAGTTTGGCACCTTGTTCAATGTCACAGTTTACAATTGATTATCTTGTTTGCTTTAGAATATTATGACGTCCACCAGCCGACTGACCGAGCCGGATTCTAAGAACATTTGGTCGCTTATCCAGAAGGTAATTAGAATTTGGTTTTATTGCATTATTTTATATCTATATAGATAGAGTTAAAGGGTAGAAGATTAAGCCTTTAGTAAGTGATTAATAATACCTTTAGAAAGTGACACCAGCGCTATGGCTTCTCTTCGATTCTTCAATTGGGTTTAGACGTTGATTTCTAATTTTCCCAGGCATGGCTCAAGATCGCAAAAATATCATTTGCAAAAATGGGGTCATAGCTTTTTGAATAATTTACAAATGAAGGAAAGCCTTTTCTACTAAAATTCGGTCATTATTCAGTAAATTTTTCTTTTTGTTTATCAAACATTTTTCCCAAATGCAAATTTGTTTGCAGGATGAAGACGGAGTTGTCGGTTTGATGAAGAAAATGGAAAATTTGCTGCTGATATTGTCCAAAAACTTCGCCTATGTCCGTCGCAGACAGCGGCGCTCAGTCACAGCCCTACCGCCTTTCAGCTTGGCCTCAAATAACATATGTAAGTTACTAAAGCATCTCACACGAATCACATTTTATTTAGTATCTTAATCTGCGTGTATTCCAAAGCATTTTGTTTACATTTTTATATCTGTTTGTCTCTCGGTGAATCACAGTATCTTGGCTGTTATCTTCTCACATTTTTCGTTGTCATTATAGTTCGTTTTGAGCAGCCCTGATGCCATGCCATTCCATTGTTGATTTTTACTTTCTGGCGTAAAGCAGAGGAACAGGGTTGCACTAATTATTGGAACTTGGCACCTAAGTTCCCAAAAGAGTTTCCGAGTTCGTCTAAGCAAATTCGTCAAAATTTTAGATAAATGCATTGTTGCAGAAAGAGATATTGTCATTTTGATAAAGTTGAAATGCAGATCATGATTAAATTTTCAGGCATTTTTAATAGGTTCCAGAAAAAAAATTTCAGCCATGCAGAAGAATACAATATAAACTGGTTTCCATATCTTTGTAAATAGAAGCGCGAAAACCAGTTATTTTCTTTAAATAGACAGTTTTACCAAGATTGTCAACAAATTTTATTTATCAAGAATTATTTGTTTTTTTAGTTATGGAGATACAGCAATTTTACACAAAGCACTCCTCTGCGTACAGTTTCCCAATGCTTCGTGAACAATGGACAGGCGAATACGCCCCTTGGAAGGATACAAAACCTACAGTCTTGGTTCCTCCGACAATTTTCAATGATACTGATTGTAAGTTTAATTTAGTGACTTTCAATACTTATGAAAATATTTCTTTGGTTGATATATTATATATTAAACATCTTATGCAGCTTTTGCTAAGATGAGTTCTGAAGTATACTACACAAAAACACTTAAATCTTCTTGAAAATTCCCCATCGCAGAGATGTCTTTGATACAGATTTCAAATTTTGTGTAACAGAATACAGATTTCTGCAAATGTGCCATCTTTTTTGCAGTGGCTGATCGAGAGGCAAGCCTTGGTTTGCTGGCGTACAAGACTCTTGGTGATTTGATGCCATCAGTTTTTGAAGAAGATGGGTATGGAAACTCTGTTTTGTACTCTCAAAGCAAATCAAGCATTTTCACTTTTGATTTATAGGGAAACCAATCTAGAAGTTTGTTCCATCTTAAGATTTTGCAGTATGTCTGTGCCAATAATCTGCCTTTCCATAATTCTGTTTTCATGTTAGAAGAAAGTAAACAATTGTTGTCAGTGTTTTATTATATATATGTATTACTGTAAACACAGCTTGCTTTTCTTGTACTAGTCCAACAGTCGTTTTGCACAATCATAAAACCCTATTCTCTATTAGGCTCTTGTTGTTCTTAGCCCCCTTTTCTTGTTCTCATCCTCCCATTTTTTCTTCAGGCGCAGATACAACGTAGAAATTTATACCGATGTTGTCACAGTGACGATCCCTGGGGTGGCCAATCAAACACTCTCTGACAATATGACCATCATTTTCCAAAATAAGAAGGTAGGCCAAATTGATTCTGCGAACTTCTCGTTAATTCTTTCTCATTTATTTGTATGTTTATTTTAGCATGTTTGTATGTTTATTTTGTATGTTTGTATGTTAATATTTGTAAGGATCATTAACTTGAAAGTTAGCACCAGTTTTCTTTGTTTCCTCGTTAACCTATTTCTAAATCTCAGTGTCTTTCACACGCCAGTTTCTTAACTTTTTTGAGTAATCTTGCACTTAGATTTGTGAATTTTAAATGACATTGTGATCTTTTTAAAGCTTACAATCTTAGCAGAACCGTACATTTCATGTTACAGAATTTGTTATTCGAATTGACCAAATTTCAAAAGACATCACTGTTCTGATAAATATTATCATAACTTATTTGCTAAATTTCTATCTTAAATTAAAGCCTTTTAATTCTAACCAGAAATGTTTTTAGCTATAAAATCTGCTGTGTTTTAGAACAATCAATCTACTGGACTCAGTTGCGTCTACTGGAATTTCACTGCAACGTAGGTCTTTTTACGTCATGTTTGATCTAAAATTGAGAGTGATCATATATTGTGCAATTTTGTATTAGGAAAATGTTGTTTGACGAAAGACGAAAAATTTCTTCTGGATATCTTAATACCTTTCAAGTTGCAGGATTGTTTGTTTTAATCAAACATATTACTTGACGATTTTTATGTCTTCAATTTCATGAAAGTAATTATTAAACATCAATAGATTTATACGGTATATGGCAGAGCTATTCAGAACTGTGGTGTGTTGTACAGAAGAGCTCTGAACACTATCTCTTGATATTCATGATGCTTTTTATCCTTGAGCTTGGTCCTGACGTACGTAGTGAAATGACAAATGAAATACAATCCGATTTTAGAAGTTCTCGCTCTGGGGGCTGGTCCACCGATGGCTGCTTCTTGACTCCAACTAATGGAAGCACCATAGTTTGTCAATGCAATCATATGACGACATTTGCAGCTGTGAAGTTTGTTGACATGGTAAAAATCTTAGCTTTATGTTTATAGTCTTCACACTTGTATCTTTCATGTACTTCTTACTTTGTTTTGCTTGTGATTATGCTGCTTGTAAAATTCGTTTATAAAAAACCGATTGAACACTCTTTCAAACTTGTTTTTTTGCAATAATGGTTCACCTCGAATATTTTATAGGGTACTTTGATAAATTTTTAGATAAATTGTGGTTGCCTAAACCATTTTCCATTTGTTGAAATGATTTCAGTTGTAGCTTTTCATCATTGTCAAGGTTTTTAAGAATGTTCTACACTAGCTGATTATAAAGTTTAATTTCCACTGGTATAAATTGCGTATTTAAACTAACGAAAGCCATTGATTACAAAATTTCAAATGGTGGACATCCCATAAGTTGGTGTCATCAATGTTTGTTTTTGTTTCATTAGTATTCTGTAATTAAAGCGTTTTTAACTTGTTTTTCTTTGTTTATCAGCTGCCACCGAGAAAGAGTGCGTTCAAAGTCCAACCTCTCACATACGTGACGCTATCCGTATCTATGGCAATGATTTTGTTTACGTTCCTCACCTACGTCTGCCTGAGGTAAGCCAATATAGAGGAGTTCTGAATGCAACGGTGTGGTGTTAAGAATATGTGACTTTGTACGGGCTGAGCTATTGAAATGGGGTCATTTTATCAACGTTCTGAAGTCGAAATATTGTTTGCAGAGATAATAAGAAAACAGAGTTGATTTTTTGCGCAAGACAACAAATCTTTAGTCGGTTTTTTACCAATAGAGGCTTGAAAGGGAAAATCAGGACAGTCAGTTAAAAAATTGATGAGCCTTTTGATGTTTGTAGCAAATGGTGAAATATTTTCGATAATTTATTCATTCCCCTTTTTAGTCAACTCCGATCAAATGCCAACTCAATACACAAGAACCTTTGTGCTGCATTGTTCTTGGCTGAGCTTGTCTTCATCGTTGGAATCAACCGCACTGACAACACTGTAAGTATAGCACTTGGGTGAGAAAAGTTGTTTGCTTAGCTTTTTCATGCAGTCTTCTCGTGATATGGGATGTAAGGCCTTAATGATATGGAGTCAGTTACCGAAAAGATGTCATCCGTACAAAAACTACAGGTTGTTGAGTCAGTTCTTATACAACCAAAGTTTAAGCGTTCGTAAGTGCCTTTTGTGCACTTTGACCTAATGTTGCAGTTTGTGAATTTGCGATTTTGCGAAGAATGTTCATCGGCATATTAAGAGCCAAATTTGATGTCAGAGTTCATGTCTTAGCAGCAGTGAATTCAGTGATTTTAAACAACATATTTCTCATCTACCAACAGGCTGTTTGCCGAATCATCGCCATCCTTTTGCATTATTTCTTCTCGTGCGTCTTTTCGTGGATGTTAGTTGAGGCGTTTCACCTTTATCGATTGTTGAGCGAGAAAAGGAACATTAACTACGAAGACATTACCCCATATTATTTTATTGGTTGGGGTGAGTTTTCTATAATTTTTAAGTAACTGTCTTTATATTTTTCATCTATGATCGCTGCGTTGCAAATACCGCTACCACTTAAGATTGGATATTGCTTCTTGGGCTGATAATCTTTCTCTGTGTTCTACTTCAATTCATAAACATATTTTATAGCTTTAATTTTTATATGTCACTTCAGCACCTTGCGATATATAATATTTTGGTGGCCAAGAGATGAAAATTTTGATTTTAGCCCCTCCTTCCTAATTAGGCTAAATGTGATTACAAAATCGTTATCTGCCCAAAGGACCGAATGATTGTTTCGTGAGAATTTTAGGCGAACAATTCTTATTCTGGGCTAAAGAAAAACAATATTCTTAGGGCAAATAAAAAGTTGAAAAAATTAGGATCGGATATGTGTAATGGTTTTCTTTATTTTTCAATTGCCCAGTTCTCTCTATTTTAAATTTTCATCTTTGCACAGGTGCCCCCGTCATTGTTGTGGGTGTGACTGCTGGGTTAACTCCCAAAGGATATGGGAATCCGCAATTGTAAGTGTCAAACATTTTTACAGCGGCTGGCATTGATAGCAGTCTTTGTTCTGTTACTTGCAAAATTTGCTTATTTATTATATTTGATCAGGTTATTTAATTACGTTTGTTGTATTGTTAAAGAAGCTGTGTCGTGGTTTTGTTAACGCACCAAAAGCACGGGGGATGTGCACTTTTCAACCTCATTCAATCTAGGACCTGGGATGCCTGGCGTTCTTGTGCTTCTATAAACTTTAAAGTTTGAGAAGTATACTAGTTGAACCTATTTGCCGAAATTTGAATGGAAATCTACAAAGGTTTATGTTGTATTCCAAACTTCGATTCGATAGGCCCAGAAAACCAAGTGTTATTCAACGGCAAGGATTTTGACGTCTTCCATGATGAATTTCAATTGAACGAGAAATCGTTCAACGCAAGAATTTTTCTGCTTATAAATCCATGTATATAAATCCATATATGGTGAAAATTGTTTTTAATTCTGATTTTAAGTTACACTTCCGATTTCATTTTCAGCTGCTGGATTTCAACCAGTGGGCAACTGCTTTGGACATTCACTGCTCCTATCATGGCGATGGTAGCGGTATGTGTGACGTCATTCCCATTATATTTATTATTTCAAAGTTACTCAGAACGTCGTTTTGGAGAATAATCCTTCGTCCAAATTGCTTTGCACCTGTTTTCATATGACGGAAATCGTCACTTTCTGATAGAATGCAAGGGACAGTTACTAATTTACGACAATATTCTTTTATATATCCGCATACAAGACTGTGTATCAGATTATTTGTGTATTCATCGCAGGCAACTTACTGAGTCCATTAGCATACATGATATCAAGACTCTTTTATCCTAATTTTCAAGCAAAGCGTTCCTTGGCTTGCATTAGCGAAATCGCATCTACCTTTCTGCCTCGCAAATACGTTTCATTTTCTGTTTATTGCATTCTCAGGCAAACCTGCTGATATTCGTATTGGCAGTCGCTGCATCATTCAACAAGAAAAGCTCCGCCAGAGATCTTAAGCATAAGAATCGCCCAAGGTAATAACAGAGGAGCCATCAAACTGTTTGTCTCTCTCTAGCCATAAAAACCTTAATCCTTCGACACTGTTGAGAACATTGTCCAGCTTCACCCCATTCTACCAGTCATAAATTAAAATGTTTTACTTTTTGGATAAAGAAGTTGTTTCCCGTTACATTCTTAATTTGTTCAGCCAGGCTAGTATGGTCATTGTAACTACCAAAGATGCCGTATTTTGATATTCTTTGCTGGTTCAAGATTCCGAGTGGAAGCGTTTTGATCCGCCATTTCTTAAATCGAGAAAAAAATACTGATTTTTACGTGCCCCACAAATATACCCTGCATAAAAAATCATTGAAAATCAGGGGTAGCTGGGACTTTCTGATGTATTTCGAAGCCGCTCGAGCCCCGAAGTCCCAAAACCTCCAAATAACTAACACCTATGGTATTTATGAAGCTGTGTAAAGGTAGCTAGTTGTATCATTGTCAGATCCTTCAGAAAACTTTGTTACTTAACTTTCTGTTTCTCACCCGTGATTGTCTTTTTTCACATTTGGATTATACTCGCTGATTCTTCTGCCAATTCTCTGTGCCACGTTCGTCATTGGTCTGATGTCTGTCAACGCAAACATGCAAATGTTTAGTCTTATGTTTTCTGGTTTTGTAATATTTCAGGTGCGTTACATGGGGTTGCATGACTAATTCTGCGGCCAACTCAATTCTAAGGGGAATGAACATAACGGAAAAGGCTCATAATATAATTTCTTGGTTTAAGAGGAAAAGCACGGGTTTTTCTCTGCAGGAATTTACTGACATCTTTGTTTACATTTCTTGGTAGTTGACAATTAGTATATGTTAAAGTAAAGGCATGCTGAGAATTCACGTTGTCCCTTTTCTTGCTGTAAGGTTAAAATTAAAGGCAATCGGTCTCGTTGTGGATTGGTTAACGAGAACAATAGCTGGAACAATAGCCTAAACACGATTCCAGCGCTCCGCCATATTTTTTACAGTGCGATAAATTAAAGGGGGACTGGAAACAATAGAAATCCCTTTGTTCTTATAACCAATCAACGTCGTGACAGATTGCCTTTAAAGATAGTACTGGGTCAGGGCAGTAGCTAAACATCCATTTTAAATGTATCTTTAGAGTTTAGCCAAATAACGACAATAACTTTGTGCCATAGCTGATAGTGAAGCTCAATCTTTAGTTTTAAGGATTGCTAACTAGTTTAATGCTTATTTGCGTCTACATATTTACGATTTATCGCAATACGTTCTTTTGGCTTCCAGGGTATCTACATCGTGCTATTCTACGTTCTGTTTAATCGAGAGGTGAGCAACCCGTACTTGTAACTTGAAGTATTTGGCATTGCGTTCTTTTATCATGCTTGTACCTCGTTTATGCACATTGTTATGATAAGTGAGGTCTAATTTGTGGATAAACACTATTTTTTCTCGATGATTTTAGTGGTCCTTTGCAATAAGGGCAGGAGAAGGGGATGGTTATTTTAATTCTGCATAGATCTTGCTAAGATGAATTTTTCAACTCTTTGATTAAGATGTCCCTTCTTTCTGAAAGATTCTTCCTTCTGTGAGCATAATACGCTTTCAGTAGCAAAAGGATAAGTTGAACTGGATGGCCGATATTTAATTATGTTTTTTTTAATTTTAATGTTATGGGTTAAATATTTATGATAAGGGATTGTTTGAAAGTCTTGAGAAGTTAAAGAAATTCAACAGACATTTGTCCCAGTTTTATAAAATTAATTATTAAAAAAGAAATGCCATTGAGCTGTATCTGAGGACATATTTGTATGTAATGTCTGGTACCAAAAGGGAATTCTACCAATGTGTATGTTAGCCAGTTTTATGTCGGTTCATTTCTTTTAAAATCTTTTGCAACTACCGTGAGGAAAAAGGTGTCTTAATAGACAAATCCGATTTAATTCCGGGTTGGCACATGATACAATTAAATGCAGTTTTAACTTAATCTAGATCTTTATTTGGTATTAAATAGCTTGCCCGGGTATGATTACGGCAGACCAGCTTATAAGCAAACATTATTTTTTGCATTTGTTCATTTGTTGTTGCTGTTGCTATGACCGGTGTTGTTGCTGTTGCTATGGCCAGTGTTGTTGCTGTTTTGGAGTGAGCTGTATGTTCATTGAATCAATGCATCCCTTGTTCAATTGCAGGTTCGAGACGAGTACAAGAACGCTTATATCAGATGGAAGACTGGTGATAAGAGTTATGGAAAGAAAAGACCTCGTGTGGTATGTATTTACTGTGTTTTATTTTGTTTATAATTGCAATTACAGCAAAGACAACTGATTCAGTTACTGCCAGCAATTCCTCTTTTACGCTTCACAGCCTCATTGTATAACAAACGTTATCAGGCCAGTAAGCATTGATTTTTGGCTATTGAGTCGTAAATACATCAGTAGTAACTGAATGAGGAGGCATGTTCCAGAGAAATTATGCTTGTGAAAAATCATGATCGTGAATTGCAAATATCTTACAGCGTTTCCTAAATAATTTCCACTTTCATATTTTTACCAGTTTCACAGTCTATTATAATTTTGCTGTTTAGTGCTAGGTTTTACAGAGAATAATGCCAATAAAGATAACTTCCTATGTTATAACGTTATTTCATTTTGCCATGTATCCTGATGTTGTCATTTTGCCTCTTTTGCAGAAGCGAACCCTCGTAGTGGACAGCTCCTATCGCTCACAATTGGCTCATCTCACGGCGACGTTTAATTTGAGCACATCAACTACAGACAGCAGCACGGACGGTGGTCGCATATTCGGAAAAGGGAGGCGAGGTAAGTGAGAGTAACTGCACAGCAGGAAGTTGAATTGGAAATTCTTGCTTTCAGTATCTTCTTTGATGCTACTCTGAGAAAATTATCTCGTTCTTGTCTTCTTAATAAATGGTTTTGATTAAATGCAGTTTGTTGCAACAAGTTAGTTTACAAAAAGTCAAATATTACCAGAGCAATGATTTGCCATCGTTGTGATAGCGATATACGGTTATATAATGGGTGTAAGGTTCGGCTTTGGACTGAGTTGGGTCTTCATCCCTTTTGAAATTTTCATGTGTCTCTCAAATATCACATCTGTTATGCTTGAAATTATTGCTCAATCCTTTACCAATATCAGCAGTGATGTAAGCACTTTTGTAGTGGCGTTTTCTATTCTAATAATTACAATTCTGTTTTTCCAATTTTAGACCTTGCAAGTTCCACCCAACCTGATTCGTCAGATACGTCAGACGAGGACACGACAAAAGATCCGGAAACATATGCGTCCGACTCAGAAACGAGTGATGACGATATGCCAAGTAAGCAATATTGATGAACTTTTTCAATGCCTTTAGAATGTTTTAACTGGAAATTTACTTCCAGTATAACTAGATTCCACATCAGGGGCGGACACTTGATCAAATATTGGAGGGGGGGGGAAGCATATTGTTTTAATAAAACGACGTCACATTTCCCATCGTTTTAGAACAAAAGACCATTGTCCGCTATAGTATTGGGGGGGCGGTCGCCCCTCCCTTGTCCCCCCAAGTGTCCGCCACTGTTCCACATCTATATTTTGGTGAGAATTGAAATAATCGTGCAGCAAACGCGTGCAGTATTAGATGCTTCCCTTATATTGTTCTGATACATTTTATATAAAGAATGCTTTGTGCCATTTTGATTGTTATTCTTTATGTGATCTTTTCCATTTGTGATTCTCTTTGCTTCTTTCTTTTCGGCCTTCCAGTATATGTACGATTGGAAAGATCAGGCTTGATTCCCATATTGTCGTGACAGAAGTTTGCACTGAAATTTCTGACAATATCTTTCTTGCACACTTCTAACAATGTCTTAAGAAACACATTTTGCTTGCATATTAAATTGACTTCTTGTGCTATTTTTTCTTGTAACGACCAAGTCCATTCATATACATGTATTTAGCGAAGCTGCAAACCTCGCCAAAATTTTTGCAACCCCTACACGATGTCTGAGCAGATTTATAAAACCTTTTTCCATTCCTCCCCTGACAAAGTTTATTATTATCAATATTGCACAATTTTCAGCGATAATCTAAATAATATTGGACGCACCAACACTTCTAACGAATGAGTCAGCATTGTAGGAGGAGAGGCCAGAATGTAGCAACAGCGTTGATGACTTGAAAGTTATAGTTCAGTTTCGATTGTTGCCAACTTTTAAACGTGATTATTGTGGTGGTCGAACTATTTTTCGCAAAGATTGTAGGTTTTAGCGCTAAAGTCAACTGTCTATTTTTTCTGTGTTTTTCTAAAGTTTCCTAGTTTGCCAGGACTGTTCAACCACGGTTTTTGTCATCCCTAGTTCCTTCGATGCCAATGGGTAACAAAGGCCTTGGATCAAACTTAGCCTCACCAAATTCCACGCGGTCTTCAAATTCAAACTCAGCTAAATCCCCCAGTGGCGCTCGGTCGCCTGTTGGCGGGAAATCGGCGAGTGGCGCAAGATCTCCACAAAATGGTTCACGGACACCGGATTTCAAGATGGCCAACCCGAAAAAGCTAAGAAGTAGGTTTTTCACTGTCTTGTCAAATTTAATTATCGCATTGTTTGCAAATATTGCTTATAATCCCATAACTCGTCAATATAAATCCTATTATTTTAAAATTCTGATAAAACAGTGCTTGACACACAATTTTCGATTAAGAAGTTGTATAAATTATAGCTAATGTAATTCATATGTCTAAGATATGTAATTATATATATTCAGGTATTTGACAATTACTGTTTACCGGTGTCTGCCATAAAGTGCTTGATATCGTACAGGCAGAGCTGTACACGCTATATGGTGTATAGAACAGGACGCTTCAAAGTTGCTACTCAGAGTGTCAAGTTTAATCCAATCATCATGCCCGATGATCGCGGAGTAGCAACTTAGAGCCGTCCTGTTCGAAACACCAAATAACATGTATTCAGATATATACTTATTTGCTTTTTCCCGTTTAACAATTATGAGAAAATCAGAATGTGCTTCTAGGCCACTCTTCATTGAACATGGTTCTAGGCCAGGCCGCTCAGCTTAGCCAAAGTAGAAAATAAAGAACGCGAGAAATAATAGTGCAAGAAGAAATGATAGCAAAACTAAAGTTAAGGTGCAGAGAGAAAAGCAAGGCTCCTCGAAAGCTTATGTGAAAGTTTTAGAAAAGAGTTTTTCATTGTTGAAGATCATAATGTACTGTCTGATAAGTTTAAGCAAAAACAGAATAGCCAAAAACCTTTTTTTTACTTTCAGCTGCGCCTTTATATGCTTCAAACGGGCCAATGCACAGCACACCATCAGGTAAGAAGTTTTTTCTCATTTATTTTCATGTTTGCTTGCATAATGCTGCATAGATTTTTCTTAATTTTCTCAACTACAGATGTTCCAGTTGACGGAGGATAAAAATATCCATAATATTAAAGATAACTAGAAAATAAATCATGAAAACATTTAATGAAGATAATTTAATTTAATATGTAATAAAGACCTTGCTCTGAATATTTGCCATAGCAGTTGATGATTAAAGCAATAAAAATCGCCAGCTAACTCCTTTTTTGATGTGTTTCTTGATTAAATTGAAACGTTTCTTCATCTTCTTTGCCTGTACATCTTTTTCTAATCCCAAAAGGTGCTCTAGAGAAAGCCTGTGTGTTTTATTACTTGGGCGAGTGATAGTTGATAGAGTATTCTGTGTTTTCTTTTGTGATTTCAGTTGTAAAGACTGTGATATTGAAATTATTATCTCGTCGATAACTAAAGCCACACCCATCCCAGCAGCTGCGTTTTCACAGACAACTTCCAGCCTTTTCTACAAACTAAGCGCTGCTCAAGCAGTCTTTTCTGTGAAGCCACTCTGAAATTCTTCTTGATAAAATCTACCCGACGTCAATTCTGTTTTTATGAGTTAAATGATTTTTATTCCCATTCGCATCCAAGCACCGAACTTTGCCTATCTTTCTAGATAATTCGGACAATTCTGAGAAACGAAAATTCAAACCTGACGATGACAGGAATCCGAGTATAGACGTAACAGACGTCACTGTTTTGAATGAGGAAATGGACGGACCAGAAGATCCATTGTTATCGTCGTTAAAGCGACAAAGAGCGGAACAGAGCAGCAGCAGTGATACTAGCGAAGTCTCGTCTCTTCCATCGGTTATAAGGTATGTTTCTGTGGATTTTTTCTTCAGCATGCCTCTAGGACATTGAAGTTGAAACTGCAGCTAAAGCAGTGCTGAATTTCGTGGAAAAATTCTCCATACGAATATTTTTTCGAACTGAGAAATTGTTTATATAAATTCCAAGTTGACGAACTGAAAATCTTTGTCGATGTATTGAAACTAGGCTTTTCTTTCCATATTCGTTTTTTTCCGTGTTTTTTCATTTCCTTCTGCTATTCTTCTTTTTTTTTCGAATTCAGAATTGTAATATGTGTTGACTTTCACAAACGATTCTAAAAAGTTGGCGTTGTCAATCTTTGGTCCCCTTTAATTTTTCATTGCTACCTCAGATCAGTAAAGCTTGAGCAGTCCAGCTTCAATTGTACAGTGTTTTACATCGTAAACTTTGTCCCATATTCCTGCGAATACTGTAAATAATTTGCTTAAATATGTCCTATTTCCTAATAGGAAATATTTGAATACCATAAATTAAGGAACTGTACAGCAATGTTCCCCCCAATTGCTACTGGAAACAGTTTCGTTATCGTTCTTTTCCAGTTTTGAAATATCACCTGATTCTTAAGTTCGTTTTAAAGCCTTTTCATAAAACATTTTTTTTCTGTTTTAAAAAGGGTTGGCCCTGGTGGCAAGCCACAGTCCATTCTCAAGAAGAAGTCAAAATATGGAAATGTGACTGATTCTGACAGTGAGCGTCGTGGCAAGGTCAGGGTGAGAATTTCGGACAAGTCCAAAAAGCCACTGCTGAACTTAAACAGGGAACCTTCAGAGTGAGTCATTGATAAATTTATTTTGGTTGATTAACCATTCAGCTAGACGATAGATTTAACTAGTATTTTTTGAGAATCTTACCCTTTCCGAACACATATATATGATATAATTTTAAAATCAAAAGTCATACAATCAACAGAAAACACTTTCTTTTATTTAATTGAAAAGTCATAGGTTTCGTGTCTTGTCTCAAACAGTGGAATCCTCCTCTTTAAGGGGAAGTTCAAAATAATTTACCATAAAGCCGAAGGCTAGACATTTCAGGTTTATATAGCAGCACCGCTGAATTGTTGCTGTTTAATTTTAGCTATCGTCAGCGTAAAGTTTAGGCTAAAAACAGTAATATCTTTTCATGTTTTCGTGTAGAAGCAACATGTGTCAGGCCCAAACTTGGAGAGTAGTGAACTACACTAAAGTTCTCTTTTATTTTATTTTGGTGATATATAATCAATTTAATAGGCGTAGATGGAAGATTTGTCAGAGCAATTAATTGTTTATGGTCGAGGTTCGAAATTCGCCCCATATTGGTGTATAGCCGAAAGCCTCTCATTTCTTATACAATGCCTGCCAGAATTTCTTGAAACTCCAAACATCTTAAACCTTGTTTTATTTTCCCGAACGTTGTTACTTGGGCGCTATCTTTCCCCAAAACCAAAGGTGATTGTTTAAGCACACACGTCACATTAGTTTTTGAAGGCCACCTGCTTTGTAAGCGTCTGAGATATACGGATGCTATTGTTGCGGGTCATTCTCCAATATGTGAAATAAACAGGAACCAAATCAATACATGGATCTACATTGAGTTTTCTGGCCTGTTTTTCACTCTTTATCATTCTACTGTGACAGAATTATCTCTTTTTCAGGTTTCAAGATTCACAGGTTTGACAAACTTAAAGGCAATGCGATATGAACCAGAATCAGGTCACTTGTTACATCCAATGTTTCAAAATCTTTGCGGAGAACCCTTCTAGGCCATCCATCATACAAAGATACGGATTGGCGCGCTTTATGACGTCACGTCAGAATTCTCTGCTGCGTTTTGAAAACGTGCGTATGCGTCCCCGGCTACCTTTACGTACTGGAGATAAAAAAGTCATAATAGAAACATTAAATGTGTGATATTATTTTATCGAGTTCAGCTAGATACATGTATAAACCAAGATGCGGTAGATTGCCCTTATTTAGCGATTACTATCAACAAAGGTTTCCTCCGAAAGAATAGCGCAGTCAACAACCAGACCTAGCGTATGACCCTTGGCTGATGCAGTTTGTATTCTTGGTAAAGTGAAACGTGAAGTTGTTTCTTCTAGCCCTTTGCCAAAATTGTCTCTATCATTCTTCCTGCCTTTTTATTATAATTGGCTAACGATGACTGCTCAAGTTTCAAAGTTAATATAAAAGGAGTATTGCCATAAAAACAAAATTGCATGTGATGTTTCATCTGTCCTTGCTGCATCTCAATCTCTCATATCAATTTTTTGTGGTTTGCCAGGGTTTTCTCATTTGACTGCTATACTGAATTGGAAATTTACCTCAATGCACATGTGCCTGTTTTTGCTTTTTATTGCACCAAAATTACCAGGGGATAGAAGCAGTATTTTTGCTGTCAGATTAATTTGTCACGTAGAAGTAGATTTTGTACGAAGGGTAATATAGGGGATTTACCAAGTTAGATACAGATTAATGCTAACGAATGAATCATCATTGTAACGGGGGAGTTTTCTGGTGAATCGAGCCAAAGTTATGCCTATAGAATGTCAGGGTTATCTATTTTTGTGTCAGCAGAGGACGAAACGCCATTTTACCCAAAGACGTCAAAGCAAATCTTCCCCTCAAATTTCAGCTTGAGATAAAACGAGCAAAGAAGAGACCCATCCAAACACGGCTGAACAATAAGGTGTTACCCGACCATGTCAAAATTGAGGTTCTGCCTTGGTTATGAGCAGAAAAGTCTGTAAACATCTACATTTGATCAATAGACTATGACTTTGTTTGCCTCTGTCAAGAATGATATTTTCTCTTGACATGCTAAAAACCCCGATGTTTCTGAAGCACCAACTCATATGGCATCGCATCAGAACCAGATGGCTTTTTTCGCCTAAACCCCCCCCCCTTCCCCAACCAATAGCTATGCATTTCAGTAAACAGGTTGTTATCTTGAGTAAACTTACATTTTGAGTAGCTTTAATACGTTGTTTTGATTTTATTTAGTTTTTAATTACGCTCAGTCGTGAATTAAATTCACTGTTCTCTTAGCGTACAGTTCTATGTACGATAACAGCGGCTTTTCTTGTAGCATTGGCCCGTGTAATCAGAGATCAAAACTATAAAACTTGCTGGTGTTGAAGGTCGCATAGAAGTTAGTTTTTTAAAAATTCCAGAGCTTTTGTTTTTGAATCATGATTTAGGGATACCAAGTATTTAATGCGAGTAAAAAAGTTGAAAAAATATTGATAAAGTTTTTCGTCGATTTGGCAGATTTACGAAACTTCAAATTTTAATATCGACCCAATTTCATATTGACAATTTAATATCAGCTTTTGTTTCAGTAAATATGCAGATTTTGGTCTCTGTCCACTGGTTAAAGATATGTCCTGTATAAGATACCTTTTGCTTATTTATTGACTTTAGCCTCTAACGTTTACTTGTAATTTTAATTAGTTGTTGACGTCATCGTACTTTTCACCTCTCTTACCACTGTGATTTTAAGCACTGCAGGGGCAAATCTTGTAAATTCAAAACCTCTGGTATTTCTATCTTAGTGGATTTTAAATAACAACAGGTATAATGAAACATGTACTTTTCTCGTGTAATACCTTTGATGTGTGCTTTAAAATCATAGTTAGTTTGTCCGAGCATCGAATACTTGCCACAACTCCTGACATATTTTATTAAGATAAAATTTTAGAACCGGGTGTTTCAGGAGATGTCTGCTTTTTAATACTTGTATCGATTTAAGAAAATATGATAGACTCGTACTTCGCAAACATAGGTCAAAAAGACCTCCAGATGTAAATAATGAATTCTCTGATACTTTCACAACGTAACATAAAAGGACCAAATGATTAAAGAATGTTAGCTTGATCCCGGGATAACGTATAATTGTTGGACAAATTCAAAACATCGGTGAGAAATAAATTTAAAATAAAACTTTTTTCATTCAGAAATAAAACCTCAGGATAAGGATTCGAGATCATGTTTTGGAATCTAGCAGTTTTGGAAGCGGCCATTGTGTAGACAGAAGGAGTTCGTTTTCTCTCTTGGACTCAAGAGGTAATTTTTCCATAGGCACGCAGCACTGATTGGACAACTTTGCCGGTCATGGGCGTAGGTTTTTCTGATTGGCCTATTTCGATTCACAAATGGGTATATTTTTTCCATCGTGTTCTTTCGGACCCTTACTCTGAAGTTGGAGTGTCAGTTGAAAAACCTTTAAGTAGTATGTTGTGAAATGTTTGCTTTTTCAAAGCCATTTTCAAGTTCTGTACAGCCAAAAATTGTTCACATTTCAATATCTGTCCGCTTAATTTAAACGCAAGTCACAACTTCCTCTAATCTTGAAGGCTCTTGATCAACCGTCATGCTAAGCGGCAGTCGTCTTGAGAAATTGACTATGTTTTGTATTTTCATGCAGTACGATATTAGGCCGCTTCTTTGCAGAGCCTAAAACAAGAAATTTTTACAGATCCACATTTTTTAAAAAAATTGGGCGTAGTACTTTGTTGGGATTGGATCATGGGGGTGGCAAATATAGAAACTGCCATCATTGTGCAAATAGCATGTCTTAATTGGGCAAATCCTTAAATGAATGAAGTATAAGTAGCAAAAGCCGATTCTTTACAATATATGGATTGGGTTAGTAAGAAAATTAGCTATATATAGCGATGTCTTAATGTGTGAGCACAAAGTTATCGAAAGGAAACACTTAAATGGTTTGTTCGGATCTCTGTCAAAGTTGATTTTCATTTCCTTTCACCTTCAATGGAGCCATATCTTTGCAGCTTATCTCGGAACTCAGAACTTGCGAGGTCAAGCATATTCATTGCAATATTGATCTATTTGTTAAGTTTTTCTGGAGCTATGCTGCTTTGCCCACTTGTTTCTATCTTGTTGTAGGTGGGAATCAGCCTCTCTACATTGACAGAATTAAAGATTGCTGCGAGAATCCGAGCCATCGTCCTGTCTGGTAGAATTACTCTGAGAACAAGTCTCAGATCTCTGCGATCTTAGTTGTTTATTTCTCAAAATTTAGTGCATGATTGAATGAAATATTTTGTCCGGGACAAAAGCTGGGTGAAGCTTTCTTAAGTCTCTTTTACTTATGGAAAGTTCTTACCTGCATTCAGCCCATCAAATTCTTTGCCATCAAATGTGTTCTTCATAAAGTTTTGATACTATAAACGAAAACCTCGTTACAGATGGCAAATAAACTCTTCTCTCACTGATGTACAAATTTTGCTTGTTTCTTTTTGTTCTCTTTTCACCCAGTTTGAAAGCATGATCTTTACCCCCATCTTATTTGTAATGCAGAAACCACGGACCAGATCTCAATTTTGGAATTATGCCAAATTTGTCATAAGATTGTGCAAAAATTATGCTAGATTTCAAATCAAGGCAACCCTGCTCGAGAAAGAGGCTAATGCATGCTCAGAATATCAGAAGTGGCCAGAGTTGCAATTTGGCCTTTTTGACAACCCAGTGTACTCATTCTTCATAAACAAAAAAGCAATTTAGATCCATGGTTTGGTGGCCAAATTTCTCCATTTTGGCAGTTTCTCAAAACCCCTTGGCCGTCATAAATTGATTGAGCCGAAGAAGCAAAACTTGGCTGAATTCTGGCAGCATGTTGCAAAAACAACGATAATGCAAAGAAAACAAATGCAAAGGTTTTCTGCACAGATAATATTCAAAACTTTTTAAAATAATCTCAAAATTGCAAACGATGAATGATGAAACAAAGTAAAAGATAACAGACGGTTTTAGATAAAAGCAAGCGAAAACTTTTGTAACCTACAAAGCAAATTTTTATTACGGTATCACTCCCAATAATTAGCAAAAATTTAGCTTTTTGTATACTGCGTTTAGCTGGCTGCATTTGGCTGCCAACTACAAAATATGTGGCTGCCAACCATTCAGAACAACTGGCAAAATCATGAGGGTGGAAAGTCACAATTTACTCCCATAAAGAAACCATAGATGCTGGTGTAAAGTGTTTGCATTTGGTAACGATAGACAATGGATCCATTAAAACAATGATTCTTTTAAATAATATCAGAATTATGTTAGAGTTATGCTAGATTCCAAATTATGCTAGATTTTATGCTCAGTGACGATTTTTGGCAAATCTTATTATTCTAATATTACGCTAGATCAGGTCACACTGGCACCAGCTCACAAGGGAGTGGTTGGAACGGGACTAGCAGGCTTGCCCCTAATTTTTTTTACTTTCACGCCCTTTGAAACACCGGAAACCACTCCTTTCAGAAAATATTTGCTTTTTTCTGTCCTTATCATCTTAAACGATTTAAAGAAGATTTCAATTAACATAAAAATACAAAACCGAGTTAGATAAAATACAAATTTATCTTTGATCACACAAGATAAAGCGTCATCAAAAAGAACAAAAACGTGTTCCCAGAAGAACTGCTACTAATGCGTTCGTTAGCGTAAAATTTCAAAACATTTTCTAACCTATTATTGCAAAAAAGTTGAGGAGGACTATAGACCCTGTCTTATAACATCCCCAATTGAATGTCCCTCCCAGCTTCCACCGAGAGGCTTATCATCGTTCAGTTGCTGTAGCCTTGAGAGGAATCTTTCCAATGTTTTTCCAATTCAAAACACCTTAGATGAATTGCTTTATAACTTTTTCTGACACCTACTGAAAGATATCACATAAACCCCAAAATACATTACGGGCAGAAAATCATAACCTCGGTCTTGGTCTTTAAGCTCAGTGTCTTTTTTGAAGCAAGTCATAAAAGCAAACTTAATTGAGATGATGTCTTGAAGTTAAAGCTGTATACAGAGTCCTTTTTACTTCAAAATAGCACACAGCAATATCATAAAGCGCAATTGATTCTTCTCCGCATGTACTAAAGCTTCGAGCCCTGAAGTTTCTTAATTCTTCTTTATTGTCCATTGCTTATTTCTTTTCGCAATTTTCTTATAAAAAATGAGTGCAATACATAAGGCTGGGATTGGGCATTCACTTGAAATTGAAATTGAATTGAAAAATGTTCCCAATTCTTTCTTAGGCGTTATGATTGGTATTTTATGCTGCACTTTTAAGAACATGCATTGTTTACAAATCTACACTTTCTACAATTACAGTTCCACAATTTTAATTTACAATTCCACAAAGTGAGTCAGATCCACGCTTATTTTAGGCCCTGCTTCTTTGAATTATCAGAGTCAGGAAAACATTACGGTCGCACGGCCACTGACCGGAGGAAGTTCCACGAAAAACAATAGAAGTTCCTGTGACACATCCAAGCCACGCCCACTTTCTATTGCTTTGTGAGGAAGGTTTGTCTTCTGGGATGTTTTTGTCTGGAGAGTGGTTATCAGCATTTCTAGACTCTATGAATTGTAGTCGCAAAGCTTTTAATAGCATATAAAGAACTCATCCAACATTCCGCCCAACATCACCAACATCGTCATTATAGCAAGCTTTTAGACGTGCCATACAATACACTGAGCATGCGTGGGTAATTACGCAGAGAGTACATGGAGAAGGGAGTTACTAATTCAAATTCAAATTCATTTCATATTCAGCAACAGTTTACAAAATTAGATGACAATAAAGCAATTAATATTGAAGTATAATTAGCAAATTACAATAGCATAAAAAAATTTAACAATATAGTTGCCTAGGATGCTGGGAGGAACTGGGACGGTTTTCGAGCCCAACACCCTAAAACAAAAACTTTCTATAAACGTTACTAGAATTAAAACGTTACTAAGGCTAAAACAAATCAAAACTTTCTATGATTTAACCATAAGCAACGGATCTTTGCAACTCACACTTAAGTTTTTTCTTTTAGAAATGCAACCTGCATTTTGTTCTATTGAATGACATCGATATTGTATGGAACAGAGTACCAGAGTACCTGCCAAATTGTGTGTCAGGTTTTTCGAACATCATTTTATCTGCCACATATCAATATCAATGTGTGTTTTCAGTAAGGACTTCGATAAAAAAATTTGCATACTTCAATACATGTGAAATTGACTGGAAAACCTAATAATTCTTGAAAAAGCCAAAGCGTCTTTTTCTTCAAAGAGAAGCTTTCGGCAGTAAGGTGATTTAATTCGTGGTATGCTAAAGTTGCCATGCCACTCGCCAATAGTTCTGTAATTTAGTGATCATGTGATTTCATTATGATGCTAAACTAAACAAACATTTCTGATTCCCTATGATAATTTCCTGTTAGCAAATTTGTCCAATCAAATTTTGTAAAATTTCATTCATAGCCAATCAGCGGTGGGATATGGTGCGTTGCTCATCAAATTTGCTGCAGCCATCTTTGTTTTGATTTGGAGCAGTGAAATTTTTTAGGCGGATGGCATAATGAATTGAGACACTCAAAACGAAAGGAGTTTTACTTTGGCTCAGAGTGGCATCTTGTTTGCTATAGAATAAGGAAATATGTCTTCGCCGTCGCCTGGGAAGCGTCGAATGGACACAGATGTTGTGAAGCTGTAAGTCAGAATGTGTTTTGCAAGCAGCTCCCATAGGCCTACTCAGATTCCTAAATGATGGTTCATTGTTCCAAATGACTTTGTGTGGCTTATGTGTTATTTTACTCATTGAAGTATTCTTTTCTTCACTTTAGGATTGAGAGCAATCACGAAGTAACAATTCTTGGTGGACTGAATGAGTTTTTTGTCAAATTTTTTGGGCCAAAAGGAAGTAAGTAGCTTATCTCGAGGTTCGTCGCCCAATTCTTTAGTGGTCAACAGTTTTGTTGACAGGTAGGCCGTACGGCTTCTACTAGTTGTTTTTGCTTCAAAGACTATGACCCTGAAATTTTCAGGGGTTTTCCCAATTGGAGTAAGCATGTTTAATCTAAAAGTAATTGTCGCCAAAACAATATGTGGGTTCAATGCTGTAAAATATCATGCCAAACTGCAATTAATAATGCGCAAGTTTTTATAAAGTCTATTCGAGTCCCCCTTTCTCGCCCGCTTACATGCCTTAAATATCTAACCCTACATGAAATTACTGTCTGATAAAGCAGGTCACTTGCCAAACACTTTTGTGTTGAACTTTCTTCTCGTTTAACATTAGAGTATCTTTAAAATGTCCTGTAGACAACAGGTGATTATTTTCAGGCTCCCAAAGCGCATAATTTTAACGTCCTTAACTTTTCACGAGAAGTATCACAACAACACAGTCAAGTTAGTCGCAATCCTGGACAACTTAGCTGGATTGTTTATTTGTAAAATTTTACAAGTTTCGTTTCAGTGTGAACGAGGATATATTAATTTTAGACTAACTACTTTTTTGATAAAACTTTGTTTGGTCTCATATTGTTCACAGAGCTTTCTAGAATTGAATACTAAGCTTGTTTAGGCGAAGAAAACACAGAAGGATCACACAACAACGAAACTTGATGTGTGCAAATAACTCGACTGGATGCTGGTCAACCATTGTTTTCTATTTTGAAAGCTAAAAACAAGCTAGATGAAATTAATCCCTGTCGATACCCATCGCTGTGGTTACACGTGACCCAAATCACAATGACATTACGAGGGAAACACCAATTTACATTTGAATTGAAGGCTGATTGAAAAACTTGTCTCAATATGAGATTGAATAGTAAGCTCCAATAGCAGGTTTTGTTTCTATTTTTTGAAAATGAGCAGCTTGACAGGCATCTAGTGAGACCAATTGAGTTTCTCAATAGAACGATGAAAGAATTGTTGTTGGATACAACCTGCATCAATTGTTGAGGACAGTGAAAAATGATCCTCACCAGAAAAAAACAATGCGCACATGAATTAAATTTGGAAAATTCTTTAATACCCCTCAGACTTGTTTGCTCCCAAACCTGTCTTTATGAATAACAAAAACTTGCTTTCTTAACAAGGATAGCTTTGTTGAGGCCGCCCATTTTTAATAACAGTTATAGTGTTAGTAGACCAAGAGGGTGCCTAATTATATGTACATTTAACTATTTCATTTGCAATATTCCAAAGAGGCTGGTTTTTTAGAGCCTTTTTAGAGTTATTGATAAGCATAGATCTATTTTTCATTAAGTCATAATCAACCATTTGAAAAGTCCTCAATATTCAACCTATAAACTAGTTTACATTATTTGGTATATAGAACAGGTTGCTGCCAGAAGTGTAAATTCAAAAAATGAAGAGGGGGGCTATAGAGCTTTTTCCATATTGTGTACAATATGAATATTTCAATTGTTTTCCTTTGCATGGCTCCTCAATATCAATTTCTTTACCTTTCCATTTTTTCTAGGGTTAAATCCTCTTCCAATGTTTACCTGTTACTTGGGTAGAAAAATCTTAATTTTAATAAATAATCTAAAGTAGTAGAATTTTGTTAGCATTTATTGAGTTTTCAGTTATCCAGATGACTATTCTAGTCACACATGAGTGCATATGTCAGAAGTATTATCAGTTCAATCAAAGATTTTATCCTGGCAGAAATTAGCCACAATATTTAAGAATTACCCAGAAAAGAGGAGGGGGGAACAGCCCCCTTCAAAAAAGTAGAAGGGGGGCTGAGTCCACTGCAAAACGTAGAAGGTGGCTGACCCCCCTAACCCCCCTTGTTCCACAGCCCTGGCTGCTACTCTGAGTTTCATGCTTAATGTTATCATCAGGCAACTGCTCTAGTTTATACTGCTAAGTTAGAAATATGTTACACAAAACATACATTAACTATGTATGTTCCAGAAAAATATGGTTTCAGTTGAAATGCTCAGAAATAGCTCAACAGTTGAAAGGAATATAGTGAATAGTTCCGACTCAGAAAAATAACTTTAAAGTCAATACAAAGCAGTTTGTTTCTTCGAGGAGTTAGTCCATGTGCAAACAAAGGAGCATCAGTCTATATTGCTGTATGTCCGTTAAGGGACAAGGTGCTTGATTGATCACCTCTGGAAACATGAATATATGGCATGTTAGAGCATCACCCAGCATCACTAATGAAATTTTCTGTACCCACACTCTTTAATTCACCGCTAATCAGTTATTTTTGTGATTATTTCAGCACCATATGAGGGTGGAGTTTGGAAAGTGAGAGTGGATTTACCAGATAAATACCCATTTAAATCTCCATCAATAGGTAAGTCAGCATTTCATTTATGAAAAATAGAGGTTTTAGCCTTTACTTCAGAGACTTGATGTAGTTTGCAAGGAAAGAGATGATCCAATATTTTATTGATTATACTGAGAGAAAATGTGAGCCAGTTAGTAACAGGACAAGGGCAGGACACAAACCCATAACAGTGAAACTCTACCAAGTCAGTGTACTTACTAGTAACTGGGTGTTTTGTCAAAAGTATTCTTATTACTAATTTTGATAATGGATAAACACCCCTGTAGAGCAAAACAAAGATTTTGTATTCACAATTTTTTAATGGAAAGGGGTCTCTGCCTAGTATGTTGTGAATGCAGTGCATGTATATATTAGGGTCTGAAAGTTTCATCATCGTTTAGAAGCTAAAATTAGGTAGAAAGTTGTACAGCCAGAACCATTTGTCAATTTGAAAGGCCTTAGAGATGTTTAAGATTCAATCTCTAAAAAATCTAGATGGCCAAACATTAAGTACCTTTCTGTTGTGCCAATGTGCATGTTTTTAGGGCAATTTCCTTATTGCTTTTGGTCATTCTTTGTAGCTTCAATATTACTGTCCGTTTTGTATGTTGGCTTTAGAAAGCATGCTATGTCATATAATCTTGATTTTATTTTTATTCCAGAAAGTAATCTGAAGTCTTTTGTTCATCTATCTTTGGATGATTCATCTATCTGTTTTTCCTAGGATTTGTAAACAAAATATTTCATCCGAACATAGATGAGGCGTAAGTTTGCAATAATATTTTTGTGATTAAGTATTCAACTTTAGAAAACAATAGATTAAATTGAATACTGTTTTTTTCTGGTAAGCAGCAGTGAAGTGTGATAGAGAATTACAATAAAGAAGAACTTTCTATCCTGCAGTTCCTACCATTTGTGGTTGCCACTGTTTTTCATACAATAGGAATCAAAACATTTCTCAGTTTATTTGACAATGTAAATTTATGCTTGCAAAAAGATTATTGAAGAAAATTTTTCAAGCTTCTTATTGTGCGTTATTGGTCAATTAGTGCACGCTGCAACACATCTGATGCTACATTCTATTTGGGAATTTCAATTTTTGCATATATAGGCATGGCCATGGTAACATGACTGTGTATGAAGCATAACCTACCCCCTCCTATTAATGTGGTTGTTTTCTATTGAGTTAAGTATTTTATGTCTCCTCTGGGAGTTATGTCTTGTTAGGCACTGCAGTATACACCTGTCTTTCTTTAAATCCAGTGGTAATGCTAAAAAAGCAGTGAATATAGGAAGTGCTGAAATGTGCAAGAAGGAAGGAACGTAGAATGTATTGCCATCAGATTCTGTGGATCTTTCCATGAGTGAAAAATATGAAAAATAATCAGGAACAAAGAAACATGAAGGGGAGAATCCAAGGAAATGAAATTTAGTTTTAAAGTATATTTCATTGAATAATTACTAAGTTTAATAAATTTAATAAGTATTATTTTATTTTAAAATTATGTTTCGTCATTACATTGGATTCTGGTTGTTGTGTTGCTTTGTTCCCAACTATTTTTAGTGCTGAAATGTTGCAAGATATGTGACCATCATCACCCCTCCCCTTGAGGTCAATGCTGGGTGACATGGTTACAGAATAATTAGGGATCCACACAGACTCAACTACCCTTGTAACAGCATTGATTTGGAAGGAGAGGGTGGAAAATATGTAACTAGAGCTTTTTTTGCCGCTTTCTTTCAATTTATTAGTTAATTTGCCAAGATTTTAGCTTAAACATAACATTCAAATTTGAATGAAAGAAGTTTGACTCTCTATATTTCAAATTATATTTAGGTAATCTGGTACCTTTAATGAGTTTATAAACCATAATTAAGAACACACATACACAATCAAGAATGAGCAGGATAATCATTGAAAAGAACACTGACAAAATCTGATTCATTCAGAAAAACTATGTGCAATCATCACAAATACAAAGTATGCCAACTGGATGCAGGTGTAAACTGTAAGAGTAGAGACGTTGTCTACCAAATGAAATGTCAAGGGTGTACCAAACAAGGAAATAATGGTGGGTTGTTTATTGATAAAACAGCGAGAAGCATAGGAAAAAGAATAAACAAACATTTAACTAAACACGAGGCAGGCGACAAAACCTCAATTTTCCATAAGCACATACAAGAAAAACGCCACGGTAAAAGACAAAATATACAACTAAAAATACTTTAGTCTTGTGGCAGTGATGTCATGCTTAGGCAGGTAACAGAGGCTGTATTTATTAAAAAATTAAAACCAGAGCTAAACAGCAAGGAAGAATGGGGCAATTAAAATGCGCTACGTGACAAATGTATAAAGTTTGATGCAACAAATCAATCAAACCAAAACACAACAACCTTTAGAATAATGCAAGAATCTAAAGGAAGGCAGCGACAGCGAATTTTCTAAGAAAAAATTTCCAATCGTGTATGTGTGTTTTTAATTATTTTTTATAAACACAATAAAGGTTCCAAGTTACGTAAAATATAATTTGTCATACACACATGGGATCTCATAAAAACCTTGGCCCAAAAAGCCAGTGACCGAAAACATGATATCTCAATATTTCAGCAGCTTATTTTGGCTACTATTTCCTTTGCAGTTCTGGTACTGTTTGTCTGGATGTAATTAATCAGGCATGGACAGCACTTTACGGTAATGTCCTTAAATTTTGTTATCACTTGAAAAATTTAGTCGTTATTCATTAACATTTGTTAAGAACTTGTCTAGTTTGATGCTTAACACAAAAGGGTTAAAGCTACGCTGTTGATACCTTTTCAGGAAACCCTAGGGCACAGCATGACAAATGGCAAGGGGGCAGGCTTCAGTAAAAGCGCATTTAAAAAATGTTTCCCAGTGTCTAATTCTTTCCTAACTTTCATAAGTTTCTGCAGGTATCTTGAATTTGGCATTACTAATTGTTTTACAATTTCTGTATAATGTTGTCATGAGTAAGGTACTACAGTAAGAATTTCATAACTGATGTCAAGGGCCCTTTTATGAAAAGGCCACTAATCTGGCAATCCTGTTGAGGAAACCATTTCCACAGAAGCAGAGACATAATGATTGGTGTGTATTCAGATGTCATTTGGTTTCATATATAAAGAATAGGAACATATATCAGTGATTTTAGACCAAGTGTAAGCAAGTAGCTAACTAACACAGAAAACGGTTTCCATAAAAAATTGCCCAACAAAGAGCACCCATTTGCCTGTAATTCACACCCTACTTTCTGTTGTTGCCAAAATGTCATTAGCTATAGAATTTAGCTATACAACGTTTTATACTGTCTAGATGCCAAAAGAGAAGCCATTGAGCATGTTGTGGAAGCTGTAGCATCACAAATTCAGCATTTATACTTAGGTCCTCGAACAATGGAAAGAAAGCTATTGTGGGAATCAAAGCTATTTATTCAATGAAATTTTCCCTTTTAAGCAAAGCTGCTCAATCAGTGCTTTGCATTTACATGTTTAGTCAATGCAACAATGACAATATGGACTTGTATAACAAGCTTCTGCTGCTGTGTATTTTCTATCCATGCATTCACAGTCTAGGTGCTTAATTATTTAAGCAGCAGTGTACATAGAGATTAAAAATGAGCACAAAGGTGTTATGGATTTGCTTATAAAGAAAGTATTGATATAGCTGGCTGCACCAATGTTTGCTATTATCAGTAGTCACTGTCTAAGAACATTGGCTCTGCCAGATGCTAGATGTCTATAGAAACATAGGAGCTCGTGTTCTATGAAACATAATGTGATAGGAGTTCTGATAATCATTTGTAAACTATTAATGGTCTGTCACTTATTCTTCAAAATTGGAAACTTGTCTAGCATCTTTGGTCATTGCTTGTTAACGTACAAGCATGCCAAAATAATTCTAAATGATTTTTTTTCTAGATCTAAATAATGTGTTTGAATCCTTTCTGCCGCAATTACTGTCATATCCAAATCCTGTTGACCCCCTAAATGGCGATGCAGCAGCTCTGTTTTTACATAGACCAGAAGATTACAAAGCAAAAATTAGAGGTATTTCAAAATTTATATTATTCTCGTGGCATTTCTATGCTTTTCACTGTAATATTCATGCCATAAGATAAGAAAAATATGACGAAATTCTCCTACTGTCCTCGACCAGAAATCTACTCAAATTCAAAACAATTCATTGCCTCCAGTCTGAAGTTTTCAGATATGAATTTTTCATTAGAAGCATTTTGATTTAGAATTACTGCCTTCAGAAATTTCGAACCGCCTCAAATAAAACTGTAACTGAATGCCCATAGCAATTATAGTGGGTGAAGTTGGCCTTTACCAACAATTGAACTCTGTCATAGACTGATGAGGAAATGATATCACTCATTTTGCTTTGTTTTTTGCTACTTTTTATTTATACCGTTTTTGGTTAAGACCATTCACACAGATATCCTAGCTAAACTTCCTTGTATGCATTTTCTATACGTTGTTTTAAATTCAGGCCTTGAACCAGGAAATAGGAATTCGAAATTTTCCTAATAAACAGAAGCTGGAGTGGCTTGCAGTGCGATTTTGCCATTCGTTAATTTGTTAGTTAATTTGGTAATGCCTACGTATTGAAGATTGCAATATTTCACCTTACTCTATGATTTTAAATGAATTGGCCTAGCTGAGCCTCGAATACGCTGCTTTAGCCAGACACCATATAATTTTATAAACATAAACATTTGTGGGAGATTTTAATTTGAATCTGCCGAAGAAATTTCCCTACCACAGTTTATTGTTTCGTAACTACATGGCACAAGCAGACAATTTGCTTCAAATTTGATTTACATAAAACATCGGCAGTAAATTCTAAAAAAGGAAAAGTTTAAAAACATGCACAATCGGTCATTTGCTGCACGTGTGCTGTATCGTCCCTTGCAGTTATAATGAAGATGTAGATTGTTTCCGTTTCTATCTCATTTTATGGTATTTCTTTTCGAAATTAACTGCAGTTAACTCTGTCCAAAAGTCGAGCTCGTGTAATTCCAGCTTTTACCAATTCGAACTAAATTATCAGGTCTCTTGAGAATCCCCCAACAAACCCTTATAAAAACATCTATCATACGAATCACTATTATTCGAACTTTTTTAATTCGACAAATTTTTCCGGTCCCTTGAAGAAAACAACTTTTGTAGGTTGAGCCTGCTGCAAAGTGTAAAAAATAAGTAATAAGAAATAACTACTTCATTCCATTTTATTCCCCTAAAATTGATGTTATTGTAATGTTTGGCTGGTGTATAAGTGACTTCAGTCAACATTTGTTTGGGAGATGATACGACTAAGTTCGAGGAATCTTGGCCTAGCCCCGTGCCGTACAGTCGATGGGATGCGTATATTAAGCGATTATATTTTCAACTGTTGCGCAAGTTGAAATGACATGGGTAGAGACTGGAAAACGGAAATTTAGGGACAACGGAGGCAAAATCTAGGAACTTTTGAAATGCTCATATAAATCGTACATTTTGTAACTCGAACATTTTTACGATCACTAAGAGAGTTTGACTGCACACAAGAAAAAAGAAAAAAGAGCCATTGAAACCTTGTTTCACTTGATGCTGAATTATTTTAAAAATGTCCAATCTTCACATCCTCTTATTTCCTTTTCAAGTCCTCAATATGATGATGACCAGCAATCACACCCATAACCAGCCTGGATAACAATATTTATTATAATCAGCGTCATAAATCAATGTTACATCGTTTATCATTGTTACATCATCATCATCATCATCATCATCGTCGTTGTCGTCATAACACTGTTAATCTTTATGATTATTATGATCACATCATCATTATTATCATCGTAATGATCATCATCAAGATTATTGTGAACATCACTGTGATCGTCATAATCATAAACATTTCGTCAGCAAGAAATATCAAAATTTTTATGATCTGCAGTTATCATTTTATTCAGAAGTCGTGATTCTTAACGGAAAACCAGTATTTGTTTTTCAAGTTCTCTTCGTTCTTTCATTTTACCTTTCAGTGGTATCCCTCTATTGTCTTTCTTTTCTCCTATATGTGATTTTTATCCCATTGTTTCTTTTCTTCTTTCTTGTTGTTTTATTTGTGATAGTTTTGTCCATCACGTTATAATATGCTGCTGTTTTTTGTAAGCATCCTACCTGCTTTGGAAAGAACCTTCCCTTCCGCGATAAAATTTTTCGCTAGCCTGCCAAGAAATGTATCTGAAATATTCGGCGTTCCTTTTCAAAAATGTTTCCCATTTTATAAAAGTGTCTTTTAAATCATAAAAATGTCATATCTATGATGTGTTGTCTTTTGCTATATCAAATGTTTCTTTCCTTTCAGAGTATGTCAGACGCTACGCTTCCGTGGATGTTATGAACGAAAACGAGGATAATATGTCAACTTCAAGTGAAAGCTCATTAAGTGACTTTAGCGAGGACGAGGCTCAAGATATGGAACTTTGATGTTGGTATGGTGTAATTATAAATTATATTTTATACGGCAGCTGATAGGCCAGTTCTTGTATAGGTTTATTTGTTGGTTTTTATTGAAACTACATATGTTAGTTAGAAAATGACGAAGAAAGTGTTGCCTTGCTCTTGTCTTTAACCGATTTGCTTTTGACATAACCAAGCTAGATTTCCAGGCCTTTCCGTAACAACTCCAAAGTCAGAAGCATAGGACGTATATACGAGTCTTGTGGAAATCCCAATTAATCGTTGCACGATTAAGTATTTTAGACCCTAGAATTGGCTATAACCTTCTCATTTCTAGGCTACTTTTTCTGTTTTCATTTCACAAATATCTCACAATCTTTAGGTTTAATCCTTTTCCGATGCAGCTAGCGTCCTTTTTCCACCTGAGGCAACCTTAAATTTTCTTCACCGTTTTCAGCTTTATGAGTGATACATGTTTGATCGTGTTGCTACACCAACGCCCATCAAACTGAACCGCTAATTCACTTTTCCTTTCTTAAAAAACAGTTTTCTAGGCTAGTTTTGTTGAAGTGTTTTTTGGCTTCGTGTGAAATTAATTATTCTTTTTGTACCTCATATCAGGGATAATTCCTTGCATTTGCTTTTCCTGGTGATTTTGTAAATGTCCCTGTGACATCTGCTCTTGTTTCGAGGTTATGTTATGGTTGATTACAAATTTATGTATTGTAAGGATATCATCTATGTATGAATTGAAAATCGTTAGAAAACCCGAACATAAACAAACTGTAAATATGTTGTTGACATAAACCGGTCTGTTTTATGTAACATTCCAAATTAGCCCGCGCAATCTAAAAAGTTTTTCCCCTTCTGTCTGTAAAGAGCACACTTAGTCAATTGTTATGTTTATAAGTAGGCTTCCGCAGCTGTCTCAATTTTCTTGAACCAAAGACGACCCCAACTGAGCGTATCAATGCGAACTGCTAGAGCCGTTGCTCTTGATTAAAATTTTATCGTCTTGCGTTGGCTTCATATGTTTAAATGTACTTTACGCTGGCTCCTTGCCTGCGAATATTTCGAATAGTTGCAGGTGTGGTCTTGCGTAACTGCCTTTTCGACTTCAGAATTTCACGATTAGTTTGGTCACGAATGGTAAAAGTTTCAACGTTTCTTTTATCAGAGGCAAATAAAATCGACGCCCTTGAGATTGATAAACTACGAGGAAAGCCTTTTAGGCAAAATAATTCAACTCTTCTCTATGCCTCTGAGGAAGGTCGTGAAAATTGAACTCCTTGGCCTGAGGAAAGATAAAAATTTTCTGGATTTTTTTCTAATGACCATGATGCAGCCTCGATACAAGTTTCCATCCTCTTTCTGAGTTTTCTCGGCCTAGCATTTTTATAGAGGATTTGAAGAACGGCAACTGTTCTGTCCTTCTTACGCCCGTCGTATTTGTTGTCGACCAGGGCAGTATGAGGCTTCAATGTAACCCTTTTGTTGGCTAACGGAGCTAATCTTTCCTAAGTTATTGGCGGGTTTCAATTTATTCATTAGATATTGTGAGCGTTTCCTGATTTAGGGACATTTGATAAGAAATGTGACAGGTAAATCATGCAAGAAAAAGTTGAGTGTGCATAGAAAGAAAGACTGAAAATTTAGCAAAGAAGCCAGCGACTTGACCCCTTTTCATTCCTCGACTTTTCAAGCCCTACTGAATATGTCAACATTAGTAGTTATGAAAATTTCGCAGTGATATTGGCCAATGCTGGTCTTCCAGTTTTTTTCAAAGTTTGACTACATTTACTGTATATTCTTATTTATAACCGGTTTACATATTAGATGTTTTGCTATGGCTCGTTGCTTGTAGTACGCCCAAGCTGCCATGCCCAGTTTAGCATTCTCATGTTTATGATATTAAATTTAAGTTAGAGAGAAATATGCAAATTTATGCGCATGTGTAATCGATCTTGTAAACGTTATATGATATTTGATGATAGAATTAGTTAATTGAGCTGTCGTGGCATCTTTTTGTGCTTCCTGCATTGGTATTTTTGTTCTACCTGAATTAGGATTTTTCTTTCATATTGGTCGCCCTCCAACCTAGTCCAAAACGAAATCTTAATCGTTCAAAGAGTATATGAGATTGATTAAAAAATTGTTGGCGTGTTATTACGAAACAAATTGCACTGCTCATCATAGTTGAAAGCGTTTTGTTTGAAACGCAAGAAATCAGACAGACACTTGGCAGTCATTACTTTGTCTCCTTTAATACGTAGGTCAAGTTCTGTTTGTTCTTTGGAGTTTTCAAGAATTGGCTTCTTGGCTGATGATAGAATAAACACTTTTCTGGATACTTTATGCAGCTGGTTTAGTTAAAGTCTTTCGCAGTGGGAAAATCTTTTCGATAAGCAGATTTTTCATTTTTATCGCCTTCTTTGTCGTTCGGTTCAAACCTCGCAATCAGGAAAACGGCCTTTTTAGAGATGTATAGAACAAGATAGCGATAGAATTCTGTATGAAAGGCAAAACCGGTTTTAAAAGGAAGCTTTGAACAGCGTCAACGCCACAGCATATGGTAACAGTTATAACAGCTCTGAAGAGGCCTTAACGTTAATTTTCGAAGTTGCGTTTGATAAAAATCTACCCGAAAAGTTTTACTTTCTTTGCTAAAATTTTACCATTCTGCAAACGTAAATTCGCCAGCTGCAAGATCGGGAAATATGAAAAAGCAGAGGCAGCAGACTGTTGCCATGTTTCAGCTCCAGGTGGGTTCTGGAAACGTTTACCGTATTTCCTCTAAAGAACGCTGCGGCGTTTTATACAAAATCCAAATTATGGATGCGGCGTTAAATAGAGGGCGGCGTATGTCAGAGGGCGGCGTTTCATACATAATGAAATTTTTTGTCAAATGAAAAATGACAAAAGAAGTTTGATGAAAAAATATAGAAACAGACTTTAAACAATGGTTTCTTTTTCCAAAAAAACAGGTTATAAGGATTGTGTGAAGAATTTTTTAAAAGTTCATAAAAGATTTGTTCACTTTATGGAAATGCTAAAGAATGTAAATATTCCTGTATCCTTCAGAGTCCTCGTCTCAATGACATAACAATTCGTTACTTCTTGTTTGTTGTGTTTTCTAATGAACGTCTGCTTTTCAAGACTAAAAAAGGGGGCGCCGTTCATTAGAGAAAATACAGTATGCGTAGGATGGTTTTCATAGAAAAGAGGCCTAGAGGCATTCATTCATTCATTCATTTTTCATTCATTCATTCATTCATTCATTCATTTTTCATTCATTCATTCATTCATTTTTCATTCATTCATTCATTCATTCATTCATTTTTCATTCATTCATTCATTCATTCATTCATTTTTCATTCTTTATTCACGGTAACCCCGTCGGCAAAGGTCGCTTTTCAGGGGGCCATGAGAAAAAAAATTGAAATCTACAATTGAAAGCTAAAGTAAAGTTAAAATCAAAACATAATTATCGTACAAGCTTTAAAGTCGGAGTTTAAAAACATTTAAAGAGGGCGCTTGCTTAACCTTAGGATCAAGGCAGTGCCATACATGTACACCACGATATGAGAATGATTTTTGCCCATTACTGGTTTTAAAAAAAGGTAGCGTAGTCAGTCTCAGAGTTTCTCAACTCGACAGTGCCCCGTGATGAGTTCTTTGAAAAGATATTGGAGAGATATGTTGGTGCAAGACCATTTAAGGATTTGTAAACGATCGTCGCTGTTTCAGCGATATTTGGCCACTTGTGCATCATAGCTACTTTTTGTTACAACTCTGGCAGCGCGATTTTGTAACCTCTGCATTCACCACAGCTCCCCCACACAGAGCAACAGTAGCGGAAATGCGCATCTACGATACCACTATATATTTGGCTAAGAATTTCTTGGGGTAGTGTTTTCTTAGCATACTTTAAAAACCCGATGATATGAAAGACCTTAGCACGCAAGAATCTAGTGTGCTTATCCCAAACAAGATGTTGATCAGGCTGAATTCCCAAGTACTTAACTTTCTCAACAATCTCAATCTGTGAATCACCTTTGGCAAAGAAGGGGAACTGAACTTTCCTTCAGATATCTTGTTAAGATTAACTCGAGATCCTAAAACCATAGCTTGAGTCGTAATAACATTTTAAGATGCCACTGCTTTAGGCAGTTCAAGTCTCTTTTTAGGTTATCGTATTTAGGATACCTTTCTAGGTTTATGATATGGTGGTATTGTCCACATACATAGTAACCTGACTAATTTGAAGAGAAAATGGCAGATCATTAATGTATATCAAAAACAGAAGAGGACCAAGACAAGAGCCTTGTGGCACCCCACAATTTACATCTTCAAGCTTTGAAGATACCCCATTAACTCTACAGAATTGCATTTTGTTATCCAGATAAGATGCAAACCAGGTATTCTCAAGACCTATGATGCCATACGTTGTCAGCTTTTTAAGAAGAATTTCATGTTCGACGGTGTCAAAAGGTTTTTTTAGGTCTATGACCACAATCGCTGTATACAGACCCTTATCCATATTAATATACCAATCGTTCGTACAGTTGAGCAGACAGGTGACAACAGAGTGCAGCGATCTAAACCCAGACTTTTTGGAAAAAAGCAGAGGCGGATCTAGGGGGGTGCTATGGGTGCTTGAGCACCGGTCAGAATTTTCGGAGATATAACATTCAATGCATTTTCTCTAATCTCTGAAAAAAGTTTTGAATCCTTTTAGATGATGTAAATGCATTTTCCAGTAAACATAATGTAACATACGGTTATGCGTTAGTTAGCATAACCTGTATCTGCTTTAAACTATAAATAGCTAGAAATTTCATGTTGAGCTGCCCTGGAACCAATTTTTTTACTTGTCCATCAAACCACACTCTCGGCCAATGAGCTACTTCAATTCTACGGGTGCTTGAGCACCCCTATCAATCAACCTCTAAGGTCAAAGTTGCAACTGAGCCAATCACATCACGCTCTGATATGTTTTTCCGCAATGTCGAGCACCCCTATCAATCAAAACAAGGCTTCAACCAATCCGTTTGCCAAATTTCGGCTCATCTGAGCACCCCTATCAATCATTCAATATACACTGGTGCATACCGTCACTGAAACGACGAAACCTGTTCGTGTAGCAGCAATGGCGGACATAAAATCGTTGCTGTTGCAGGTGTTCTCGATTATTGGTTGCCAGTCGACTGAGGAAATTGAAACGGAAAACGAGCTTTTGAGTATTCAGTCAATCGTGAGAGAGGTTTTTGATAAGAGCGTGGTGGATGGTGTCGTGACTTGTGGCAGGGCCGTAAATCCCGGGGGGGACGGGGGGGACTGGACCCCCCCAAAAATCTGGAGCAAAACGATTTTTTTGGAGAAATTACCATCATTTTCCTTGAAAGAAAGAAATCCCTGGTAGCCGGGTTAGAACCAAACTACGTTTTCTGTGTTATTGCAACAAACCTCAGTCACAAAGGTTATTTTTGTAAGCAGAGTGGTTTTTAAAATTTTTACAAGATAAAAACTTACCTTTTTCTACCGTTTTTCTACCGTTTTCTACTGTTTTCTACCGTTTTATTTTTTAAAACAGAGTATGAAATAAAAAGAGAGCGATCTGTCATTTTATTTGACCTATTTACTAACTTATTTACCTACATTTCTATTATTTGTCTATTATTTACTTTTATTTAGTAAATCACTTTCTGTATCATTACAATGTATTCATTTTATATGTGTAAACATGGCCTACTGAAATTAGTCAAAATAAGGAAGACGCACATTTCTGTTCAGAAAGTAAATTTCTACCAATCAATACAACAGCGTCCCATATTTCCCCAAAGTCTGTCACTAAGGTTTAAGCATGACTCTTCCCCTCCAAAATTTCACCCAATAAACAATAATCTGTGTTCTTCTGAGAAACGCCGAACTTTATATTCTGAGCGATTCTAGTATTTTATAAAATTTAGTCTGGGGGATGCTTTTTTAGCCTTTCTAGAAGGTAAAATTTCAAAAATTTTCTTTCGCGTCAGACCCAACCATGGTGGGTCCTCCTACGACAGTAAACTTGATTCTAAGCTCCCAAGGTTCAATTTTTTGGGGCCGTCTCTGAAAAATGTTATCCATCCAATCATACACACAAGTCAATGTACTAAGGAAAATCTGTAAATACCTTCTATAGAGCAGAAAGTCTTGAGAAATCCAAAAATATTCACTTTTGTTTTTAAAGTAATTTGCCCCTCAACTGTTTCCATAACACATACCATAAATCCCTTGTGGTGCCATGACCCACTGCATACTTTATATTCATCCGCCCTGCTGACCCTCCCAATTCACATGACAGATTTACGGCCCTGACTTGTGGAAATACACAGATCGATGAGTTCGCTGAACTGCAAATGCCAAAGGTTCAAGTACTGTCCCGTGGAAGTTCTGACCTTCGGCCTTTCAGGTTGGTAGTTTCCTTTACCAGGCTTTAAGTGCACAACGTTTTAACAGAATATTTCTTGGATTAATTCAACAAAAATATCGAATTTTACAGAGAAAAATGCGCACCCCCAAAAAAGTGGTGCCAAGGATTTTTGGTTGTTGGGGTGGTATGGTAATTACTACCAGAATGAATTCGATACCCATTTCTTGCCAAATGCAGATGACCCTAAAAACGTACTACTTCAACAAGGTACTTAGTAAAACAATCAATTTTTATCAACAAATTCTTACAAGTATTGATTTAAAGGCATTGAGTCATGGTAAATAGGCCTTCTCTATAGGGGTCATTTGGAATCGGCGTGATCGCTGCTGTTTCATGCGATACTTGCATCCGTTGTTGACAACTTGCTATTGATGGAAATTGTTTTGTCAATCAGTACGAGGTTAGTTATGAAAATCACGACTCGATAATATTTAAGTCAATTTTCGTATAGTAATGGTCAGTTAACGTATCAATGATTCATTTTGCTTTTTTTTGTTTGAAACATTTTAGCTGCCTTTTTACAAAAATGAACCAGCGCCTGAATATTGCAGAGCAATCAAATATTGACTAGCGACCTAAAATGTCATTCATTGATTAATGTGATGTACAAACTGCGAAGGTAGCAGTGTTATTTTTAACTAGCATTGCTAGAAAATAGGCTTCTTACAAAAGAGATAATTTTCTATATAGTTATGCTTTAATACCTGAATTTAAAAAAGATTAATTTATCAAGATGGGTGTTGCCTTCATTTAACCGTAAAGAAAAGTAGGGTGTGGCATTATTATGGCTATTAAGGCAACGCCCTTAAGCACCCCTCAGATTTTCCGCTGGATCCGCCTCTGAAAAGAAGCCTGTTTTTGTCAAGGTAGTCGTAGAGTTGGTTGTAAATCAACTTTTCGAAAACCCTGGACAGAAACGGCAGCACTGAGGTCGGTCTGTAATTAGAACGATCATTTGTTTGACCACTTTCAAAAATAGTGGCCACTCTTGGAATTTTCCAACAATCTGGGAATACACCAGGTGCGATTGAAAGATTAATAATGTCACAAAGTGATTCAGCTATAACGGGTTTACCGAGTACTCATTCTCTAGAAGTGGATTAGATGTTTTAGGTATCTTGCCGCTAAAGGTATTGCCAATACTACAAAAAATTCATTCATTGATTCAGCAATACTTTCATTATCACAAATTTTCTTCCCATCAACCTGAAGTGTTGCGAACTGGGTGGTTTTAGATTTCTTGTTAAGGACTGTTTTGATCGTCTTCCAAGTGTTTTTTAAATCACCATTGTGCGAAGCAATTTTATTGATGAAAAACTCTCGCTTCAAATCTGTATTCAGCTTATTCACTTTATTCCGCATCTGCCTGTAAGCTTTGATCAGGATATTGGATTTGGAGCGCATGGCTATCTTTTTCAACCTGTCTCTAGTTGCAGACAATTGCTTCAAGGGACTAAACTTTTCTGAAACCAGCCTATTACGTACTGGTGCATGCTTTTGAAGTATCAATGAGAACATCTAGGGCATCGGACATCGGATGCAAAACGTTTAATACGGATCTTGCCTATATATTATTGCTTAACTGAGATAGAACTGCCTGAAAAGATACTGATACGGATAGCTGTAGCCCGTCCACCACAACTCAAAAAGGCTATTTACAAAGGAATAATATATACAACGCAAACGTAACTCTATAATAACTTTCGTATATCAAACTTAGTTCATAAATTGAACTCCATAACTTCTCAACGTAACCTAACTCTTTTTGGCAACATAACTCCTCAACTCTGTTCAACAACTACAAAACAAAACTCTATAGAAATGAAATAACGTCACGTGACGTACGCTAATTACAACACACTGCCCTATATCCCAATATCTCTCGATAAGTGTTTGTTGTACACGGTTAATTAAGTCCCTTTTTATCGCCCTTGTTTAAAGGGGGCTTAGAAGATATTCACGTATATCCTGTCACTTTAAACGATGTTACACGCAACTGGTACCGCATAGGGTTTCTACAGTATTACGGCAGTTACTTTAAAATGCATAAGTCTAGCCAACATTTTTGATAACTCGCATGATGCTATTGAAATCTTGTAGCATATGGTTTTCATGAATGTTTATATAACTTTTCCAAGCGGCTTTTCTTCTTCTCTGAGGAACTCTTCCAGTGCATTTCTAGCTGGTATTGACGATGCAGTCGCATCGGCGTTTTTTAAATTGCAATATGCACACATTATGTGCCAATGAAGTGAGCGGACGAACTAAAAATGTTCTTATCCTAATAGCTGCTAAAGAAACATGCAAAGAAATAACTATCACGTTTAATAAAGCAAACAGTGCATAACAACAAATTGAGCATAAAGCTAACTGAAAATTCTGTCGACCAGCAGAGGAACGAGCAAGCAAATCATGCAATGCCAAGGCTAAATGCAGAACATGGAAAATCGTTGGTTTGGTAGCAGGGGTCCTCTTCCACTCGATGCAGTTAAATTTGAGATTCCTAATGAATTTAACTGTTTCGGGTAGAATTCAAGAAAAAAAACTGCGATTTTGTAAAGTTGAGAACATTCCATACAAACAGGAAACATCAATTTGAACAATCAAGCAAGAAGACTTTATCCAGTTTTAGGAACTAACTTCAGTTTATTAAAAAACAAATCTATTTTAATTTTCAGGATTACATCGGAATTTGTTCTACTATCACCTGCCATTGCAAATGAAGTAATAACAATTATCCTGGTCAAAAGTTTCCAACGGTCGCTAAAAAAGATCTTTTTCAAAATGCAAAAACGAGATCGACCAGTGTTCTCTCTCACAATCTAAGTCATCATTGTCAAGTTTACTTTTATATTCTGCCCTGCACCGTGACGAAGACAGCGATTATTTGCTGGTTCATCACTGTTCATCATGTCTATCTATCTACCCTCGTTTTTTAGCTGTGTTTAAATATATAATCCTCGCAAAAAACTGGTAACTAGCAGCGGCATATATATACATCACTACAATACCCCACACCAATATACCAAACTAGTGAGAAATATTCTTTTATGTGGAGAGTAGACTATTTTGGATTAATAATTCATTAAAATGAACATCAGTTTTACCTATTCATAACACCATAATATGATTAATATTCACATATAGATGCTATATGTAACTATTCAATGAGAATTTACTGTTAATTCTTGGTGTTTTATTGATTAATCCCATTGGTAGGCTGAGAGGGACGGATTAAACCTCCCTCTTTACTGCTCGAAGTGAAAGGATTCATTGTGGATTTTTCACCCCGATTTCATATGGGGGAGACTTAATTCTCTGGGAATGTCAGCCAGACCTTCAGATGATTGGTTCAGTCGATATCTTAAGTGTTCAATCGAATGCTTGAACATAGTATTGTCAAAATTCGTAGCTCGGGAGTGTCTAAAATTTCAGAATCTTCTGCTTTTGCTCTGTTGAAACAAAAGGTTCAGTTATTCAGGCTCCCTCTGCGTAGGTGCACTCAATTTGCTTCTGCCCTTTGTAATCATCACTTTGAAACCCGAGATGTGAACAGGTGCAAAAGTGTTCGTGAAAGGACCCAAAAATCCTTATTGCTAAAGTCGAAAAAATAATCGTCAAAGTGGTCAGCAAAAATTGAACATTTTCGTTCCTATTGACTTTTAAATGAACGATGCCGATTCCACCGGGTTTTTATCAAGAAGAACTTAACAGAACTGTGTGGGTTGTGCCATCGCGGTACCAGGAGCTTGCGTCAATTGGCGTTGGTGCATACGGACAAGTGTGGTGAGAAACAAATTTTCTTAAAATTTTCATTCAATAACATATTGCAATGAGCTTTTAGTGGGTCAAACCGGGAAACAATTGAAATGGTTCAGCAGGTATTTTTCCCGGAATACAAAGAGTCGATTATCGTTTTCGTTTTCGGGATATCAATGGAAAATCAAAGAAAATTTAACTTCGTATTTTCATCATCTTATAATTTGCTAGTATAATTTGCTAATATGATTGGAATTTGGATGTTGACTGACTCTTAACGATAAATCAGAAGTTCTCGACTTGGTCGTTAACAGTACCTGTTCAAATTGCACCTGAAAAGTTAACAGAATCTGAAAACAATGATGTGCAAAACAAACAAATATTAATTGATTTCACAATCTTCCAGTCTAGTGAAAATACCCAAAAGGATTTCCACATTAAAGGATAAAGCTGATCTCTAAAAGTTGGTCATATTGATATCATATAATCTAATTTTCAGAATCTTTCTCAGATACTATTATCGTTCTAAATAGCATTGCTTGTATCATAAGCTATAAAGGGGAGTTTCAAGACGATTGAATGCAATCCCCAACGTTGCCCTTGCCATAGAAATTGTCAAGGGCGAAGAATTTACATTGAAATTCTTTCAACAATTCAGGGGTGACTTTGCAATCAAATGTTGTGGGAAAAGCAAAAGATTTTCCAACCGAATTTAGATTCGTCCAACAAAGTTTTAACTTATCCCATATTTTCTGAAAGAATTTGTGCTTTGGAGGGTGACAGCTTCCCCTTGGCCCTGAACCAGGCTACAAATCATCACAAAGTAGTGAACAAGCCCATTGTCTGTTGCATACAAAACATCTAACACACGCGCTCAGACATAGGTTGGAAAGTGGGGGAGGGGGGGGGGTGGTCAAAGGAAAATTTAACACGCATAACAAAAGATTTTGAACAAAGCTCTATTCTTTTGTAAAAAAATGGAGGGGGGGGGCATGGAATTTAAGCCTTCTCAGTGCGTAATATTTTCTGTGGTCCTTACCTAAAGTGGTCCAAAATATTGCCTCCTTAGCCCCTCCTCTAGTGTCACCACTTAGCCCCTAGTGACACCACGATAATGTAATTTTGATTTGCTGGGAAAAGGGGACTGTGCCAGGCACCCTGTGGCCTGGGAATACCGTAGATGCCTCCATCCACTTCAATGCTTCCCTCTACGCGGAACTATCGCAGTCAGGGGAGTTGCTAAAACTTTCAAAATGGATGAAGTACCGCTTGGATTTCATCATATTGAACTGAATAAAACGGAATGGAATGTTCCAATTCGATACCAGGATTTATCTGCAATTGGTGGTGGTGCATTCGGTCAAGTATGGTAAGGGGAATGGTTTGTTTTAAACACGCGAGGGGTCCATCATCATGCAAACCTTAGGCCACCATAACTATTGTCTGCACTACGACAATTTTGCAAATTACCCAGTGTTAAATGAAATGACAGATGTCCCCAAATATTCAAGAATATGTTCTCTAGCATTTGAACCAATTACCCCTTATCAAACATCAAGATAATTGTGATTGCGCCCATTCGCTGTGCGATAACGAAAACGTTTGGTCCTGGTACGGTGGTGGTGGACAAAAACACAACATGTTGGTTCCCTTATTTTTATTCAAAAACGACTTAACTTTGTAGCAAATGAAGCCCTTCGGAATGTGCCTTTTGATACCTCTCTGATCTTTTGTGCTCTCTACCTCCATTTGACCAAGAATCATCAAATTAAAAGTAAATTTGAGTTTTAAACTATCAGTTTCGTTCAGCATTTTATTTATATTTATTTCCGCCCTGGACTAGTGGTACAGTACCCAGTCTACTTTGCTGAGATCTCAAATGCTTAAATACCTTGCAATAAGTCAAACTGTAAGGCTGGCTGTCATTGACTCAGAAACAAACCAAACTTAAATGTTAAAGATTTTTTACCAGAACTATTGTCCCAGTGTGACTGTGTCATTTCCAATCGCATATAAGGTTTGGTCACAGTCTTTCATTCCACACAAATAAAAACTAGAAACATTAACATTTACGTATTGAAAACAAATAACTATTTGCTAGGGAGCTTCTACCGCCTGATGTCTTTTAAATCAAATTTTGATTGTCATAAGTCAAATTTAAATAAAACCACTTTTGAAATTAAATCAATCCTGTTTTCAGGAGTATTGAGCATGGATTTTCACAAAAAAGTTAATGACAAACAGTATCTTACATTTCTCATCCATATTATTGATACTGGCTTTTGCCGGACTCTGAATATGTTTATATATTACTTGCTCTTCTGGGGCAGAGCGCTTAGGCTTCAACTTTTGAGCAAAATTCTGTTTTCTTTTTAATGCAGTATTGTACCCATCTCCTGATAATGTAATCTTTGATGGCACTGATGGTCTCACAACCCTATTAATCTACATCAACTTTCAGCACCGCTAACATAAGAGCTGCCCTGGTTGCACATTAGTATATACTTCTTTCTATGCCAACCTGAGAAGGTTGTGCTGTCAGCAAACGTTGCCTTTGCTTCATAAACATAATTCACAACCCTGAAACTTGTACTACAAGGGAAAGCTGTGAGAGTGTTTTCTTTCCTTTGGAGTATTTTTCCAGAGACAGTTAACCCTTAAGAAATAAAGACTTAAACAAATTTTTGCAATTATATTGTGATCATGTTGTTCCCCCAAGAGGGTGCAGTGGTCCCATTTCTAAAACACCTAATCAGACAGATAAAGCAAGAAGCTCAGGCGATAACTACACTCAAAAGTATCTGAACAGTCGAGCAAAATTTTTGGCCTACTTTTTACAAACGCCATGTAAGTGGAAAAATGTAAAATTAAGTTTTGTGGAGAAAATAAGACAATTGCATCAGAAAATAAGCAATTTATACATTGCAAATAATGTTTTTGTGTTGGAAGTTCTTTTTGTGAGTAATGATAGAAACACAAGAATAGGGTGAAGAAGAACGAGCAGCCATAAAGTTTTTACGTCAGGCAGGTTGCTCTAATGAAGAAATTGCAAGACAATAGATTTCTCAAAGTCTACTGCCCATAGAATTTAGAAACTGTTCAAAAAAAGTTGTTCACTTGAGAAACCAAGGAGAACAGGCTGTCCAAAAAAGATTCTGTTAGGGGCAACAGAATTGTTGCAGAGAAGCTATGCTTTTCAACTTTGAAGGATTTGAAGTCGTATTATGAAACAATATTTTTAAACTCAGTATAATTGTACAGACCTCAATATAATTGAAAATGTTTGGCTTTATATGAGAAATGCCATGATAAAAGATCCTCCAAAGACAAAGCAACAATTTATTGATCAAAGCTTTGACATCTGGGCAAAACTCATTCTAAGTATCTCTGACAAAAAGAATGAGAAAGAGATATCATATCTGCCCGTTAAGATAAGTCATTATCTCACTCTTTGTAATATAGAAGTTGTCGTGCAAATCGCGTGGAGCGTTTTGCACATCTTGATTACTCTGCTTATTCAATGACATCTGATACCAATTGAATGGCTTTTTATCCATTGTTTCTTCATTCTTGTTACCAAGAAATAAGGATGCTTTCAAGGAGACCTTTTGTGTTATGAACTGAACAGAGACCAAGGAATTTGACAGAGAAGCTATGCTTGGTTTTTCTAAAATGATGTCAAACTTAGTCGGTTAAATTACCCGCTAGTTAATGTAGAATGGTTTTGCAATCATTTGAAGATATCTGTATTAAGAAAGTTTTCATAGACCCAACTGTCCATCAAAATATTGCCATGCAGGATCTGTCACTGACTTCTGTATCATTGCTGGGGTAGCAGATATCATTGTACATATTCATAATGTGCATATTCTATAAAATGCTTTCTTTTGAAGAAGAAATAATACTTGAACATACTTCAGAGAAAATATACTTCAGAGATATAATTAAACATCACAAAACTTTGTTGTGATGCTTTTATCAAATGGTAAATTAACTGCCTCTGAAGACACTCCGGTTTATAGTTTTTCATATATATTCAACCCTAACAGCATTTGTTCAATATGTAATAAAAGTATTTTGTGTTTCATGAATTCTCTATGTTTTGTGTGCATTGATTTATATGGTGCAAAAGCAAGATGATTTTGTCACAGAAACAGTTATTTCTATAGGCCTAAACATTTATTTTACCCACAAACAGAATCACTCCTTGTCCATGTATTGTTGATATTAAATAGTGCATAATTGCAAAAGAAAATCTTTTTGTACCTAGTATCTTGTTGAGAATGTTTGTTATTGTTTTAATTATGTGGATGGACATCATTAACTTGTTCACAAATTATGCAGTTGGAGATGAACAGTACTTAATTAGCATGCTTCATCAATTCTCACCTTTTTGTTCCATACTACTGTTATTAGTTTGAGTTCTATTCAATGTGATAAACACAAGCTTTGAGATGAGTGAAAATCTTGTGATACTTCTGAAATTCTAACATACCTTTCAATCACAAAACCTTCCCTTTGAAACTTTGAAAAATTTAACAATAGGGCTTCAGCAATTTTTTTAAAAAATATGTTCAAATTATTTGACCTTGTTTCATCAGCATGATGCTGCAGATCTGTTTTTGAATGGTGAAGCATCTCTTTCTATTAGTTGAATAATGGAAAGATACCTCTGCATGATTTTTTTTAGCTCTGCAAATGATACAAACGATGGCCAGATGGTTGCTGTCAAAAAGCTATCACGCCCTTTTCAGTCAATAATCCATGCAAAAAGAACCTACAGAGAGTTGCAGCTGCTCAGACATCTAAAGCACGAAAACGTAAGGCTCTCAAGGACAAATTTATTTGGCTGTGCATGTTGTTATATCGGTCCATCCTCTCAAATTCATCACTTTCATTAGTTTTGTATGAATCATTTATCTTAATCTGGCATTTGCCCATCCATTCATTCACTCGTTTATTTATTCTTTCATTCATTCTGCCATCCATTCATTTATTTAATTTTTCCTTTTTTTAGTTTTTTCATCCATTCTGTCATTCTTTTTTTCAGTGGCTTTATTTGTTCATTCATTTTTTCAGTGGCTACATTAAAATGGCAGATTCCATGGCTAACTGATGTTCTGTTCTCTATAACATTCCAAAGGTTTTTCACTTTAACCTTTGCCTGCTTCAGTTTTTTTTCACCGTTTTAAATGCTAATTACAGAGAGAATCTCTTTAACTTTGCAGCTAGCTAACTTCAGAAATGACCTTCCTTTGTTTTTAAAGATGTTTTTTTACTATAGGTGATTGGTCTCATCGACACCTTTACAACAGCTGCAACTTTGGAAAATTTTGATGATGTGTGAGTAAATTATAGCTATCAACATTTTAGAGACAATTTCAAAGGGTAGCACTGCAGCTGCTTCAACTCTCACCCACAGTGAAATCAGTGTGTTGCCTATGCAAAACTTGACACAAAGTTCAGAAGTGATTTCTTGATTATTCTATGGTGTAACTGAGTTGGTCAGACCTCAAAGGCAATAAATAGTAAAGCAGGATTTAATTTCTGAAAATTTTGATATTTTGATATATGATAGATTTGATTTCCTTTCTACTGTATTGAGTAATTATAACTTTTTTATTTAGTTATCTTGTGACACCATTGATGGGAGCAGACTTAAATAGTGTTGGAAAGGTTCAACATCTATCAGACGATCATGTACAGTTTCTAATTTATCAGGTTCTACGCGGTCTTAAGGTATGTTTCTAATGTTACAAGTCATAGAAATGGCATTAATATGGCTGAAAGAGGCTCTTCTGTATGCCCTAGGCCTTTCCCGTAACACAACAAAATATAACTAGGCCTCTTTCTTGTTTATCTATAAGTTTGCGAATAGAAAGAAGCTCTAGATAAATAACAGTTTGCTTTTGTCATTTATCATTTAGGAGCCCCTTTTCTTCGGGGGCCATTAGTTATCGAACTAAGGGACCTTAAACTGCGTTATGTCACTGGTATAGTGGCGACAATGTCCTTACCCTTGGGCGACCCCCAGGGACAGAAACGTGCCGGTTCTCGCCTAATATTCGAGCCCTTCACCACTTAAGGTCGTCTTTTCATCTACGTGTTTTTGAATCTGTCTACCTTTGGAATAAAATATTCTGATATTGGTAAATGCTGTTTTTCCTCTCATGCTTCTTTCCACCCATATCTGGATAAAAATTTTCTGCATATCTTTAGTCAATATCCGACGTTTATATTCTGTGGAATTTCAGATGGAAAGTACTTAATTGTGCGTATGCTCCCGTTTTTCGTTTTTTTATTTTTGCTGTAGCGAATAGCAAAATTTACCCTTTTTGCAAGATTTTGGATGAAGCAAAAACATTGTACCTCCCAATGTTTACTGGTAAATAAACTTTGGAAAATTATTTTCTGATTGGTTTTTTATTTTTCTTTCAGTATGTTCATTCAGCTGGAATCATTCATAGGGTAAGTTGGTTGCCTAAACATGACACTTATCAGAAGACTAAATTTCCAGACAGAGTAAAATATTAGGACCAAGAATTATGACATATTAGGATTAGGACATCAATCAGGGCGAACATCACCAAGCACGACTTCTTCAACTTGCCAATAAGATATCTTGTAATATTTGATCTAAATTCTTTGTGGAATTTTTATGCCTTTCAGGATTTAAAACCAAGCAATATAGCTGTCAATGAAGACTGCGAATTGAAGGTGAGATTCTTTCATATCTGCAATGATTTGTTTAAATTTCATATGTATTTTGTTGCTGTTTGTTATTTAAGGTGTTGTTAGCGATTTGCTCTATATGTCGATCGAGGGTGAATATTCTGTTCCAAGTGAAAGATGAAAAACATGAGATAAAGTGCTGGCTTGAGTAACCGTGCTTCTATCATCGAACAAGATCTAACGAGAATGAAAGGCCTCTTCCTAGCAAATCTTTATAAGCATAGATTTTCATACGATTTTTCTGTTTTGATACATTCTGGTAGAAACCAATTTACAGTTTCTACATAGCATCAAAATCTCTTTGAGATCCAGTAATTATCGATCGCCAATCATTTATTCTGTGACCTTGTATGAATATAAAGTACTTGTGCGAAACATGGAAGCTGGTTCGGAGATATTCATCCAAAATGTTTTCAACAGATACTACTTTACCACGGGTTTGGGAAAATGAGCATATTTTTACATATTCTTATTGTCTTGAATGCTTCTAGACTTCGTTTTTCAAGGCAGCTGATTTTCTTAGTTTGATAATGTAAGCGCTACTGGTAACTTTGAACTCGAAAGTCGCAAATTAAAGCACCACATGAATGTATCACTAGAACGAAAAGTCCACCAAAGGGTGGTGTGTGTACCGTGTGTGTGGAATGATGCTGTCACGCAATGCATCGCCTCTGCAGGTATTAAGACAGTGTCAGTGGCATAGTTTACATTTAAAACTAAAATTGCTGCATATTTCTCGATGTCTTACCGTTCTCTGCCATTCACCCTGCTATACTTGGCTTTGTGTTTGTATCCAACAGTGCAGACAAAATTAACAACTGTTAAAGAATTAAATTGCTACAGGAAATGTTTTTGGGACAATATTTCGAAATAAGTTATCAGGTGGAAAGGGAATATAATGATGAAGAGATAAGCATGGCTAAAACATAGCAAAGAAACATAATAAAATATCAATTCCATGTTGGTCTTGTTCTCAGGAAGAATTGCTTGGTCCTTGTGGAAGTATTTGGTATAAAATTGCTGAAAGATCAGTTGTCAAGAGTTGAAAGAAATTTGATAGGTCAGAAGGCCAAACAGCAATGGTCGTGGGCCAGTTTATCATGTTTTATGTTATCCTTGGTTACTGCTAGCAATTATTCCTTATTCAATTATTTCAGTTATTTCATGATACGTGATACACATTCAATAAGGAATATTTCCGTATCTTTGCATTTTCTTTATCGACATTTTATAGAACGTTATGAATCATTTGAAAATCTCATTTTGTTCATGTTTCTTTGAAAGATCTTAGATTTTGGATTAGCTCGAATGGCTGATGAATCAATGACGGGGTATGTTGCAACGCGTTGGTACCGTGCACCTGAGATCATGCTCAACTGGATGCATTACAACCAAACAGGTAAGTGCGTAATGCCTCTTTGAGAAAATGGCAAGAAGAATTCGTAGAAGTGTAATAAGCATTTTATGAAATGGTTTTAAGTCTTTTCTGTAATGCTTGGTCTGAAATGCTTATGAAATGGTTTTGAGATCATGCTCAACTGGATGCATTACAACCAAACAGGTAAGCGCGTGATGCCTCTCTGAGAAAATGGCAAGACGAAAAAGTAGAAGTGTAATAGGCATTTTATGAAATGGTTTTAAGTCTTTTCTGTAATGCTTGGTCTGAAATGCTTATGAAATGGTTTTGAGATCATGCTCAACTGGATGCATTACAACCAAACAGGTAAGCGCGTGATGCCTCTCTGAGAAAATGGCAAGACGAAAAAGTAGAAGTGTAATAGGCATTTTATGAAATGGTTTTAAGTCTTTTCTGTAATGCTTGGTCTGAAATGCTTATGAAATGGTTTTGAGATCATGCTCAACTGGATGCATTACAACCAAACAGGTAAGCGCGTGATGCCTCTCTGAGAAAATGGCAAGACGAAAAAGTAGAAGTGTAATAGGCATTTTATGAAATGGTTTTAAGTCTTTTCTGTAATGCTTGGTCTGAAATGCTTATGAAATGGTTTTGAGATCATGCTCAACTGGATGCATTACAACCAAACAGGTAAGCGCGTGATGCCTCTCTGAGAAAATGGCAAGACGAAAAAGTAGAAGTGTAATAGGCATTTTATGAAATGGTTTTAAGTCTTTTCTGTAATGCTTGGTCTGAAATGCTTATGAAATGGTTTTGAGATCATGCTCAACTGGATGCATTACAACCAAACAGGTAAGCGCGTGATGCCTCTCTGAGAAAATGGCAAGACGAAAAAGTAGAAGTGTAATAAGCATTTGATGAAATGGTTTTGAGTCTTTTCTGCCATAGAACATCTGATTTCTAGAGTTGATGTATATAGTTTGTGGGAAGATTTTCCTTCCGGTTGTTTGTGATTTGTGTTAGATGTTTTCAAGGTGGTGTTCCTTGAACTGGTCAAGACACAGAAACCCTAGTAATAAAGCAAGGATGTTTTGTTTTTTCTTGACTTACCAATTAACATTTTGCTACACCTTGAGAACATCTATCCAACCCACAATTTGCAAATAATCTTTTCAAAGAAACAAGATTGTAAGAATTTAAACATCAATTTTTGCTCTGTAGGAATTTACAATATGTTTATCTTGTGCTTTTCTCGCTCCTCGATCACATTATTTTTTTGACATGGGATTTTGTTAATTGCCCCCCAAATAACTCCTCCTGTGATTCTCTTTTTTGTAGTTTTCGAAGAAAAGCATATAAAACAATCGGCAAATGCTGTCAAACAAGAATTGGCCAATCAGTGAGCGTGGTGCCACACATATGCTCATTGATTGGCTAATATTTATTAACAGATTGTTTAAGCCACTGAAGAATTCTCAGGTTTTTATTTTTCCGGCTCTAAGGAAATTTAAATTCTCACACCCCACTTACCGTTTTGAAATAGCACAAAAAAGCGAGAACATAGCACGTAATACTAAATCATCTTTTAAAACATTCCTCTGAGTAGCCAACAACTGATAATGGCCAAAAAGTTAACTTACATTATTCTCTCATTTTCATTTTGTAGTCGACATCTGGTCAGTCGGGTGTATCATGGCCGAACTGTTAACATCAAAAGTATTGTTTCCTGGCAATGACCGTATCCTTTCAAAGATCAATAGTGTCATTTTTTAAAAAAGTTTTACGAATAAATGCGTGTTTTTATCTAGTACTAGATTATAAGACACACCTAGGTAGGATGAGATCGATGTAAACATTTTCACAGTTATAAAAATAATTGCTTTTTAATAATCTTGTTTAGGAATTTCTTCATCCTCGGCCTACTTGACATTTTATTTCACAAGTTCGAGAATTTTATACCCTTTAAATGTTATTTGGCAAAGTGCCTGTGTGCTAGATGCCTTCGTTGGCTGATGTCAATTCATCATTTGGTATTTGCAAACAAGGAAGATGCTTTTTTCCCACCCACCCAAGGAAGACTCTCCTTTATCCCAGCCATCTGCTCAAATTCTGGGCTGGGTTATGCAATGTCCGGCAGCAAGTTCTTCTCTTTCTTTACTCTGTCTCTGTATTTATTGTTTCTACTCATTTTCAAAATGCAGTTTTACAGATTCTCAGTAACTGTTGTTTTAAGCGTTTTATTCAAACAAATTGCATATGCATTTGAAATTTGGGTGACATCTATACAGGAGTGGCGTTGCGCGTATCCCAATGTTTACTCGTGCACTTTTTTTTTCTTCCTATAAACGAAATTACCTTTCCATACGTTGCCTTAATGTTTAAGGAAATGTACAAACACAAGAAAAGAGCCTAAAACTGCAATGCTTCAACATTACGCGTGATGATTTAAATAATTACAGTATTTACAAGAAAGTCACAGGTGTGATACAAGTGGCTCTGTTTATAGAAGACTTTATTCCCATCGTTTCCTTTGAATCTGGAGGACCTTAGTATTCTTTCATTGTCCATGTAATTTCGTGGCTTCTTCATTAATTTCTATTTGCGGTAACAACAGCGTCAACATAGATGGATGTTATTACCGTTGGTATCTTGCTGTGCGCAAAATGAGATTGGCTAAAGATTCTTCGTCTAAATAGATATCTCGCTTAGATGAAGTTAATCCTTGCAATGTCAATACGAAAACAATACGTCAAATTTTTTTATATAGTTTTGATTCTGATATTTAGTTTCATAGTTTTTGATTTTTTACTAGAGGCTTAGTCTATCAATGTCCTCCAAATTGTTACCCTTCGTTCAAGTATTTATAAATGATGTATTTACAAGCATTTTTTATAAATGATGCTCCCTAACTGGTTTGAAGATATTGACCAGCTCACGAAAATCATGCAACTGGTTGGAAAGCCATCTCTTGATTTTCTGGCAAAAATAACAAGTGAAAGTGTAAGTAGAGCTTTAAATATTTTGTAGTATAGCTTTTGATAACTCCGAGTTCTAATAAAGACGAAATGCTATGCGGTACTTAGATTATCTTAATTAAAATGCTTTTTGAAAACTGTTTGTTAGCAAAATTGGCTCTTCTGATTCGTGCCAAATTTTTGTAAAATGAAAGAGGCTTTTTCAATGAGGTGTTGTCTCATGTGTTGTATTCAGATTGGCCTTCTAATCGTAATTTCACAAAAATTGAGTGACTTTGTTTTAAATTTGGCAGCTCCAGCAAAATATTTTTTTAAATATTCTGACAACGGAGAAGAAAAGAGGTTGTGGATCTGCAGTATCTGTGTCCCTTTACTAAGATTTGTTTTAGATTCTAGAAACTTTAATTTTTATGTCCACAATTTGTAACCTAGCCTCGCAGTCTCGTGACCACTCTAACTTACACCTTGATATCCCTATTTCTTCTCCATTTGTATATCAGTTTTCATGTTTTCTGATTGTACAGCTTAGCCAACAGCTAGTGCTCTGATTGCGCCAGCGGACAGCTGTTCTCGATATCTAGGCTCTTTTGCAGTCTTTGAGCTGTGACTTTTTCCCAGAATCTGCAGTGGTTTGCTGGTGTTTTTAATAAAGGTCCGTGATTATGTAGGAAAAATAATGTCAGCTTTGACTGAAAAGGAAGGAATGTTTCAATCGTATCCTCGTTTCTTTTGAAAGCTCGTTTCAACATGGTTTTAAGTCAGATAGTCAGAAAGTTGGCTTGGCTGCGGCTCGTGTATCGTTGGTTTGGTGTGTGTTTCAAGGACTTTGATAGTGACGTCACATTTTCAAGCGTGATACTCATCTGCTTTCGTTTACTTTTTGCAGATAAAAACACTTGCTTTACTTTACGTTGTTATGTTCTTGCAACTTTCTTTGTTCTTAAGTGTGTAAGGACATTGACAGTCGCGCTCATGCTACTACAACTAAAATAAACGAAAATTTATCAACAGCGCACATTAACATGTGATACGTTTCAATCGTTGCAAATAACTGCGCCTGGCTCCTGCGCAAGTGACTAATAATGAAATGGCTGTGGCACAGAATGTCGAGCTTGCTCTTTCGTCGCGCACACTTATTTCGTGGTTTCTCTTGCAGGCCATAAGCTATATCAAATCCATGCCAGAGTACAAAAAAAGGCCATTCTCAGAAGTATTTATCGGGGCGAATCCTTTAGGTTTGTTCATTTTGCTCGTATTAATGTGGTCAGTTCATGTAGAAGAATGCCCCTTTCGTAGACTGGTGAACACAAAGACTCGTTCCCTTCCCTTTTTTATATAAGGAGCTTGAAAAGCGTTACCCCCATTTTGATTTTATTTTTGGTTATTCTGACAGAGTTGGCCATGAAAAGCAGGTTTTAAAGGGGGTCGTGAAAAAACTTACAAAAAAAAAACTAACTTTTCTCCCAAATTAACAATTAAAAGGTTGCTGAATGTAATTAAGAACTGAAAATCGGTACTTAAATATATATTGATGTGCTTACAATCTCTCGCCTCTTTTTCGAATTTTTTTAAAAGCATATAAAGAGAACGTTTTTTTCTAACATACAAATCAAGCTTATGCCACAACTTGGCACCACCCAAACTTGTTAGTCTTTTCCTCAAAAATGCTGGTGAGTTTTTATGCCTTTTTTATCTCCATTTTTTCTTTATCTATTGATAACTTTCCCGTTAACAATTGCAGCCATTGAATTGCTTGAGCACATGCTAGTGCTGGATCCGGACCACCGAATCACATCCGACGATGCAATTAAGCACCCGTATTTAGCAAAATACCATGATCCGGATGATGAGGTGGGTAGCTTTGACTATGGCTTATTTCTCTCCATTTTTGCAGGTGACACGTTGTTGCCTCATGTTTAGAGACAAGTCCTTGTTACAAAATGTAGTTTAGATATCGTCTACTCAATGCCAAGATTCCTGTAGTCTTGATCTAGGAGCGTACTGAACATTCCATGCATCATAGTAGACGATGCTCAACTGGGATTTTTTGATCTGTGGATTTTCCACACCTATCAATCGAATCACCTCCATGATAATAATGACATCGGCTCTTTTTCAAAAGACTTTTGGACCTTTGTTCTAATCATTTTTTCCTTAAAAGCAAGCCTGAATATTTACTGGCCACCGAGGCGCCATTTGCACTATCTTCACACTGTCCTATCTGAGATGTATATCGTCTTTTTTATTTTAGCCGACAGGTGAAACTTTCACAGACGAATACGAAAATGCTGATCTAGATATTGACCAGTGGCGAGGTTGGGATCAATTTTGTTCATTGCATCTTTTTCATTATTTGTATACGGAAAAATTGTTGACCTGAACTACATTTTTGGCGAAATGTTGAATCCGCCTCTTTCCTGTGCAAATCTAATGCGGACCATGATATCGCTTCTATATAATTGACTGTTCTGTTGTTTTGTCTTAATTGGGTCTAAACCATTTCTTGACTGGAAACAATTCAACTCTTTTTTTCTGTGTGATTTTTTCTACATTTTTCTTTAGTCTCTATCCATGGTTTTTTTTCTGCTCGTGCTCAAAGTTTTTTGTCCCGTTTTTAAACGTTTTAAAAGTTGAAACCCTGAAGATTTTCATTTTTTGCAAAGCAGTATTATTTAGTTCAAATTGTAGTTTTGCGTTCGGCAAGTTGATTCTAGGACTCACATACATCTTTTTCTTTGCACAGAATTAACTTTCAACGCCATAAAAAGTTTTCGAAATGAGGAAATGGACACTGCATAATTCTCATGCCGTTGCTATTGGTAATTTGATCATTGGCGAAAGAAATTCATGTAGCCTCTTTTTCATCTGTGTATAACTGCTGGACTCACCTGCAGATTTTCCTAACCAATCAAATTACTTTTCACAATATTTTGTATTAGAGCAGGTTCTTAGTCGCCATTTCTGAAAATTATTCAGTTTTAAACTTGATAAATTGTTTTTAGATATGGTAAAGGGAATAATATTTGATGTGGAATTACCAAAGTCAATGCCGACTTTATGTAGACAGGCTAAGAAACTGTGTTATTATGTGAAAGGCAGAGATCTGTCGATTTAGTGTAGGGTAATATCATCGATAATGGAAGCCAGAATTGTGGTATTCTTTTGTAGAGACTAAACATTAGATAAAACTTGACAGAATTAATTGAGTTTACTTGTTACAGCCCATAACTAAAACACTTTCTAGCATCTTGAAAATCTACATTTTTGTATTAATTGCGAAGTAAAAGTTAAATTTAGTTGCTTTTCAGAAGAGAAAAACCCTCTTTAGTTTAATTTCTTATGTATTATCTTCCCCAAAACATTTTTGGGCATTCTCACTAATATTGAAGTTTCAAGATATGACCTGTCCAAATTTAGTTGTGTTGATTTGTTGCCGTCATCCTTCCACTGAGGCGATTTAAAAGATTTTAGCATCTTTTTGGAATATTATGTTTGTCACTCGTTCAAAATATTTCGCCATTTATCATGACGTCATTCATAAAAACTACAAACAGCTGTTTTTGAGGATGTGTATTGCAATAATCTCGAACAATTTCGTTAAAATAGAATAACATCTAAATATGAGATGCAAAACTCTTATGTAGGTCACTTTTGAAACAGTGGTGGCGCCAGAGGGGGGGCAGGGGGGGCTACAGCCCCCCCGTCGGAGGAGGCTAGCCCCTCCGTCGGAAGATAAATTATGCTTGAATTTTTTTTGTCGGAGCGAATTTTTTAAGTTTTGGCGGAAATAGAAATTTCTAAAAGGACTGTTATCAGAATTCAGGAAGCTCATCCCAAAACAACTCATCGACACATCAATTTCATGGTAAATAATAATCTGTTATAAGAAGTTTGAATTGGTTGTTTAGATGTTCAGTACCAGGTGTTTTCCGCATGCTGTTAAATTTGATCTTATGTTATGGATAGTGCAGTTCGTCCAAATCTTGCTTGCTATAACCAACCTACAACATCGGAATATTTTTGTGCGATAGCGATATGGCAACAAATGTTACCCGTTTCAGTGTTAGATGTAGTATATGTAATGACGTATTTAACAATGATTACGCTGCCCGCCACACGAAGTCCAAGCACAAAGATTTGGCTGCAATGGGAAGGACTGCTCCTACGACGGCAATAGTTGAAACGGACTCGCAGCAGAGAAAAATAAAAACATTTTTTCAATCAAAAGGCGGTACTTTTCCAAAGAAACGAAAGGTTAATGATTTTGAAACTGAAAGAACAACAGAAGACCCCGAAGAACAAGAAGTTGAAATTTCGAAAATTCAAGACGAAGAGCAAATCGAACGTGGTATGTTATACGTTTTAATATTTAAGTCCTTTTAATACGAGGAAAAACACTTAGCAAAGGGCTTCAGCCATAAAAACAATCAAACTCATTTACGTAGTAGCTAAGCCATTTTACCCCATCCCAACCATACATATTTGTAGTGTTTTGCTTCTACGTACACGTTTTTTTATTTATAAGAAACTTGACTCAAGCCCAGAGTACTAATAGTTTCCAAATTTCTTATTTTTTACTATTTTTAAGGGGATACTGCCGAAGAAGCAGCGGATCGCTTGGAATTGCCGGAAGAAAAAAGACCACCAAGAAAGAGGGCAACGCCTGCTTCTCTTCGAGAGTTTGTTGTGGAAGCATCTTCAGAGCCTCAAGTAGCAAGCGGGTTTGATGGCTACGTACAAAATGTCAAAGAAATACTAAACAGAACAACTGCAGAACTTTGCAAGCGGTTTGACGAAAAAAACATAAAGATCATGAAAGGCATAACTGCATTGGCCCCCAAGTCGAAAAGCTACTTGGACCCAACAACTCTTGTCAATTTTGCTGAGCTTTTTCAGTCTGAAATTGGTGCACTACGCAGTGAAATTGCCACATTTAAATATATGCTCTCAAGAAAAGAAGAAAAACACCGCCCAAGCACACTTCTGCAACTAGAGGCACACTTGGAAAAGCTAAATGAAGCTTTCTTTGAGCTGCACCGGCTTGTATCCATCGCATGCACTTTGCCAGTCTCTTCAGCCGAATGTGAACGCAGCTTCAGCTCTATGCGCCTCATCAAGAGTGATCTGCGCTCACTTATGAAGGACGAGCGTCTAGACAGTCTGATGATGCTAGGTATTCATCGTGCCCGTGGAAGTGCTCTTGACTTGGACTCAGTAGTAGACAGATTTAAGGCTAAGTTCCCGAAGAGTAGAATTGCTCTGTGAAACAATTTTGATTCTTGGACTTGAATTTTCGATATGTAGAAGTGCGTATTCCACCGCTTAGGTCTGTTCCTATAAAGTTACGTTGTGTTCCAGTTTTCCTTAAGTTCAGTTGGTTGCTTTTTATTTAAATTCATACTTTCCAAAGATAGGCCCTACTTGAATTGGCAACGTTTGATGAGTTGTAAAGATTTAGAGTAGTTTTAAGCTTATCTAGAGGCAGCTTTCAAAAAAATTTCCAGGGACGCCGGAGAAGGGGGGCGCGGGGGGGCAAGCGCCCCTCCTGCCCTTTGCTAGGAGGGGCAAGGGAGGGGGCAAACGTGCCCTTAGTAATATGTCAAAAAACGTAGTAAAAAACACGATTACACCATTTTGATAGCATTTTTAGCCAATCTAATGGGTGTAGCCACCAAAATTTTCCCGGGGGAGTACCCCCGGACCCCCCGAATTTTCGGCTCGCAACGCTCGCCTTCGGTCTCCAGTACCCTTACAATTCCTTGTCGCCCCCTAGCCCTATCGTTCTCTAAAAAAATTAGCCCCTCCGTCGGAAGTGCTAGCCCCTTTGTCGGAGGAAACCTAGCGCCACCACTGTTTTGAAATTTCAAACCTTTGTATACCTTGCAACAAGATTGCCGAGCCCACATATTCTGCAGCTGAAAATATTTGAAGGATAGATCTACAGCAACTGTGTTTTTCACTTTTTACTTCATCGATATATTTAATAACTTTATTTCATCGTTACATAGCAGAAAATTGTCTCCTTCACTTCTCAGCTTGCTTTTAATTAATCTTGAAATAATGCCAAGCGTTATGTTGTAGTCAAATCTTTTTAAATGTTTCTCATTTAATCAATATTTCCCAAAAAATAACATTGTAACATTGGTTTCTAGAATGAAATCATTTATGCTGATTTTTTCCTACCAACTACAATGTTCCGTTGTTCCAATTTTTTGTTTTTGAACCTGGAAAGTAACTGACGTAAAGTGCACAAATATCTTAAGTTCTTGTGGTGTGGCTAAAATGAAATGATAAGCGTAGTATTTATTTATTAGTAAAAAAAATTAAAAACAAAACTCTGCTTTTATAAAACTTCGAAATATTGTGACCACAAAAATATTTTTGGCATGAATGGTGGCTGCATATTATGGAGTTTTCCATCGAAAATGCATTTTCGATCTGAATATGGGGGTGGGGGCGGGGGAGCGAATGGCCATTGTTTGTGTAATTTGAAGGCAGCCGCAAGAGGACTTGGAATTTTTAGTTTCGTTTGATAGGTCTTATTCTCTCGAGGTTCCTTTTCAAAACGTTTCTTCTCCTTGTCCGTCTGCTAGAACTTAATTTGTGATGTTATAATTTAATATGTCCATCAACTATATATACTCCTAGGGAAATTTGATATTCTTGCTGAAATAAGCTTAATTAAAAGACATTGAAAGTATACTTTTATGCCTTGCTTTTTTTAAGAAGCCTTTCTTATTTTCAAGTATTGCTGCTCACTTTTGAGATGCATGGCTCAGATAAAACTTCAGGTCGAAACGAGAAAAGTGGCTGACAATTTTGATAAAAGACTAGAAGTTTATAGAATAGATAGAAGTTTATGATTTAAATCTTTGAGCCCAATTGCATCCCCTTAAAATAATTTAGCAAATTAAGAAGGCCTTTTCTTAAGCCTATTACGTGTTGAAATTAGAGTTGAATGCTAGTCAGTAGATAAACATCTTTCCACTTTATTTGAATGCCCCTCACAGCTGCAGAATTTGAATTTGAATTTATTTCTACTACATCTGTTTTTATTTGATAGATAATGGGCCACTTCTTTTAAAATCGTACGAAAATGTTCTAGTATTTTGAAAAAAGCATTTATTTTCGTGCTCGATAGAATTCCCCTTATCCCTTGCATTTCGTCAAATTTCTAATTTGCCTAATCCCTTGCATTTCGGGCAAAGACATTTCTATTTACTTCCCAATAGACGTCAATGACTGCCTTTCGTATCGATTTAAATGTTTCAATGTTTCCCAGCTTAACGTTTTCTAACGAGAGGAACCCAGTGGGAAATTCTCTTCACATTGAGAAGTAATCTATTTTTACTCACTCCTATTTCGCTAAAATTCTACTCTTATTACTGCAAATTCTACTCTTAATTTTTCAAATTCTACTTTTAATACCTATAACAAACCATACTTTTCAATTTCCCTATTTTGTTTACATTCTGATGAAACTTTCAAGGATACGCTATCTTTGTAACATAATGGGATGCATAGAAATTGTGGCTAAAATCATTTGGATCGAAACACATATCTTGAGTAGCTCAAAGGGTTTATGCAGAGGTTAAGTTGTGTTTTATTTTCTGGTTGTTTTCGTAAATTTAACTGTAAAGCAGTCGTTTACAGAATGCCTGTGTAGACATTTTTCACCGACTTTGAGTCTGCATGATATAAGAAAACAATGGTACAAAACGACAATTTTTCATTTACATCTGAGCGTATATAAAATATAGCACAAATTTTCAATACATGTCCAGGCAACACATCGCAACAGGCTTCTAAGCAATGAGCTTGAATGCAGGTTTAATTATCTTGTTGGCATTTGTAGATTTTGTAAAGCCCAATGCTTCTTCTGTATTTGCAACTTAGGCCGCTTTGGCATGGACACCTTCGGACGATGCGATCAAGAGCCGCCTGTTGAAAGAAGAATCTTCAATGTAAAAGACAGCTGACTAGGATCGAAGTTAATGTCATGACGCTCATGTAGCTTATCCAAGGCATGTTCAAATCCAAATTGCCACAAAGGAAAGTCCTTCAGACAGTAGGTGAGTTAAAGGAATATCATGAATTGACACGTTCTAACCAAACCTTGAAGTTACAACTGTTTATTCATCAATTAAAGTCATACTATTCAGCTTCCTTGCAGAGAGCAAGTAACGGCCTATGCGCTTCTTTGCTGAGCGGGGTAATAGCTATGCTGTATCGATGACATCCTTAAAGGTACTGTGACGTCACTTAGATGACATTTTGTGACCCTATCGGCATCTTGTTTTTGTAAGATTATTCTTTAAAACAGAAGAAATTTTGAAAAGGAAATAGAAAACCTGAAAGAATCCGGTTGCACAGTAGTCTCCCTCGTCCAGCAAATTGCGGCATCGCTTTCCAAGAATGTGACGTGGCACACAGCATTGGTTGACATCGCAATCACTATCTTCACTGCATCTCTGCAACGAAAGAGGATCGGAAAAGCTGATAAAAGAAGTAGATTTTACTCTAATTTATCTTGAATAATATAATAGATGTACAAATATAGACGAGGGCCTAGGTTCTGTCACAGAATAAGTTATTCTTTTTCTGTGATTTTGTTGAATCGAAACAAGAAGCCGATTTTCTTCTATCCGATTTGAGGCAACAAGAAATGCCTGCGTGAAAATATCTCTGAAGAAAAGCGTAATGCCATTGCAGACCTCAAGACCAAGCCCTATGATGATGGAATTCTCTGGTTGCTTTCCTTGGAGTAGGTAAATGCAGCGTAGACTCTATTACTCGCATTGTGGATGACAATTGCTTCTATCTTCGAATGAGCTATGATAAGCTACCTTTGCAAAAAAGATCGATCAAGTTACCTGGCAGATTGATCGAAACAGTTGCTTAAAACTTTTCCTATTTCAGTTGAACACAAGTTCATCGCTTAAAGAAATGCAGCAGACATTTACAAAGAGCGATTTTCGCACTGAGTCATAATAGGTTACAAACCTTTCCAAGTACTTTGTCTGTGATTTTGTCGATTATAAGCCTCTTCTCTCTCTCTTCTGCAAAAACAGTAGCACACATCAACAATGCAGCAGCGAGTAAGAAGAATGTGATTCTTGCCATTTTGTTGAATATAGGAGATCTCTTGCCTACAATTATTCACTTTTCAAATGTTGCTTTTCGCTGCATCTTCCGGCTGTTTTATAGATCTGACCTTCTGACGTCACAAAATAAGCAAGTAGGAGGAGCTGTTAACGTTTATAGATTCAGGCCAGTCTTTATTTAACGTTGCAATAAATTGTGAAGTGTCCATCAATCTTTGATCAACTGAATACAAACAGGCCATTTGAAATCTGAAATTATTTCAAGATCTGCTATTTCAGCTTATTCTATTAATTGGCCTGTTCACATTATTTATCTGTTCTTTCAATTACCGTAGCAAATATCATCCAAAAAATTCAGTTAGCTTGAACATGTACCTCGAAATTTGTTACCCTGACTGAGCCTGTGTTTGACGCAGTTTTCTCAAAGCAAGTTCAAATGCTGCAAAATTTTGAATGAAACCTTTTCCTCTCCCAATATATGTTTCGTAATGAAAGTATCATTTTATGTGGTCGCATATAATGTTTAGAAACATGTAACAGGCAGTGGCGGCTCGTGACTTTCACAGTTGGGAGGGCAGACCATCAATATTGCGATCATCGATAGAAAGGTCGAGTTTGCAAATTTTTCACTGTATTCATGGTTCGATGTTGATCGTCATGGAGCGCAGAAGAAAAAGCATATATAGATGTGGTTATTGTTTAGCGATGATGTCATTTTATGGGCAAAATTTTTCTTGCCCCGAATGCCTCCAAATAAGCCAATCACAGGCCGCGTTTCGCAATGCTCGAGGTCGAAAATTAGCTTGTGCGCATGTCAGCTAGGGGCAAAACAAAATTTGCCCGTAAAATGACATCATCGCTCAAGGCACTAGCGGGCCAGAAGCGAGGCTAAGGACGAGACGGGATAGCAAGGAGCTTTTTCTAGAAGAGATACAAACTTATATAATTAACCACAGCAAGACTTTATTCAAAATTAAATATGAATATCATAGATTACTTTTGAATTTTTGTGAGGGGGCATTGCCCCAGATGCCCATTAGCAAGAGCCGCCACTGGTAACAGGGTGTATTCAAAGACAGTACGCATAGTAACGAACTAGGCTGGATGGACAAAGACATTTTCTAAAACAGAATGTCGAAATGTTAACAAATAGTTAGCATGAAATAAGAAAATTTTAGTTTGACCTTAAAGGCCTTGCCAAACGGATAAATCATCGGTATAACATTACAAAACATTTTTGTATCAACATTGTTGCACGATTTTTATGAACTGACTACACGATTCAAATGAATGTTAAAACATCTGTTATGGTCAAGCGCTGACGCAGAGCTTCCTACCATTGCTGCGTTTATTTGCCGAATTTTAATCAACTGCACTTGTAATTTGCCAATTATATGAAGTTATATCCATTGTCCCTACCCTTTTAGCTTTTACCCTAGTTGCCATATCTATTTTGAGAGATTTCCTTTAAACTAAAAACCAGTAACAACAAATCTATGATTTCAGAAAATTTTAACATTTTAGGCATGGAGCACAATCTTTAGCAAGAATTCTTACAAAAAATCTTTACATTGACTTTTATTGCATAAATCATAGTCAAAGAAGGAATAACGTCTTTCTTTTCACTGACGACCAATAACTTTATATAAATTTAAAACAAAGAAGCAAAGCAAAAAGTTCTGGCGATGCAAGATGGGCCTGAAGGAATGATTATTTCCTCGACTTTTTAAAACCTTATCGATAAAATTTTTTAAATATTTGGTCTAAAGTACTGGGTATAAAGGTAAAAAGGAAGGTGATATTTCGGTGAAGGAAACTGAAACCATTTTTCTTCGATGCTAAAGAAAAGCGAAAAGGTGCGCTATAATTAACGGTGGAATGGAGGGTTAATACTGAATCTCCAATTTCGCGCAAACATGACCCATTTCAAACTTTGAAAATAGCAATGAAAAGCGAAAACATACTAAAGTACTTTTCGTCTGACACGCCTCAATTTAAAAACGTCAGATAATACAAAAAAGGTAAAGAGAAGATTATTTTTGATGCACCATCCTTCCCTCGCAGTGGAGGAAGTACCCAAGGGGGGGGGGGAATGGAGGGGTCCGGACCCCCCCCCACTTTTCTAAAATATGGTCCTCGAGATTTGTCCAAAAACGATGTAAAACTCATTTTAGTACAATGTATGGTTGTGTCAATAACAGTTGTAAAATGCTTTGCTATTTACCGTAGCTAACATGAATCAAATAATGGGGGGAAATTTTGCAAAAAGGGCGTTTCCCCGCATTTGCGAATGTTTAAAGGGCGTGGTGCAAAAAATTTCTTGCGTTTCCCCAAACCCCCCCCCCCACTGCTGCAGCCCTGGGTACGCCACTGTTCCCTCGTGTTAGTCTTGATCAGCATTTTCGGATAAGGTGGTACCAAAGGCTTTTTTGATAATAAATATCCATTAGGTAGGTAAGGCCATATTTTTTTATATATACGCTAAAGAAATCTAGTGCTTGTTGCTTTCCGAAACGAGGTATTTCTGCAGCATGTAAAGGATATGGAAACATTATTTCTCTGCTGGCTGCTACTATTCGATAAAGGTAGATATATTATTCAAATGAGTGGCTGTGTGTTGAGAAAATATTGCATAAAAGAGGTTTGCAGAGTTTGAGGTTGAAGCAAAGGTGCCTTGAAAAAATTAACGTATGCAGACCTGTCAACCTAAAATTTTCAAAACCTGGATATTTTAGATTTTTGTTGAGAAAAACAGGGAGATTTGGCCAAAAATAGGGAGATCCCTGGAATTTGTTGAATTCATGAACAACATACCTGCAAAAAAAGTCATATTGGACAAACAGTTAATGGCAATAATTATCATTGAAAGCTTTTTCTTAATGGTTTAACACTAACAAAAAACTTTGTCACGAAGAAAGTCATTTCAGTAATTTTTGTTATAAGAAAACCCTTGCTGAAAGACAAGAAAAAACAGGGAGACGATTATAAAAAACCGGGAGACCGGGTGAAGGCAAGCAAAACCTTGAGTCACCCGGCAAAACCGGGAAAGTTGACAGGTCTGCGTATGACGCCGTATTCTTCGATGGTTCCAAAGCATGCTCGGAAGTGCAAACATTTTATATTCATAAACGTTTCATACAGAGAACTGAAATAGATACGAGGACAAGGGCTTAGGGGCTATAGAACCCCAACTTTTTGCGAAACATAAATAATTAAGAATTGGACCATCAGTCAAGCCACTTTTTCCAAATTTGGCCCTCACCAGCCCCCCCCTCCACCCTTGTCAACGCGCGGTAGTGCCTGCTGTTAATTTTAAATTCCATTTTCTAGACTAAGCCACTGCGGAGTTCTTAATAATTGACCTTTCATTAAATAAAAAAACTAGCATTAAAATTTAACAAAAAATTCTGGTTAAAATTGACTTTTTCATTTTCAACGATATATTATGAGACCCTCCAATAAACGATAGAAAGATTCTGACAATGACATTGGTAAAAGACATGCTCATAACGTAAATAGTTTTGCAGCATTTGAACTTGCTTTGAGAAAACTGTGTCAAACACAGACTCAGTCAGGGTAAAAAATTTCTAAGTACATATTCAAACTAACTTAATTTTTGGATGATGTTTGCTACAGTAATTGAAAGAACAGATAAATAATGTGAACAGGCCAATCAATAGAATAAGCTGAAATAGCAGATCTTGAAATGATTTCAGATTTCAAATGGCCTGTTTGTATTCAGTTGATCAAAGATTGATGGGCACTTCACAATTTATTGCAACATTAAATAAAGACTGGCCTGAATCTACAAACGTTAACAGCTCCTCCTACTTGCTTAGTTTGTGACGTCAGAAGGTCAGATCTATAAAACAGCCAGAAGATGCTGCGAAAAAGCAACATTTGAAAGGTGAATAATTGTGGGCAAGAGATCTCCTATATTCAACAAAATGGCAAGAATCACATTCTTCTTACTCGCTGCTGCATTGTTGATGTGTGCTACTGTTTTTGCAGAAGAGAGAGAGAAGAGGCTTATAATCGACAAAATCACAGACAAAGTACTTGGAAAGGTTTGTAACCTATTATGACTCAGTGCGAAGATCGCTCTTTGTAAATGTCTGCTGCATTTCTGTAAGTGATGAACTTGTGTTCAACTGAAATAGGAAAAGTTTTAAGCAACTGTTTCGATCAATCTGCCAGGTTACTTGATCGATCTTTTTTGCAAAGCTACCTTTCTACCTTTCGAAGATAGATAGAAGCAATTGTCATCCACAATGGCGAGTATTAGAGTCTACGCTGCATTTACCTACTCCAAGAAAAGCAACCAGAGAACTCCATCATCATAGGGCTTGATCTTGATGTCTGCAATAGCATTACGCTTTTCTTCAGAGATATTTTCACGCAGGCATTTCTTGTTGCCTCAAATCGGATAGAAGAAAATCGCTTTTTTGTTTCGATTCAACAAAATCACAGAAAAAGAGTAACTTATTCTGTGACAGAACCTAGGCCCTCGTCTATATTCGTACATCTATTATATTATTCAAGATAAATGAGAGTGGAATCCACTTCTTTTATCAGCTTTTCCGATCCTCTTTCGTTGCAGAGATGCAGTGAAGATAGTGATTGCGATGTCAACCAATGCTGTGTGCCACGTCACATTCTTGGAAAGCGATGCCGCAATTTGCTGGACGAGGGAGACTACTGTGCAACCGGATTCTTTCAGGTTTTCTTTTCAAAATTTCTTCTGTTTTAAAGAATAATCTTACAAAAACAAGATGCCGATAGGGTCACAAAACGCCATCTAAGTGACGTCACAGTCCCTTTAAGGATGTCATCGATACAGCATAGCTACTACCCCGCTCACCAAAGTAGCGCATAGGCCGTCACTTGCTCTCTGCAAGGAAGCTGAATAGTATGAATTTAATTGATGAATAAACAGTTGTAACTTCAAGGTTTAGTTAGAACGTGTAAATTCATGATATTCCTTTAACTCACCTACTGTCTGAAGGAGTTTCATTTGTGGCGATTTGGATTTAAACATACTTGGATAAGCTACATGAGCGTCATGACATTAACTTCGATCCTAGTCAACTGTCTTTTACAGGGAAGATTCTTCTCTCAACAGGCGGCTCTTGATCGCATCGTCCGAAGGTGTCCATGCCAAAGCGGCCTAAGTTGCAAATACAGAAGAAGCATTGGGCTTTACAAAATCTACAAATGCCAACAAGATAATTAAACCTGCATTCAAGCTCATTGCTAAGAAGCCTGTTGGGATGTGTCGCCTGGACATGTATTGAAAATTTGTGCTATATTTTATATACGCTCAGATGTAAATGAAAAATTGTCGTTTTGAACAGTCTTTGCTTTCTTTTCTTTGAAACTTACAGTTAGACAGTGATAGGAAATTATGCATGTCTTTCGTTTATACCACTGTCTTTATACAGCCAAATTTACGAAAATGACAACAAAGTATAAAATTAACTTGAATTTTGGATGTACCTTTTAAGCAACTCAGAAGTGAGATTCGAATGCTATCGAAATACAATCAGTCATAACTCTGTCTTGCTCAAATTCTCAGCAAAATTTAATGAAAATTTGACTTTCGGATAGTCTGCTAATATTTTAGATACGTAAATATTAGATAGTACTTTGAAGATAGTACAAAGTTCAGCCCTAAAAAGGTAGAAAAACTTTAGTGCTCTAGTGCTTTTAAGCTTTAAAGTCTGCAATGTGCTTTAAAGTCTACAATATTGTTTTATCCCTTCTCTGAGAATTCAGAGGGGGTGATCATTTTATAACATTCTGGGGGTTCTGCATTTAGTCCCCTGGTACACCCTTTGAAAATAGCCAAAAAGTCTCCAGTTAAATACAATAAACTATTGAGATAAAATGTGATAAAAAGCGACAGTGAAGTATCCTAATAAAATGTAGTGCCATACAAGTGTTTAGATACACGATTCAGGGTACTACAGCAATGGTGGCAAAATTACAAAATAGTTCGTTGAATGTACAATCATTGCCAAAAGTCTTGGAACACCAACGTAAGTTTTCAAAGGCAAATTTAGCCACCCCCTCTCCCCCTAGGAACAATGTTGATTTACTATAGAAAAAAGGAAGGGGTCATGGAGTACGCTTTCTCTTGTGCCCTGTATGATATTTTAATATACTTACAACATTGTTTCTCTCGATTAGTTTACCTACTTAGAGAGCTCCTCCTAAATCAGTCAATCTTAAATTCAATCATGTAAAGTAATTTTTTTTCATTTGTTCTTAAAATTTTTAGTTTTTAATTCTTAGTGTTGTAATGTATCTTAGTTGTAGGGTTTTGTGTATGAATTGTATTTGGGATTAATTGATAATGAATGAAATGAAATGGAAAGGGGGACGGAAGTAGTAGTATTCGGGAAAACAAATGAAAAATAGAAAAGCACAGCAAGTGTTGGGTGTTCCAAGTAATTTTGGCAGTGATTGTAACATCAGAGGATGTTTTAAACATGTCATACACCGGAGAAGACTTATTTCACATTGAATTTCCTTTTTATAAAACTGCAAATACATTGGGATGTCAATAAATGTCAAGGGGGCTTCTATGGATTGAAAATATAGGAGAAAAAGCAAAGCTTTTATCCACTCAGCTAGAATTTTAGCGTTTGAGGTTTTTAAAACACTTAACAACCTTAATCCTGTTTTCATGAAAAACTATTTTGTACCCAAAACAACAGGTCGTAACCTTCGACTCAAAAACCCCCTTGATATTCCAAAAGCCAGAACTACCAATAATGATATCAGATCATTTAGTTTTCAAGGGCCTAAAATCTGGAATTCACTCCCAGAACCATCAAAGACATCACAGAAAAGCAGATGACTGCGAATCTTGTTAATGTAACGTCACCATCAAAGTCCTTGATACACACTTAAAACAAACAAAACATGAACTGCACCTTCAAATGTAACACAAATCGATCTGTTTAAGAAGGCCTCTTTCTCCTAAGATGAGATCCTGCTCCTTTATAAAAAGACCGTATTTTGAGTAACAAGCAAAACAGAAATTCAACGATCTATTTCCTGGCCATACAGACAAGGACTTATCATCTGAATTTGTGCAAAGCCATTCCATGCAAACACAATAGCCAACTTTCCGACTATCTGAAATAAAACCATCTTCAAATGAGCTTTTAAACGAAACGAAGAAAAGATTGCAGTTTCCCTTCCTTTTCAGTATAAGCTAAAAATCCCACAGCTAATGACGATTCTTGCTACATAATCACGAGCCTTTATTAAAAACACCAGCAAACCACTGCAGATTCTGGGAAAAAGTCACAGCTCAAAGACTGCAAAAGAGCCTAGATATCGAGAACAGCTGTCCGCTGGCGCAATCAGAGCACTAGCTGTTGGCTAAGCTGTACAATCAGAAAACATGAAAACTGATATACAAATGGAGAAGAAATAGGGATATCAAGGTGTAAGTTCGAGTGGTCACGAGACTGCGAGGCTAGGTCACAAATTGTGGACATAAAAATTAAAGTTTCTAGAATCTAAAACAAATCTTAGTAAAGGGACACAGATACTGCAGAACCACAATCTCTTTTCTTCTCCGTTGTCAGAATATTTCAAAAAATATTTTGCTGAAGCTGTTCAATTTAAAACAAAGTCATTCAATGCTTGTGAAATTACGATTAAAAGGCCAATTTGAATACAACACATGAGACAACACTTGATTGAAAAAGCCTCTTTCATTTTACAAAAATTTGGCAAGAATCCGAAGAGCCAATTTTGCTAACCAACAGTTTTCAAAAAGCATTTTAATTAAGATAATCTAAGTACCGCACAGCATTTCGTCTTTATTAGAACTCGGAGTTACCAAAAGCTATACTACAAAATATTTAAAGCTCTACTTACACTTTCACTTGTTATTTTTGCCAGAAAATCAAGTGTTGGCTTTCCAACCAGTTGCATGATTTTCGTGAGCTGGTCAATATCTTCAAACCAGTTAGGGAGCATCATTCATCAAAAAATGCTTGTAAATACATCATTTATAAATACTTGAACGAAGGGCAACAATTTGGAGGACATTGATAGACTAAGCCTCTAGTAAAAAATCAAAAACTATGAAACTAAATATCAGAATCAAAACTATAAAAAAACTATGACGCATTGTTTTCGTATTGACATTGCAAGGATTAACTTCATCTGAGCAAGATATCTTTTTAGACGAAGAATCTTTAGCCAATCTCATTTTGCGCACAGCAAGATACCAACGGTAATAACATCCATCTATGTTGACGCTGTTGTCACCGCAAATAGAAATTAATGAAGAAGCCACGAAATAATGGCCGGCTTAAAAGGCATTTCAGAATCATTGATCAAGATGCTATTTCTTAAAGCAGTTAACGAAATCTGGCAATAAAAACAACAAAATGAATCAAATATAGAAAAATTCCTTTAAAATCAAATGTTACAAGTGTTTTCTGTAAGGCCATTGGGTTTAGAATATTAAACGGAGAAATGAAAAGCAAAAATTCCTCTGCTTCTATGTGTTCTCGATAATTCAACAATGCGGTACATTTTGCCCTATTTAAGCAAGATCGTTTTTCGTTGGCAAAGTTCTGTCGACTGAAGGAACGACATGATCTATCTTATCATTTGGAATCAAAATCCAAAATTTAAACAACTCATTAGCAGACATGCCTAATCAAAATAGAGATTGGAATATTAACTGTCGTTATCTTAGCAAGGTAAATGTTGAAAGGCGGAAATCAAATAGAAAGTGAGCAAGTTTTAAATGAGCTGAACGAATATTGGTAAAATGATAGTCCAGTGGGTATGGTTGTATGGTCAATGTCGTGCGGGTTGTGTACGAGAAATGTTTTCTACCTAAATTTGAACTCTATCTTGGCATTTCATCACTTAGTATACATTTGGTTTTTTGATACATGTGGAAGAAATAATTAGACCATACAAGCGAGGGGCATCGAAATAGGATCGTGAATCCAGCCGTTTGAATTTCAAATGTAGCCCCTGCCATTGTCTTACGACCTGCAGAGGCGATGCATTGCGTTACAACATCATTCCACACACACAGTACACACACCTCCCTTTGGTGGACTTTTCTTTCTAGTGATACATCCGTGTGGTGCTTTAATTTCCTTTCCTGCGACTTTCGAGTTAAAAGTTAGCAGTAGCGCTCACATTATCAAACTAAGAAAATCAGCTGCCTTGAAATACGAAGCCTAGAAATATTTAAGACAATAAGAATATGTAAAAATATGCTCATTTTCCCAAACCCGTGGTAAAGTGGTATCTGTTGGAAACATTCTGTTTGCAGAATTAAATGCATATATTCAAAGGAGCTTTCGAATAAATGATAAATATTAATATCAAATAAATGATGGGCGATGACCGGATCTCAAAGAGATTTTTAAGCCACATAAAAGCTTGAAACTGGTGTATACTACGACATTTAAGAGAAGGTAAACCGTGTGAAAATCTTTGCTTAAAAAGTCTTGGGGCGATACACGTCTTTACTGGATCTTGAATCTTTGAACCCTTTCTGAGTCATACTGAAGTATAAGTTTATTTTATCGATAAAAAAAAGTTTTTCAAGGCCTAAAATTCAGGACTGTACAAAAAATGTTTTATAAGTTTTGCAAGCTATCCCATTGAATCTCTTTACTCTACAAAATTTAAAGTAACACGTTTTTTACTTCAGCAAATTCATTTTTTTCTACAAGTTACAAGATCCGTTTTACTTCGTATTTGTCTATGCCTTTATTTTAGCGGTATTCTTCAGTGCCTTAATGTAAAGGGAGGGCAAATGCAGTATGATTAAGTACATTCATTTGCTTAACGTGCAAATGTGTGAATGATCAAAATCACAAGAGTAAGCTTTTCGATAATGAAAAATGAGATTTGCCGAAAGTGAAGTTTTAGCTAGATATTGCCAAATTCACATAACTCTAGATAAAAATTATTTCACTTTACACTTTTTTCTTCTAGACAGGTTGTCAAGACACTCTCTTAAGCAATTTAGTCTTAGGAATCTTGAACGAAAAAGAAATAAGCATTTTGAAGATTCATCATAGTCAACTGATTGAGACAGATGTACAATGCCTGCCAAAAGTCTTGGAACACGTATGATATGTTCTCTCAATAATCAAAATTGTCCTAGGGGGGTGGAGGGGGAAGGATTGTCGCAGAAGTAGCAATATTTGGGTAACGAAATAAAAGATACGATGTAAATTGTTCGCTGTTTTAAGTACTTTTGGCAGGCACTGTGTGTACAATGCCTGACTTTTCATAAAGTATGACCAGTCTTCAGATGAGGAAACAAGACAAACTTTTAACCTATATTTTC